TTTGGTTTTCGGTTTTATTCTTTGCTTGTTCAATATGATGTATGCAGTATGCATTTTGAGGATTTACGAGTGAGCGTACGTTTCTCGGATGAATCCGCTCGACTTCAATGCGTTATTCATACCGACGCGATGGACATTTGTCATAAATGCATGTTTACGGCGGTCGGACGCATTCGAAAAGCTTGCTTCAATTCGCAAAACGCTTCCGAGGAACCAGCACAGCGTCATATTATATTTTTAAATGCAAAACGTACGTAAACGGGTTCAAGGCGTATGAACACGACAGGGATAAGCGGAAGAGGATTTAAGTCAAATATAAATTGCGGAAAAATACGTTCTGCATTATTTTTGCAATTACTCAAAATGTACATAAAGTAGAATATATAAACAACTTGTGTGCTGTTTAAAAGTTAAAATGTTACATTTATTGCTTTTTTGTTTTTGTGTAAGACGAATGCGTGCTGTTTCCAAGACGTGTTCATGCATAATTTAGCATCCACTTTAATTACAACTGTGCATTGAAATTTTGTGCGTAGGATTATCAATCATCCTCTCATCTGGCACGAGACGAACCGCCGTTCACCTTCGTCCCTACCCTCAAACCCGCCCCCATACTGAAGCAGTGTTAGCAGATGATTTATGTGTTACCAAGTCACCCGTTTCCTTTCAATACTACCAGCTTTAAATGAGAGTAGATATACGTTGAAGTAACTAACTTGGATATTAAATACAAAAATGTTTTGTTTATTAATTTAATTTTAGTATATAGCTGATAGGTTTGTTAAGAATTCAGATATGCAAAAGATGATATTTGCTCTGAGCAGCTGATCTACGTGGGTCTTCCGGAATTTTGCTCATCAGAAATTCGCCAAACTTCATTTGAATATTTTTCCTTCACGCTCGTACCCTTTTATTTTTTCGCTTGCGCGCTCGCTACGCCCCGGCTTTTTTGCTTCATCGCGCTTCCCGCAGAAAAGCCGCACTCGCATTCCCGGCTTTTATATTCCCGTATTTCTGCATATTCCTTCGCATGAAATTATCTAGTCGAGCGTGTGTCTGGACTCGCTATAGTCTGCCGGCGTCGAGAGTTACAGTCGCTGGATACAAGGCGGGCGAGCGTCGAGCGTATTTCGCAAATTCGGTGTTTAAGTTGCCGGCTTCGTCTTCTTTTTTGCATTTAATATTAGCCAAATACTGGAGCGGATGTCTTATTATTTTATATGCCAAAACTGCATAAACGAAGCACGACAGATGTGGTACTGAAATTTAGTCATCAAAAATGCGATTTGTTCAAATTTTGAAGTGGAAATTTAAGGTAAGGTGATGAATTGTGTCAATTACATCACAATAGATTTAAAGATTAGTGATTTTATCAGTTTAGTAGAACGCCATGGTCACAAAAATTATAAATCACTAGCTTTTGCCCGCGACTTTGTCCCGGTAGTCTTTAATAAATAAGTAATTCGTTTTTACTCTCTTGTTCTAGACATAGTTGGGATTCTATCAATAAGATTCGTAATTGCTAATAATGCACTTCAGCGCGCCATCTCGAATTCAACTATTGAACTATATCTATGATTGAATCACAATGCCAACTTTTATCCTATAGAAAAAGGCTGTTTTTAGGGTTTTCCTGGCAATTATTTGATATTTTCTCACCGTAAAAACCCTCCTTGGACTATAACAAATATTTTAAAAAAGAATTAGCCAAATTTGTCAAGGCGTTGTTAAGTTATGCGCTTACCAACACATTTTGCGATCCATTTTTATATTATACGATTAATATATAAATTAATAAAATTCTGGTGTTGTTTAACATTGGTTTAGAATGTTTGGCACAAATCCGAATAGTGGTTTAATTTTGTCGGTTTTGATTTTACCACGTAATTTCCGAAATATTGATGCAATCGGAAAACCGACTGGATATTTTTCTATTTTTTCTAGCTTTAAAAATCGTTTTAAACTAAAAACGTTCATTTACCATTATATATTCACATATACCACCACAACTTGCTGGCGAACTCCTGTGTTATATATTTTGTGATTTTCTGTAAAGTGTATTCCCTATTCTTCATTTTTAGAGCGAAATAAAGTGAAGAATGCCACTTTATTAAACGCTAGCATATTAGCCACCCTAATACAGTAGAGTCAGTGCATTACCATTATCAGACATTGACTTTCGTGCCGAAGGGCGTACGCTGCCTTTAATGGCGCCCAGCGTGTTCAACTTTATTAAATTCTTTCGCCGCGGGTGGAATTAATTTCGTGGCCGTCGAAGCCGTCAGCGGCGCGTCGCTACTTCGGTCAAACGCTTCCGACCTAATTGATTTCAAAGTTAATTTCAAACTGTTCACAAAATGCGCCATGAACTATCAAACATACAAAACACAAACGTCAAACCAAAAATGAGCTTATTTCCTGCTGTGCTTCAGAATATGCTAGCACATAAAATATTTACGTTTTTGAACAGTGCAGAAATCATCTCGATGCAATTTCACGTCAACAAGAACGGCCGTAAATCTTGCAGGCAGTGCATTAATTTATAAACTAAGCACCAAACATAAAATAAAGTTATGCAAAATACCCCATCAACAAATACCACCACGCGCACACAAATAAAATACATGCACATGTGAATAGTGAATAAAGATGTAAGCTGCGAGATGAAGAGAAACCGTAAAATACGAATAAGTACAATGTGTGGGTGAGCGCCGGCTTGGCGGCCCTTTTCATAACCAAGTGGAATTTTCGGAGTCTTAAATAAAGTCGATGAAAAGTTTAAAGTTTAAAGGCACGATCCAGGGCGGTAACTCAAGCACGCCGGGCACGTGTTCATTATGCGCCCACAAAACACTCGTAAACAAAGCCAAACATGCCCGCGCCACAAAATTAAATAGTAAAACCTAAATAGTTTGACATTTTCCATCGATAAAGTATAGAATTCTATTCATGCGTACATTTTATCATTCATTAAATTCAAATTAATGACTCGACATCAATTATGCTGTTTTTGTAATTTTATTCTGATGATAATTCATTCTCATTAACATAGAATAACAAACAATACATTTGGAAACAATAAACAATAAACTGTTATTATTTATTATCAATTATTAGATTTTTTGCGCTTTTCGTTCTATTTTTTATTCTATTCTTTTATCTGGATGCCATTTTATCTTGGAGTCGCCAGGGATAAAAGGGTGAAGGCGTTTTGCTCCTATAACTTTCCTATTCATCTGCTCTTTTCACATCCTTCTTTTGAAAGGACCCGGCAGCAGGGCGGCGCCGCCTGTTTCTGAAATCGAGTGACATTAAAAATAATTTAGTGTGTGCCGGCGAAAATATTGGGAACCACCTCAACGATAAATTCCCACAGACAGATAAACTTTATTAAAATGATCGAAATAAAATTCGGTGAGAATTTAATTGATCGCATCACGTAACTTATAACAACATCAAGTTATAATTAATTGTTTGATTGTCTTCAAGCACGATGCACAAAAGTCGTTATATAAAACAAGCAATTAAATTGTCTAATTCCTCGGCTAAATTAAAACATTAACGATGTTATTATGAACCGTAAGACGCAGTAATTCGATGTATACCCTTTCCGGGTTGCTCGGGCGGCGGACGTCGTGATCGACGTCGTTAAGTGCAAAAGAAAAGTACTTAAGAGAGGAAAATGCCCCGCGTACGCCGGCGAAAAACTATAAACGAGCGCATTACGCCGTCTAATAAACTATGCATGTATCCATACAGTCACCATGAGGGCAACAAAATGCGCATAAAAGGAACAACGTAAAAAGTTTCTTTGATGAAGACATTAAAACACATTAAGAATACATTTGACACGCAAAAAAAAACAATTCAGGTACTAACTTAGGTTAAAGGGTTGTGTTACAACCAACAAATATTCTATACAGGCATTTGCCCGCGACTTCGTCCCGGTAGTGTTTAATAAAAGTGTAATTCGTTTTTATTCTCTTGTTCTAGACATAGTACGTGTCAATTATGTCAATAAAATTCGCTATTTTATTTTAAATAAATTAATTATGTAAAGAATTGCTAAGAATACACTTCAGCGCGCTATCTCGGATTCAACTATTTAACTATAACTATGATTGAATCTCAATGCCAACCTTTATCTTATAGAAAAGGGCCTTTTTCAGGGTTTTACCGGCAATTATTCGAATTTTTCTCGCCGTAAAAACCATCCTTGGACTTTAACGAACATTTTAAAAAGAATTGGTCAAATTGGTCTACGCGTTGTTGAGTTATACGCTTACTAACAAATTTTGCGATTAATTTTTATATTATACATTATATTTATAGGTTTAATTAACGAGTAATTTTTTAGGCAAGTACAAAAAAATAAAATAATGATTCATTAAAATCTTAATCAATTTTTTTCTGAGTTGAAAAATATTGCAGCGTGCATTTTTCCTAATTGTTGTAATTACCCGCCCCGGATAAGTATTTCTTTTCCATTCGCACGGCTGCAACAGTTCAGGCACAGTTCCGGTTCCATTGTCTTTGTTACGCTTCCTCTGCAGACTACTTTCGTCCTTATTTAAGTTACCTGGTGCTCGCTTATTAGAATTAGATGTTACGCAGGCGAGTGCCTCGTGCTAATGACCGTTCTTTCCAACTTCAACCAAACACTCTGACACACCCAAGTTGCAACTTTCGCCGAGTCGCCAGATATTACATAAGCGCGATTTTCCACGAAACACGTAAAAGGGAATTTAAGAAGTAAACGCGCCGTAAACGTAAAATAAATTCGGGAAATTCAATTAACTTCCGACTTGTTAATTATTTAACGACGCACCCGTACATGCAGCACAAGCCAACCCGGAAAAAGACACACAGGACCCTTTTTGATAACAACATTACACACAAAACGCATAAATATTCTAGTTACACACAATTCACATTTTAAAATGAATTAATAATAACTGCTCTTTGTGCATAAACGAATTTTAATTAACGTTTTGTTACAGATCAACAGTTTTGGTATGAACAAGCGAGGATTGCAATCAGGAAACGATTGCAATATGCGACCGATCGAAGGCCGCATGCGAAGAATGTTATCCTCTTCGTTGGAGACGGCATGGGGGTTGGTACGGCGACGGCGGCGCGAATTCTACGCGGTCAGCGTTTGGGTAAACGCGGCGAGGAGCATGAACTTGCATGGGATGCATTTCCTGCTGTCGCTTTAGCAAAAGTAAGTGCTGAGCAACAAAATTAAAAAATTTTGAAAAAAAAATTGTTTTATGCAATTATTGTATCTATAAAGTTGATAGTAATAAAATGAAATAGCACGTTTTCTAAACACGTGCGAAAAAGCATCTAGTTTGAGTTTTAAGATCGTTTAGAGACTTTCACAACGCTGGCTTTTATTTTTCGCACGGCTTTTATGACGGTTTCGTGGCTAAAACCCTCGACGCGGCTTTATCTGAAGACCACGCCGGTGGGTTTTTACCAATAAAGCCATGAAGTGATGTAATTGAGAGGTTTATAGCGTGCGGTGTTGATTTTTGCTTGTTTTTTTTAACACAAAAATAACCAAAAACTAAAATTTTCGAATTTAAATGTTTGAAGTTTGACACCGAAGCGCATAAATCTTGTACTGCTACCAGTCGGTGCTAGGCCACGATCGAATTAATGATTGGGCAATATGTTGTCGATAAAGGCGCGTCGCGACGCGAGTTCGCGCCGCAATTACGTGCGAAGATAAATGGCGTGACAGCCCTCTATATTTACAGCAGCTTAAACGCAATACATTGCACCCCCACGAGCATTCATTTCGAAACAAAAGGCCGCGCTATTTTCACCCGAAAACCTGTCAAAAACTCATCAACGAAATAGAGCGCTAACACAATCACTGGAATAGAATCGCAATTTTAATATGTGTTTGCAACAGTAGGCAAAAATTTCATCCAAAACTTTTTTTCATTGCAAATGCAATGCAATGACAGACAAACAAAATAAAACTACAAAAACTGGTTTGAACAAATCCTGGTTTGCTATCAGTAAATAGAATTTTTTAAATAAAACAAAATAATTACCTATTATTAATTGGGAACTGTAATTTCGAACTGCATTAATCAAAAGTTTACTACTACTGGTTAGTCCCTAATGAAAGTTGTTCATAAAATTAAATAAATTTGAGTTGATGTTGTTGAATGGCCCCAACATCAACTATTAATTGTATGATGCAATAGTGTATGATGTTAGTTTTGCATAATTAAAATTTGTAGCCATGTAATATGAAAATTTAGCTGATATTCGCAGAATTTACGTGGCATAATTATTTAAAAACAAACAAGCGTTATAAATATACTCATAGCAATTTATTCAACCGTGCAGATTATTAATACAAACTCCTATTAAATTTTCATAATGCACTAATTCAATAAAATATATGTTTTACAATAATTTATTATAATAATGCCGGAAATTACGCGAAACAAATTGAATATTTTATATTTTGATGCGAGGTTAATGTGTACGCATTACGCATTACACTCAACTATAAATGTTTATTAGATTGTCGTTAGTTATGCAAATAATTTCGGCATTTAATGCACCATATAATCCTGAAATGACCCGAACTATTGCCCAACTCTTGCGCGCAGTTTATACTCATTTAAGTCGGAGTAATGCCGGACGTCAGCATTCACAACACCAAATAAACAATAATTAATACCGCGCTCAAGTACGCGCAAAAGTGAATCCAGCGCCTGTGAACGTAAATATTGAATGTATTCCATTATACCTATATACATATAGTAGTGGTAATACTCGGATAATTCCTCTAGTTCAAAACAGTCAAAGCGTCGCAAAGTGCTGCCCTATTATATAAAGCGTTCGTGGTGAGTTTGTGATGGTCAATTTCGTGTTTGTGGTTGCTATTCAATTATTTCCATGAATCAGTAATGAGAGTATTTTCTGTAAATAGATGGTTTATGTTTTGTGGTGTAATAGGGTGGAAATATGTGATATTAGTTTTTAGCGCTGCGCGGCACAACTTGCGGTTGTGTGTGTGGGTGGAAAATGCAAATCGTGCGACTTGAGTGCGTTTTTAAAAATGGCGCGCGCCGGCTGTGGATTGTCGGATTTGTTTCCGACTGTTGTTTTGTTAATCGCGCTTCAGCGGCTGCCGCAGACCGCAGAACAATGCAAAGTGCACCAGACACGCACAACTGGCCAATATAAATGCCAAATGCACAGCACTACATTTCCGAATGCAAATTTTATCAGCAAATAGTTTTAATTTCAATTTTAAACAATTTCCAAAGACATGCCGTCGTAAATTATGCAAAGCTTAATTAGAACAATAACTTAAGTGTATTAATATTCTCCTTTTCGCGTGGGAAAAAATACTGAAACATAAAACAAGTCTCCAAAGGGGTTTGGTCCTCTTTTCGGTAGGCGAAGAGCACGCGCGCTGTAAAAGTACGTTTTAATGTAAAATTATGACGCGACGTGTTCTCCGTCAGCGCAGAAAATTAGATTAAAACGTGTTTCACTTACCCGACGCCTTTCTCAGCCTTAGCTTCGGTTTGCTTTTGAAGCGTTTGAGGCTTTCCCAACACTCGGAACAATCCAAGGTTTTAACATCCGACCCCAGCTGAAACCCAATGCCGGCGCAATGGTCGAAAATGTATCTCGAACAATGCGAGGAGCAAAAAGGCGCAAAGTAGTGAGAAGTAGTGTATGCGGTAGTGAACCAAGAAGTGAACGAGTACGCCGAGTAGCGAAATGTAGACTTTCTGCGCTTCGCAGTCGGATGCGTTCGTGGTCGAATTACATTTGCATTTCGTTTAAAATTTCCGTCTTTGTTCCAAACTTGCATTCGGGTTGCGCGGTGGTGCAAGATGGTGCAGGCGGAGGCGGAAAAGGGCAAAATGTCGACCGACCCCACTACCTCGAAATTTGCCGCGACGATAAGCTGCAGGTACCCGAAATGCCGGGAATGCAAATGTGGCCAAGATTGCAGGTTGTTGCCGAAGTACATTTCCTCCTGTTTCCACCATCCTCGGCGTGTGTAATTTCGGGATTATCAACAGGATAACCAGCAACTCGTTGGTGGTACATTCATGGCACTCAGCTTATCTGCGAATTGTTAGTTATTATATTTTAAACTCCAAAAATACAAGTTTTAATTTTTGCTTTAATTTCGACTTTCTATTGAAAACATTGAAATGAAAATCATAGTGAAGCATGAATGTCAAATTTCAATCCGAATATTATTAAATATTTATGGTTTCTAGCAAATATCCGGCGTAATTTCCGGGAATTGGCTTATTCCATGCCGTTTTCGATTTAATTTAATTACATTTCAAATGTTTATTTAGTTAGCAAAAGTTTTACTACTAAATAAAATTTAAATCAACGTAATAAATATCGAAACGTGCTTGAAATGAGGTTTTTCTTTATAATCAGGGCGCGACGCATTGATTTACTACGCCCCGGTGGGCAGGAATTAATCAAATGAGTGTCAACATAACTCACCAAATTAACTGCTTTTAATTTGCATAAAATATTTCATCAGACGCGGGAAGACGCTGCAAAAAACTAATTTAGAAAATTACTTTCGGGTAAAAATGTGAATATGATTAATTATAGGCAACCAACCGTACACGTTGCTCAATATGTGTTGCCTATACCAGCATTTTTTAAATTTGTTTTTTTTTCCGCATGCAAAAAATGATGATTTAGATAAATTTAAACACTGATGATGAAAAATAGTGACTAGATGTTGTCCAGTTGTTCGACCGGGGAATGCGGCTCGATAAACTATTTTTCATTTGATCCATCTACCCACCAGTCCCGTCGCTCTTGTCACGCCAGGACTATATATTATCCGCGGCTGCGAAACGGCTGACGTCGTAATTTACAGGCGCAACCGATAGGAACGCTTGCAGGATTTCGAATGCGATGTATTTATGGCGAAACTCCAACTCCAAAACTGCCCTCTGGCCTTGCACCCCTTCCGGCGGCAGTGGCAGCCTTCTATCTCATTGGGGATATCCATCAGCAATCGACCAAGGAGAGATTGATAATCGGTTAAATTATGGCGATACAATATTTCCGCCAGTGTGCAAAATATTGTAGCAACTATCAACATAACCTCAATCACATCACAATGGCGTGCGTAATGGATGAAGATAAAGTTGTAAAAAATGTTACATATTGTAAAAGTTAATGCAACGGACAGTAAACGAGGTGATCAATTTTATTTCGTGGCACAACTTTTTCATAAAATTTCAACTTTCACCGAAGTTTAAGCGAATTTGACGCAAACTTTTTTTTGCAAAATATTACTCGTACCTGTACTTATTTTACATAAAGTATAGAAAATGTAAATACCTGTTTTATTCCGCTTATGGACAGAAAGAGATTTCCTAAAAATACAACATGTATCTATCGTAACGGTAACGTTGCTTAAAATCCTCCGAAAGTTGAAAGTTGGAAGTTGCACGTTGGGTGTTGCTTGTATTTCATGAATACGAAATAAACGTAATTAGATTTGGGGAACTTTTTCATCCGGCAAGTTGTGCTTTCAAGGAGGCGGAAGACAGTAGTCGGGGTGTAGTCAGCGACATGACGGTAATGTAGACAGCATTGCTGACTTTGTAAAAAACCCACGTTGACAACTTTCATTCGATGTCGTACTTACAGGAAGAGAGAAAAGTTTAGTGGAACAAAAAAACCATTTGATCCCAAGGATTTAGTCTGATCTAAACTTAAAGTCTTTGATGTGTCATAAATAAATTTACTATTGTGTCTATTTGAAGTTGAAAATTTTTTGTCCACATGGAATACATTAAAAATTATTTTTGGTTATTTGCGTGTGTTTTTGAATTTTGGCTTGCGGCGCACGTAGTTACGCAAGCAAAGATTTCGCAATCTTCGCTTTGCTTTTTTCTTTCCGGCGCGAGTACGTGCAGACGTACAATTGGGGAGCCACGCTCTCAAAACGCAAAAAAAGAGTGTTCGCAACTTTGTACATTTCGCTCAAATTCGACGAGATTCTTTTTGTGCGCACTCCGGCAACAAACATAAAAATAACTCACACAATAATGTCGCCGAGTTATAGCGACAAGCATCCGCCTTATTACCATGCACTGAGCGCCATTAGCTATTCCCTCGATGGTCTTTTACAAAGCCTCTACGATCTCACAGCACGCGAGTAGATAATAATGTAGTTTCAGTTCGAATAAATTAAAGATTAATATTTAGCAAAAAAATAGTAACGTATAATTATGATTGAATATTTATATATTATTTGCAATTAAATCGCAACGTAAACTACATAATATCTGTTAATTAATAATTAAACTACATGATTTATTTAAATATTCTTTACCATTATGAATTTATTTCAAGCGTTGGATAAGATAAAGTCGAGGTAAATTGATAATAACAACTATTGGGGTAGTGAACATTTCAAGCGCGAAATGAGATAATATAAACGTGTTTTGATAAAATCCGCTGCGATGGCCTATGTTTACAAAACATTGCAACAACGATATGATCGCGGGAATAATTTTAGTTATAACGGACATTCTGGCGACATCTTGGAAAGATTTTAAGAGTTCAGTTTGAAATCGTCTGGTTGTGTTATTGAATCGGGCATTTGATAAGTGATCGTGCATAGAATTGAATAGTAAAGTAACCGTGTACCTGTAATCGCTCGCAAGGACACGGATTTCAATCAGCAGCATTATTAAATTAAACACCAGAAATTAAACATACATACTATATAGTAATAGATTATATATTACATAATTACTGTTAATAAATCATAAAAAATGAATTATTTTAATATGTGTTACTTTTTTGATTTAATTTCAAGCGTAAAATAAAATAAAGTCAATGTAAATTGATAAAATGCGCTGCTGCAATAACCAATGTGTATGTTTACAATACTTTACAACAACAAAATGATATAAACACCATATTAAACTCCAAAAGTTCCTCTACACGATGCATACCTTTTCAATCTTTCATCCCTTCCGGAAGTGCCCTAAAATACCCTTTAAAAATTGGCATTTTTCAAGAAAATTGATAACATGGTGAGGAAAACACTTTGTATCTCGCCAACTAATTGATATTTTTAGAATTGGTCACCGCCATATTAAACACCAAAAGTTCCTCTACACGATGCATACCTTTTCAATCTTCCATCCCTTCCGGAAGTGCCCTAAAGTGCCTTTTAAAAATTGGCATTTTTCAAAAAAATTGAAAACATGGTGTGGAAAAACCCCTTAAATCTCGCGAACTAATTTACTTTCTTAGAAAATGTCGGAGCCATATAAAAGTTCAAGAGCTTTTGTACACGACTCGTACCATTTCAATCTTCCAACCCTTTTGGAAGTGCCCTAAAATGCCTTTTAAAAATTGGCATTTTTCAAAAAAATTAAAAACTTGGTGTTGAAAACAACCGCCATCTTAAAGTTCGGGAGTCTCCCTACGCGATCCATATTTTTGTAGCCCCCTAACCCTTCGAGAAGTGCCCTAAAAAGCACTTCAAAAATAGCCATTTTTGTCCCAAAATTTTCATTCTTTCGTCGAAAAACAGGGTCGAACTTTTTTGTTAACATTTTTTTCGGTGGAAGGACAGGGTCCAATTTTTTTTCTTAAAATTTGTTAGGTCAAAGAACAAGGTCGAATGTTTTTGGTCGAATAACAGGGTTGAACTTTTTTCTTAAATTTTTTTGCTTGAAAAACAGAGTCAAACTTTTTTCTTAAAATTTGCCCGTTGAAACATTAAATAAAAATAAAAGTTATTAATAGAAAAACCTGGCGGAGGCGCCTGACATTTAAAAGTGTTGTCTAATTAAATATTGAGAACTACCTCATTATATAGAGGGGCTTTTAATGATACAAGTAAAACAACTTTTCACCTAATAGGAGTAAGGAATTTTCCTCTAAATCTCATTATGTGAAATGTGCACTCCCATTGAGACTTAAGAATCAATTATCTCAGGAACTAATTGAGATAAACAAAAACCAAAAACACCCCGATGATCAGAATCAAATTCTTGATAAGATAACATTTAAAAAATTTGAATTAAAACATGTGCCTATAAAAGTTACCGCTGCGATTTTCTCGGAAAATAATAAAGATAGAAAAGAACTTTCTTCATTTTGTTCATGCCGTGATATGAATCTAAAAATTGCCAATTTAGTTTTTCCATTTTCCAAAGTTGCCCAAAGACTTCTCAAAAATATGAAGAGGTTGTTACACTTGACTCTATTTGGACTCAAAAAAATTTTTTTAGGCGAGAAGAAAATTGAAAACGCTAATCGATTGAGTTTTCCAAAGGGATGAAAGATATGAAGTTTTCCGATAACATCATTATTTCGGAAAATAGGTGGTACATTCTAAATGGATTAAATTAAACTACTTTTCCGATTTTCCTCAAATGTTCCTAATTGAAGTAAAACATCACCAGGATTCTATTAATCCAGGTTTGGTTGCCCTATCTTAATTAGTTTTCATGTTATTGACCATTTTTAATTAATACGTAATTGTTGATAACTGAAAATTTTAACGTGTTATATAATGTATAATGTCATTCTACTCGTACATACAAAAACCGTTTTTTTCTATTTCTAATGGTTCTCAAGATAAGTGCGGAAAACTGGTTACTGAAGATGCCCCTGATATATATCGAATAAACAAGTTTAAACAGTTTTTCGCAATTATCTTGAAAACCAATATAAATAAAAATATATCATATCGTTGTTGCAATGTTTTGTAAACATGGGCCATCGCAGCGGATTTTATCAACACACGTCCGCTTTATATCATTTCGCGTTTGAAATCTTAGGTAAAATTTATTAAAAATAATAAATGTAAAGACAATGTGAATGAATCTACTACTTTATCATAAACTACCTCATTTTATGTGATTTGCATCCTGTCACTACCCCAATCGTTCTTTGCTGTGTAGGGTAAACACATAAAAATATTTTCATTTTTTCATTAATGGCGAAAGTATGGCCGTCACGAGTTCTTACTCTAATCGTATGTATCGCCGACGTAGTTGTTAGTTGATTACGCGCAGATTGAAGAATGCAGATTGCATGATTAATTAATTTCGGCGCAATGGTGTTAGTTGGCATTCAAGATAAATAAAGTTGGAAAGTTTGCTCATTCAGCGCCTCGTGCTGCACGCTGGAAATCAGTCAAAACGCCAAAAACGTCAAAACCGTATTCGCACATCCGCGCTCCCTGGAAATTTCATATTACCATCAGCATGCATGTAGAGAGGTGGTGATGGTGGCGCAGACGGTGGGAGCCGTCACTCCGCGCGCGCAAACAATAAAGTAATTAATAGTTTTAGTTAATTACGCGCAGCCATTGTGCACTGGCGGCGCGCTGAAAAGGTTCAGCCAAGGCGAATTGATTCTGCATGTCGTCAGTTGCATTCAACGAAAGATTGCTGAACCAATTGATCAATGAAATGAACTACAAAACCAAATTGCATTGAATTTAACTGAATATAATAAATTATTTTTTATTTACAGACCTACAATATGGATGCCCAGATCGGCGAGTCTTCAGCATGTGCAACAGCGTTAATGTGCGGCGTAAAAACCAATTTCGAGACTGTTGGTTTAGACGCACGTGGAAAATTCGAAAACTGCTTTTCAAGTTTCTCATCGCGAGTCTCATCGCTCATAGACTGGGCCCAGGAATCAGGTATAACAAAATATTCAGTTTTTAATTAAATCAACTTTCAATTAAAACTTGATTCAAACTAATCTGAATATTGGATTTTTAGTTTGGAAAGTGGAATTAAAGTTTTTGGACTTGTAGCTAACTTAAAAGTACAAATTGAACGCGAGCGCGGAAAAAACGTTTTTTATGCGTTTTTTTACTCACGAACTTTTTTAACACTCGCAATCGACATTTTCCGCAGTTGCTTCTAAGAAAAGAGTGAGAGAGCGCGGGGGCGGGAGATCAGAAATATCCCACTGATTTTACTTAGATTTCTAGTTTATCCTAGTTTCCGCACCAAGAACGACCATGCGCCGCAGTTTAAATGACTAAGAGATAACGATCGGCCATTAGTTTATATCTATCCCGTTTGGCTTTTAGATTTGCCTTTGCGCTTCCAGCGCTCCCTCGGTCCTAGATGCAGTTAGTTTCAGTTCAATTGTAGGAGGGCATCGTATCCGCGCGGATTTGGATTTTAGGCGCACGACTTTCGTTAGCAGCGGAAAAAAAACCGTAGATTTTTAAGCGAAAACGCAGAAGCAACCCGGAAATAGTCCTTTTTTTCTCGCGCTCGTGAATGTAATGTACGTTATTTGACTTCCAAATAAAAGCCTACTTCCGTGCTCCTCATTCTTTTGGAATTTAGAGTTGAGTCTTTAGCGGAAGATTCATGCAGCAGAAATTACTTAGGGAATTATTCGCCAATTCGTAAATCTTGAGCGCATCACATTTAAATTTACATTGGATAACAATAAAAAAGTTTTATTTTTATTTTTTGTCTTTGATGCGCAGGAAAAGCCACGGGGATTGTCACCAACACACGGATAACTCATGCAACACCAGCGGCGTTATATGGTCACTCACCGTCACGTTACTGGGAAGACGATTCCAAGGTACCACCGGCGGCGAGAAAATCCTGTAAGGATTTGGCGCGTCAACTGATTGAAAACGATCCTGGACGTAATATTAATGTAAGTTTTTTTTTAAAAACTAAATTTTTAGTTGGTAATAGTTTAATTAGGTTTTCGAATGTGGAACTAAAGCAGAGAGATCCGTTTCCTGCTGGCGGAACGTGTGCAGTCAATGTGAGTTTGATAGTTTGAACAAAAGCGACTAATTACGAATGCGATTAAGTAAGTTAGCGCGCTGGAGCGCGCGAGGATCGTATACAATTTGCCTTGGGAGACAAGATTTCTCGATTTCCATGCGAATACTATTCCTAATAGTCCTGCTAGTCTTTCCAACAATTCTAGTTCTCTACAAAATTATAACTCAAATTGGAGCTCAATTTTTTTATTTTCACTCTTCCAGCAAAAAGTGTTGGTAAAGTTTTCAATCCCCGCTGGATTCTAAGTCGCTAATTATGCAAATTCATAACGCGATTAGATATAATTAGAGAGTTGCTCGCGTGCGGTTGCACGTAAAGGATCTCCAGGATAAGCACAGACTAATGCAGGTCATGGAAAGAGCACGTACGCAAAGCTTTTTCTACTTCTACGCTCCGAAACCGCCCCGAGTCCGAAAATGCACTTAATCGAGCGTTTCTTTTCTCAACCACATTCACCACTTTCGAATTCAGGTTTCTACACTCAGCAAAGAGCAATGCAACTGAAATAAAATCAAAAAAATATTTTTTTCCGCTCGCGCCCGCATGCTGTGAATAAAAAGTAAAATAAAGTTGAAAAAAATCACGACCGAGGTGAAAACTTTTTGCACGCGCTGAGATTGCGGTTCACTGTGGTCAGGATGCGATCTAACATTACATATCAGAGTGCCTGGCCGGAAAAGAGCGCATCATTCTTGTCTTCTTTTCGTCGTGGAAGGCAAAAGGGGAGTAGGTTTACTCACGGTTCATTTCGCTGCGAAAGCCCCGGCACTTGGGGGGCGGTGACGAGAACCGAAAGCCGATGGGATTTATCGTCACACGCCATCGTCTTAAAACACACCGGAAAGTTTTTTTTTGTTTCTGCGCGTCTTCCGCACAGCCTTGACTCGTAGGATGAAAAGTAAACGGTGTGTCTTTCCGCCGCGCGCTTCCGCTAATGGTGACGCAGTGTGCGCCTGCCGACAGCGGAATGAATCCGGAAACAAGTCACAATCACAACTTACATGCAAGGGACAAGTCACAAGTTACTAGCACAACATTACCCTAGCGCAGAAATAAATTTTCATCACAAACATTTTATTCGTTGAGCTAAAAACAACGCACATCATTACACGTAATAAATGTAAGGTTATGTCGGCGGTAAAATATGGCAGGTTATGTTGTCTTAACCATTTCAACATTTTCTCCGAATGTGCGGCGGCGCTTCGGGCGCTTTTAATTCCTAAAATTTTCATTTCTCATTTCTCAACGTTGATAGCATTATGCCACACGAGCGAGCAATTGCGCTCTAGGTGTGCGTATATGCAAAACAGTCCATAAACTTGGATGAATAATATATCAACGCGCCATCGACGTAGTTACTCGAGCTCTACCCCGCTTTGCTTGAGCGCTTGAGGGGTACGTACAGGTTTTGCGCGCGCGAACGCGAGATGCTTGGGAATTTCGTGTTTATTGTGTGTTTACGATGGCGGAAACTTTATAATTCAACGGGAAATTCTTAATTAGACTCCAGTTGTTGTGTTCTCCACCAGTGCGGCACGCATTTACCAGCCAGAAAGTTAAAAAAGCCAGCAATACTAAATTTCCCCTCATGGTACAAGCATAAGCAAAAAAATTGTTTATTTTGAATTTTGCGATTTAATTGGATGTGCGTGTTGCGCTGATAATGATGAAAATCGATACCGTAACTTTGGATTCGCTTGTTATCCCACAAGTGTAACATCATCACCTGTAATAGTTCGCCAAAGTACAGAACTTACTAAATTGCACTTGTTACTCGGCCACGGGCACATGTCTAAGAGTATTTGACGCTAAATAGCGCAAACTTAACTCTATAAGCTGTATAAACTCGACGAAGTTTAACAAGCCGGCTTGATGACACTGCACATCTAATCAATGATAGAATAAAGTTTTTTAAATTTTTACTTTGTTTTTATTTATTTTTTAAGTTTAACAGGACTTTATAGTACAAAACCGGAAGTAAAGTATGTTAGTGGCTAATTGTGTGGAGACTAAGGCGGTCTAATCGTTGTCTGGAAGAAAACAAACATCAAAGTCGCCGCCGCCGGCTGAAACATCAAGGGTACATCAAAGGCCCTTTACCCTCATACGCACACGGAATTTTTCATGCACTGCAACCAGTTGAAGTCGGCACACACGCATTTGACTAATACAGAACATTATCGAACGCTATTTGAGCGCGGATAATTAGTTGTTTGTTTTATCGCGCGCAACGCGGTTGAACTAATCGTTCAATCATACACAAGGGAGCTGCAATTGTGTACATTGTGTATGCCGATATCACCTGCGTCGGAAACATTGTTAATTAGCTATATTAAACCGACCAAACACCAAAGAGGATGAGCACTTCAGTCAAATACGATTAAATTCTATAATTGTTTGTTAAATTCAACACCAATTGACATCTAGTCTCATCACCGTGGTAATTTTATACTAAAACATGTTTCAGGTTCATAGCAATTGCGGAAATCCGCTTTTCATCGACGCCGCTTGACGTCATTCCATTCGTGAATAATCGAAGCGTGCCCGGAAAAGGGCCAATCGTTAAAATTCATGCAACAATTCATACGCAATTTTGCACTGGCCGGAATTATCATAATTTTTCCATGATTCATACCCAGCGCATTGTACAGATAATGAGTAGTTCACGTTATTGTTCGCTGGGCTGAAACGGCTGAAACGTCGAGAGGTCAAATGGGCGGAAAGTGCGTGAAAGCAAGCCCTGGTTTAATGATTGATGCGCGTCGAACGTTGAATGCGAGGGATGATTAAACAAATGACGTGACATGCACGGGAAAAAAATCAACGCTGAAAGCCGTGTTTTACAGAAAGCTAAATTTAGCGCGCTCATGAATTGAACATTGGACTCAACTAGCCTAATAGTTTGTTGGTTGTCTGGCCCTACAAATAACTACAGTTCACTGTTGACAATAGACATAGACACGCATTCACATTGAATCGAATGTAAACAGCAGACAATTTGCGAATATATTTAGTGAATTTATTCCGTTTGCTGTCACATTATTCGCCGGCAGCACGAAGGTTTCGTTTGTTCTTTGAATTTGCTACACGGTAAACATTCGAATGATTTATACACGTGTAGGTATATACGAGAACATGTTTTACGTTAATTATATGCTCATTATCCGTCTTTAAGTGCGCATGACATAATTAACCGCAAGCTGGAAAAAATTATACGCTCATCCGTTGTAACGAAGTTGTCAAGCCACTAAACCGTCGAAATAAAATAAAATAAGCAGCTCAAGTCATTTTTTGTCCGCTGGCGGGATTAAATTTACGCTAAGTTGGCCGTCTCTCGTTGCGGTTGTCGCAGCGCTCCTATCGCGTTACATTTTGCATTATGCTCGTGACTCGTTCGATTATAATCAGCAACAAAGCGGAGGAGGACGTGTAATCCGACGGATTAATTCCTAACCCCCAATTGCTGCGCGCTACACTGCGCTGCGGTTATTAACTATTCACGCTAATGAATATTCTCTTACAACGTTCGCAACAATTGACAAAAACAGCAAAACAAAAGCAACAAAATGAAAAAATCTACTTTTCCTGTTTAAATACTTCGTAATAGTATTGTAGGCAACCAAAATGACATCAAAAATAAACAAGTTGCTTATTCTAATGCTACATAACCACAAAAATGATTAAAATTAATAAATATAATCCGATTTCTAAAGTTAATATTCACATTTATATAAAACTAGCTTTAACCCACGGCTTCGCTCGCGAATATCTAAAATAATGAAGTTGCTTCCGTACGCGTCTGTAGTCACAGAAGAAGTAACAATGAAGTAGAATGGCGGGAAGTTTAAAATGGCCGAAAGTATAGTCTATGGAAGTATAGTGTACAGTCTCCATAGTGTAGTCAATTGGATTTGATGTTGACGTAGCTGTCGGTAATACAGTGTGATAATACAGTGTGATGGTACTATAGTACTTAGGTGTGAGCTTCATTGCTGGAATGCTAGATGGCGTTAAAGTAGTCAATTAACCAGATGCAGAGGTATTATTGGCTAAACAATTTCTATATTTAATTTAAAAAATAATTTTTTTATTAAATAAAAAGTAGCCTTTAACCATTCGGGGACCACTAAGAATATGTGTACAAATTTTCATGATGATCGGTTAAGTAGTTTTTGCGTGAAAGTGGAACAAACATTCGGACTTTCGCATTTATAATATTGGTAGGGATTAAACAATAAATATGAAATTAATGAAATTATCCAACGTAAATTGTATCTGAATTGAAAGTTATCGACGTCGTTCAAATGCCCGGCTGCAATTTCCAATTTTAATCAAGCATTCAAAAACAGGGCGATTATATAATGTGGGGTGAAATCTGTAACTGTATAAATGTTTACTCCTTCAAGCGTGGCATTATATTTTCCACATTAAAGTTTTAATCGACGCAGGCCGAGCGTGAAACAATTGACAATTTAATAATGCTCCCCTGCGTCGGGAGACACTGTTTGCCAACCGTTTGGCCAAGCGTAGGCCTCTACCACCCTTTGCCACCCCCATTCCACAAACACACGCTCAGGCGAAATTTAATTACACGGAAAGATCAATTGGTTGTAAAACGGGCAAGCAGCGTCGAAAAAAACGAACGATTTCAGTTTTCAGCTAACTTTCCAGGGGAGTTGCGCGGAAATCCTTGCAATACAATATGTTGGTCTAATATACAGTGTGTTTAATTAGATTTATTGCATGGAAATAAAAATTTACTATATTTTACTTTTTTTATTTTAAATTAATGATTGTATTAGAATGATTGATTTTTTTCTGTATGGACACTTTGTATGTTGTATATAAACAAAGCACAATGCGTTCGGTGACATTGCGGACATAAATAACAATACTTAAATTGTCTTTTCCGGACTTCCGCCCGAATAATTCCCGAAAAAATAATGGACTCACATATTTTTTCTATATACTGTTTTCTATACGCGCCGCCCTCGCACCTTTTTTTCCTCTCCCAATTTCACCACGAATGTTTTCGTTTCCAATCTCCAATTTCCAAGTGCTCGTCCTAATGCGAAAGCCAACAAAGTAATTGTACCTATAGCGTATTAAACCGGTTATTCTGTCCTGTGGTATTATCAACAATTTCCGGCCTTTTTAATTTTTTCGTTCATCCCCCGCAAACAACTTTTAACCTTTCCACGCACCGAAAATTGAACGCAACGTAAGGAAATAATAAAAAATATATATTTTTATTTTGCAGCGCTATAAATGTATTCTTAGAGACTTTCTAATAGTAAATGATGTTGTGTTGTGTAGAGGAAGGTTTGTTTTTGTATTGGTATGTTAGAGGGCGTGCGGTACTAATTAAAACAAACGCGGCGAAAAATCTCATTTAATTAAGCGCCCAGAAACAATTAAGACCACACAAACGGGCGGGGAATGCAAATGGCCTGTGCAAATGGTATACATGCGTATTTTCTAATTTGTCGCACTTTATATAACTTCTTTTTTAGATTAAAAATTTTGCGCCCCCGGGTGGGATCGAACCACCGACCTTTCGGTTAACAGCCGAACGCGCTGCCGATTGCGCCACGGAGGCCGACGGGCGCCATTTTAATGTAATTTTTGACAGAATTTGAGAATTGAGGTTAGAATAGGTAATAACAAAAATTGGTAAAAAATCTATTGATTATGTATAGAATTTCACCATTGTTGCACCATTGTTTGATATTTTTGAGATTTTTTGATAGTTTTTGAGAGATTTTAAATGAGAAATGCAAAGTTTTCAAATGAAAATAAGTAATACTGAGTATAAAAAAGCATAATTTATCCTATTTGGTAAAATTCTATAAATTTGTTTTGTATTTTATTGTTTTAACAAATAATAGTCGTTAAATAAAAAGTATTGCCGCCCCCGGATGGGATCGAACCATCGACCTTTCGGTTAACAGCCGAACGCGCTGCCTATTGCGCCACGGAGGCTGACACCTGTCATTTAAGAACAATTTTTGACCGAATGACAAAATTGAGGTTAGAATTAAGAAAAAAGACTAAAATTTGCGCCCCCGGGTGGGATCGAACCACCGACCTTTCGGTTAACAGCCGAACGCGCTGCCGATTGCGCCACGGAGGCTGACAAACGCCATTTTTATGTAATTTTTGACAGAATTTGAGAATTGAGGTTAGAATAGATAAAAAACAGAAATTGGCAAAAAAATCTATTGGTTATGTGTAGAATTGAACCAATGAGGCAAATATTTGATATTTTTAAGCAGTTTTGATAATTTTTGAGAGATTTTAAAACAGAAATACAAAGTTATCAAATGAAAATAAGTAATACCAGGTAAGAGGAACATAATTTATCCCATTTGATAAAATTCTATAAATTTGTTTTGAATTTTATTGTTTTAACAAATAATAATCGTTAAATAAAAGGAATTGCCGCCCCCGGATGGGATCGAACCATCGACCTTTCGGTTAACAGCCGAACGCGCTGCCTATTGCGCCACGGAGGCTGAGACCTGTCATTTAAGAACAATTTTTGACCGAATTACAAAATTGAGGTTAGAATTAAGAAAAAAGACTATAATTTGCGCCCCCGGGTGGGATCGAACCACCGACCTTTCGGTTAACAGCCGAACGCGCTGCCGATTGCGCCACGGAGGCCCATACTAGCACTATAAACGAATTTTTACCACCATAACCTCAATTTAACACTATTAATTTTTAAATAACCATAGTAGTTTATTCAAAATTTGAAATCCACATATTTCAATCTATATTTCCATATTATTAAACAAGGCGCATTGATATTTAAATCAGTTAATTAACGCACAATCTCCAACCATCTGTAAAACAATTAAAACCACAATGCCGCGGCAGTAACTTTACATATCTTCATCAGTTCAACCCTACGACTCCCCAAACATAAATTAAATTACCTTCCACTCTCGTGCAGTTTACTTATTCACTACGTATATAGTTTATATAGCCATAAAGAGTGTCTGGTAGCGTACGTCATTCTTCGTGCAACGTCTGGGTGGATTTAAGCAGTGTCGGCTTGCGAATACGCGATTAATCTATTATACACCTGATGTTGCTCATCGTGAGCACAACGCAGCGTAGCGTAGGGTGAATGTTGTTTACTGGTTGAATAACTGCCCAAGGTAACGGTACACGAAGGCCTACTCAGAGGCCAAGAGGTTATGGACTCGCTCATTCTCTGGAGACGTTAGCGCCACACAATGATACAAACGTATCGCAACAGATTTTCTATGCAACCAAACTAACGCGATGAAATTTACTGTGAGCTTGGCTGCATGCCTGCAAGGCGATGTTGTAAATATTCTCAACTGGAATTCACGCCCGGCGTGAAGTGGCACACTATAGGTCACACGTTGTTGGTTATTCATTGAATTGCATTGGAGAAGGGTGCTCCCTAGGGATGAAATTTACAATTTATACAAAATGTTACGATAAATTGGTGAATTAATCGCTTTAATTAATTTTTTTGTGTGTGGATGATTACTTTCTAGGTTATCTTCGGTGGTGGGCGCCGCCATTGGTTGCCGAAAGTAGCGCACGATCCTGAACAGATAAAAGAAGAGGGCCGGCGGCTGGACGGACGCAATCTGATCGACGACTGGGTTCGCGACAAGAAAAAACGCGGTCTGAAGGCGGAGTATGTGTGGAACAAGGGACAACTCGATAAAGTCAACCCGAATCAAGTGGACCACTTGCTCGGTGAGTGTTTTATTACTTATTATACGCTGCGCCTCGCTGCGAGATTAACATCGTGCTGATAAGTTGGAAAAGACATTCGGCAAGACAAGAAAAACTTTACGAAGATAATAAAAAAATATATATCATGATATTTTTTGCCGAAAACATAAAATTTGTTTGTTTTTGTTTCTACAAGTCTAAATTTAATGAAAAAAAAAGGAGAATGCCGCCCCCGGGTGGGATCGAACCACCGACCTTTCGGTTAACAGCCGAACGCGCTGCCGATTGCGCCACGGAGGCTGACATTTGTCATTTTAGAACAATTTTTGACAGAATTACTAAATTGAGGTTAGAATTAAGAAAAAAGACTAAAGTACACGCCCCCAGATGTGATCAAACCACTGGCCTTTCGGTTAACAGCCGAACGCGCTGCCTATTGCGCCACGGAGGCCCACACCCGCCATTTTATAATTATTTCTGACACCGGAAGTGTAGACAATGCATTTGATTATAGATTCCATCTTAGCTCGCGCGATAAAATTAAACGCGTTTTCTTTTTATTGTTTTTTTTTTCGTAGCTATAACTCAAGCGCCTTTCAGTTTTCACCAGCATCACGGCTTGGCGATGCCGGAGGTGGAGAAAAGCTGCATTGCTTCGTATTAACGCGCGCTCAGATAGAACCGAAGAGCGAGGCGGTGGCAAGCGAATCTCAACGAAATATATGTCGTTAGGGGACGATGGGATTTAACGCGCAAGAAAAATGTGTTTCGCTTCGCTACGCGCACGGTTAAGAACACAGGGACTAAGCTGTGCGTCGTTGTATCGCGAAAGCAAGGGGCGCCCCAGCCGGAAAAGAAGCCGGGGACGTCGTAATTACTTGATTTTTATCACGCGCATGTAAGAAATGTTGCTGCCACGCGAAGAAATGACCCAGAACAAGTGTGCTATTAATAATATACAAAATATATTTTATTTAATTACTATACTCAAGTGTTATATTTATAACCCGAAAAAAAGATAATTTGGTTTATTACGGCATGGCGCCGTCTTAAAACCGGAAGTGCGGTACAAAAATTTAAATTAAGTACTCGTAAAAGTATAAGTTTACGATCCAATAATTCCATTTCGATTTTATTGCACTTTAAAGAGCACGCGTGCCGTGTTACTGATAAAAATTTGCATAAATATTTAAAATTATGCTGGCGGCAATAACGGCCGCCTTGACGGACGCAGAAAAGCATTAAAGTGACAAAGCGTAGTGGCTTTAACACCAACGCTCGCTATTTTTATTTTTATTTCGGTTTTTTGTAGGTCGCCGCTGTGGTGTTGCCCTAAGCACATTAAAATGTTAATTAAATATTCGCGTTTACAGTCGCGTGCGTTTAACACCTCACGTGTTTAAAAAGCTAGACATAAATCTGTTTTAATTCAACTACAGTGGCGGAATTTAGACATTAAAGTATAGAAAAATGAAAATTTTGTCGCCCCCGGGTGGGATCGAACCACCGACCTTTCGGTTAACAGCCGAACGCGCTGCCGATTGCGCCACGGAGGCTGACAAACGCCATTTTCTTGTATTTTTTTGACAGAATTGCAGAATTGAGGTTAGAATAAATGAAAATATTGAAAACAACCGCCCCCGGGTGGGATCGAACCACCAACCGCCGAACGCGCTGCCTATTGCGCCACATAGGCAGATATTTGCAATTTTTAACTAGTTTTTGGTGAATTTCACACAAAAATAAAAAAAAATGATAGAAAAAAAGATATAAAGGGTATAAACCGCTGTAGGAAGCTTAAATTTTACTTTTGCTTTTTTGAGTGTTGAAAATTGTACTTTTATTGAAGTACAGATTGATTTATTTGCTAAAAATAGTTTTAAAAATAGCAACACAGGACGATAAACTATGCGATTATACACAGTTTAAGCTCTTTCATTCATTTTTATAAATTTGTTGCATATTTCAATAATTGATATGTATTTATTTAAAAAGTCTTGCCGCCCCGGGTGGGATCGAACCACCGACCTTTCGGTTAACAGCCGAACGCGCTGCCGATTGCGCCACGGAGGCTTGATGAACTACTACTTTAATCTATGCAACCAAAACAGCATGCTGTACATAACCAAAATCTAAAACAAATCCGCAACACGAAAACAAACCAGCTTTTAATTACAATTCTCTCTCTACACGAAACAAAAGCCAAATAAATGCGAACACAATTACGTTTCATAAAGAAAGAAATTTCTTTGTCTTTAAAATCTCGCCCGCTTCAACAAAAGCTAATACTACAGAGTCTCATTCAAAGAGCTTTCAAATTTTAATTCATCTACTTTTTTTGCATTACGTACGTATATTTTGTTCGCATACAATAGAAGTGTAAACATGGTGAGCTAGCTGAAATCGCACAACCGAATCTAAACGCGTTGGCTCCGAACGCGAATCGTGTCGCTATTATGCGCCGAGTTGGAGTTTAATTTAGCTTATCACACTTGGGTGATCTAAGTCCGAAAATTATTCGCATACACCTAACCAACACTAAAAAACAAAAAAGAAAAAAATTCTGTTGTTGATTTAACAATAGAACAACAACAAAAAATGCTTTGTATATAAACTCATCGATTTAAGCACTAAAAAGTTTTATGAACAACATTGCAGCGAGAAAAGTTCGCTTCGATTAAACTCGAATTTCACCCACATCGAATTTCTATTTATGCAGCCGCAAAAGTGGAGCGAAATAAAGTCACAAAGAAGTCGGGCACGTAGCAAGCTTGCGCGGCACGGTTCAGTGGGTCACGATTGCGTATGAAATAAATTCACGTGATTTATTGCATCGGAGGCGAAGCATTTAGCCGACTGCTGCTTTGGTGGAGGCGCCGAGCACTATCCACGTTGTATATACGTAAACGTAGTATGTGTATGGTGCATATCGCAAAACAGCATAAATATAAACATTGTCATCTCTAACTTTTACTCCTCGGCTCGGATTTCAGTGCAGCGCGAATTCCAACGTCATTCATCATCTTTGCAATCTGTTATGGCTTGTATTTTTTAATTAAAAATACTTTGCTTGGCTTCACAAAGTTATAATTAAGAATTGAACAGACAAAGAATGTTTAATTTGTTTTTTCAAGAATAAAATTACAAAAATAGTTTTTTTTTGCCTTTTTTTGATGTTAAATCAAGTCTTTTCGCTTCTAAGAACTCACTTAAACTTCGACTTTTCCCTCCCCAGCTGTCTCTCCTCTTCGATTCGCTTTAAATTAATTAATCCGTTCGGTCGCCTCGGTTGTGTCGTGCCCGCCTTCGGCATCGTCGCCAAAGTATACTAAATTTCAGCTAATTAATTGGACAATAAATAACAGACAAACCACCATCGCGCAAACTGGCTGGTAGGCAACCAACACAGCTTTTGGTACAAGTACGGATTGATTTCGCTTTAATAGCACGCGCCGCCTTTGCCGATCGAAATCCGCACGGCTTCCAAGATTCTATAGCGTTACAATGCGTTTGGTAGAATCAAAGAGACATCTTTGTATGGAACAGAGACAAGACGCCAAGAAAAGCACGCAGTTGTGTTGTGTGTTGCGAGTTGGCCCCCATTTTCGGCGAGTTTCCGTGGAACGTGATAGCTATGCAAACCGCATGAGTTTATTTATTGTTATTGAGGTTATGTAACCAGCCGGCGAGTGCTTTATCACGTTTTATCGACGTTTGTAATCGATTACAAATAACTACGTACTAATTGATTTAATTTGATTCATTTGCGTATGAATTTTTATATTGGTTACTATTTAATAGTAAAATCCATGCGGAAAGTTAATTATTTATTTATACGTTCGTTTAGTTTTATAAAATTTAATATTTTATACTTGCAGAACTCAATAAATGTAAAAACAAATTTTTTAAATAAAAAATATTTTTGCAACTTTTGGGCGTAAATTTACGTTTTTGATGATGTATGGATAGCATAATGGCGGCTGTCATAAGTGACGCAGCGCGTAACGGTCAACCATGATGATTTTTAGGTTCAGCGGGATGAATGCGCCGCCATTACAGTTCCGCTGAATGCATTCGCATAAAAAGCAAAAATGCTAAAACTGAACGTTACAAAGTGGGTAACTGCAAATTTTTAATATCGCATCAAATAACAATGGTCGCAAAAAATGACTGCGTCAACATTCCGCGCGTTTTTGAGTGTTGAATGGACAAAATCGTCAGCGTTTAGAATTTTTTGTGTGTGACACACGCCATTTCCATATCGAGTTCACGTGCGTTCGATGCAGTTCGTTGCACTTTCGAGTATTTCATCGAAAGCACTCGAGTGGAAAGTGCAAGAAACGCCCCGACGCCTTTCAAACATGATTCCAATCATGAATTCAACTTCTTATTTTTTTTTTTTGGTGTAATCTTTGAGTTAAAAAATAAAATTTGATAGGTTAGGTTAGATAAATTGCGAGTTCATGCGATGGCACGCAAATTCACAAGGCTGGGTCTTATTTAGTGTAAAAACATCCCGTGCGGACAGTGAATCATAGTTAGCTTTCGCAGCCGCTAGGGTGGTTTACGGCACAAGAGGAAAATTCAGCTGGTACGTGACACGCCCCTCTTATACTAACATGAATATAAACACTCTGTGCAGCCTCCGACGTTCTCATTTTTATCTCATCTTTAGGCCCACGGCTTCCAGCCCCGAAAAAGCCGCATGAAAAACATTGTATACCTTCAGGGGGTGTTTTTCTTATTTTTGAGATAATCCGAAATTTTTGGGGTGGTATATTATTTTTGGAAAATATATTTTTATACAACATTTATTTTTTAGTTATTATTTATTTTTGTAAAAACAAAAAATGTAAAATTTTATTTTTTGATAAACCGGCTTTTGCCCGCGACTACCGGGACAGTGTTTAATAAAAATGTAATTTGTTTTTACGCTTTTGTTCTAGACATAGTATGTGTCAATCCTATCAATAAGATTCGCAATTTTATTTTAAAGAAATTAATTATATAAAATATTGCTAATAATGCACTTCAGCGCGCCATCTCGGATTCCACTATTTAACTATAACTATGATTGAATCTCAATGCCAACTTTTATCCTATAGAAAAGGGCTATCTTTAGGGTTTTCCCGGCAATTATTCAAATTTTTCTCGCCGTAAAAACCATCCTTGGACCTTAACGAACATTTAAAAAAAAGAATTGACCAAATTGGTCTAGGCGTTGTTGAGTTATGCGCTTACCAACAGATTTTGCGATTCATTTTTATATTATAAATTTATTTATAGTTATCATTTATTTATTTTTCAAGGAAGAAAATGTAAAATTTAATTTTTTGTTGAATAAACACTGTTGGTTGTCACAACAAAATGATTCACAGAGATTTCAATTTGTTGTTGGCAATAAATAGAAAATTGAAAATGTGACAATGCGAGAAAATTGAAATCTTCGCGCATAAATCGATGAAATATACAAACGAAAAAAGAACAGCGCACAATATTCTTTTGTATTTTAGTTCCATTTTGACACTGCGACAAATAAGAAGTTGACGTGTAATATTTCAAAAACTAACAATAATATTAGATTTCAATTTAGATTTTAGCGAAAACTTTTTTTGAATTTTCATATTTCAACCCGAATGCATATCCAATATTGAGTTACTTGTACATCGGCGTTTTGCAATCCAACACATTCAAGATGCATCCATTTCCAATATTTGCACGACTCTTCTATTCGTACACTCGACTAGGTCCAATTCCAGTAAGCAGGCGTATTTTTAGCAATTTTATTTACATCGACTAATGCCATCGCTCACTTTCCTATTATGTGAGTGCAAGATGTCAACGCTAACATACCTATATCACCGACAGCAGCCATTTTACTTTATAAGAAATCACCGCGTTGTAATATCTGTAATAAAAAAATAAATCGCAAAATCTGTTGGAAAGCGCATAACTCATTAACGCCTAGACCAATTTGACCAATTCTTTTTTTAAAATGTTTGTTTAAGTCCAAGGATGGTTTTTACGGCAAGAAAAATTTGAATAATTGCCGGGAAAACCCTAAAGATAACCATTTCCTATAGAATAAAAATTGGCATTGAGATTAAATCATAGTTATAGTTAAATAGTTGAATCCGAGATGGCGCACTGAAGTGCATTATTAGCAATTCTTTATATAATTAATTTCTTTAAAATAAAATTGCGAATCTTAATGATAGAATTGACACATACTATCTCTAGAACAAGAGAGTAAAAACAAAATACATTTTTATTAAACACACGGGAAAAAAGTCGCTGGCAAAACTTAGTATGAACCTATATTTATAAAATTATGTTGTTGAGGTTATGTTGGATTATAAATGTTATTTTTTCGATGATTAAGTGTTTTGCAAGCGCGCAATCAAGCAAGTCACGCAAAACAATCACCATGGGTATTCTTAACAATTCGCAGCACGCGGCGTGCGCATTGAATAATAATCGCAACTTTATATCCCCCTGAAGTGTTGCTAACCTTGCTAACTATGCGGTCGCGCCATTTTATGACGCCTCGTATAAGTGAATTATGGCGCTGATTGTGCGCTCACAGTTTTTATTAATAATCTTGACTGCGTTCAGTATTTAATAAATCGCACTCTATTTATAATTTATGTATAAATATAGCATCATATTTATAGTTATCTGATTTAAAACGAAAACTTTTATTAGTTTGCATGCGGTTTATGCTGGTTATGTAGTTTGTGTTGCCTACATGCAAAGTTGCAGTTTTAAACATCGCATTATTTACTTTTGTTTGACAGATGTGGAGTTGGAGTTAAAGTTGGTGGGAAAGTTAAGTTGGGCATTAACGCTTTTTATTGTCCACATTGTAAAAATTCCACAATAAAACGCAACTTTCCGAGCGCAGTGATAAAACTGATTAAATTGCGTTATATTTGCATAATAATAACCTCAAAATTATTTATGATATGTGAATTAAATTACACATTTCAATATGATTGATAAGCACGTGGAATAATTTAATCCTCGTGAGAGCTCACATGTCAAAAGTGAAGAGGTGAAAAGTTCCGGTAGATTTCCACATTCCGCGCTTATATGAAATGTGTATCTAACTAATCTCGAACAAACAATAACAGCGCCTCTGCGCCCAACATGATATCACAACCAGAAACACACAAAATTTGCAAACTTTCTTCTCACTCCAGGCGCAATGCTCGGAAACTTCTCTTACGGTGTGTGTCGCCGTCGTTTAAAAGGCACGCATATAAATGAAAAAAATGCGAATGCGTGTCAAGTTGTCGACATTCCGAAGAGGGATCAAAACTCGCCGGCGGTCTTTGAGCAAACAATTTTTCCCCCGGCCATGCGTCCAGGCCGAGACCTTTTTGTTCAGCCTTCCGGCGCGGCTCGCTGTGAATGCGGAATAAAGCCACTTAGAAACAGTAGTTTACATCACATTAGAATACTCCGACGTGGCATGGGCGTGAGATCAAGGCGTACGTGACTCCAACGGGAAGAGGGTGGCGAATGCCGTTGACACATTGTTACACAAAGTTGAAGTTACTGCCCTCCGAAAACCAGAGAGGACCCTTTTTTTAAAACTGGATTTTTTCGTTACTAAAAACTCAATGAAACTCAAAATAACCTCAAAAAGATTTAGAGGTTAATTTTAAAACAAAACAAAAAAAATTATTTTACTTTTGCAACTTGGTGATCAAGATATTATAATAGATCAAACTGTCTGTTTCAATATTTTCGTTTTGTGAGATGGAGCGATCTCCTCCACTTCGCCGGGACCCTTCGAGCACTTTGCATAATGGAAGACACACAACAAGCAGCAAAGTGCTGGACGTGGAAAAATAATAAGCTTTATATATGCGCATTACAATTTTTCTCCTTTTCCCCGGCTCCTATATCCGCTCTCTACTTTCTACTCTCCTGACGCCTTTCCCAACCGCAGCGCATACCGCGCATACGTTCGGCGGTTGTGGTTATGTTTGGTAATGTGTGCGTGTACAGGTTATGGCGGTTGACTTATTTGCCTCTCATGTATATCTCACGGCGAGCACTTTCCCTCCGTGGGACACGCTCGTGCGCTTATTATGATTATAATGTCATATTTATTGTTTTATATAGAACGTACGCAGGCAGGCGAAAACGTGCGGTGCGTTGCAAAACGCAAAATGATTTCAAACGGTAACAGAAAGTGAAAGCGAAAACGTGAATGTGTACTGTGAGCGCGTGTTAGTGTAATAATAATAATCATAGAATTCAGGTGGAATGAAAAAGCCTTGATGGGGCTTGAAAACGGTTGCGAAACGAGCAAAGGTCAGACAAAAAGTACAAGTGATAAAATTCCAACCTCACATTCCAGCGTTAGGTATAATCTCGTTGTTAAAATACTCACTGTACGCTTCTGGACATATAATATAGGCAACCAACTTAACACAATTACTGCATGTATATAACCTAATATAACCAACATTTATTTGATGTTTGAATCATTGAACGCAAATAAAAACGAAATTTATATGAACAAAACGATCAATCAACAAGACGGGGTAATGATTAGGTGCGTGTGACTGATTGAACTGAATAAATTTACGATGTGTAAACAGCGCGAGTTTTAATCATCGCCGGAAACGAATTGGACCATGTCATAAATCATCGGCCGTTTCCGGAGACTACTGCGTTCATAATTCATTCGTATTTTTTTCCATTGTTTTGTTACTTGCTGCGAAAAACACTAATGAATTTCGATTTCAATTTATTGGTCGAGTTGAATATAAATAAACATACACGCCACCACTCAAAAGCAACAACAGTTGCTAAAAAGCTAAAAAAATTGTTTTTTAACAAATTTTTATTTAATTTCAGGATTATTCTCATATTCACATATGGATTTCGAAGCGGATCGTGATCCAGGACCAACCGGTGACCCTTCACTAGCAGATATGACCCGTTCAGCCCTTTCGGTGCTTCTAAAGAACCCGAAAGGTTTCTTTTTGTTTGTTGAAGGTAAGTTGTAAGTTTTTGGTGTTTTTTTTAACCGCTACGTCGATTTTTACATAAACAATGTGTCGAAATGAAAGCTTTCCGCAAGATAAACAACGTAATTTAATTTCAAACATTTTTGCACTCCCGAAAAGTTACGAGTGCAAAATGCATAGAATTTTTGAATTTCGAAATGTGAATTCACAGGATCCGAATGGAAACCGAATGCCGCCGTGAGGGTGAAATTTATTTTGCACAAGTGGCACGCCGGATCGAGGGGCACATGTGTTGCCACTAATGCTCAATTTTGCTATTCAAGCGCGCGCGGGGGTTATTCTCAAACTAACCGATTGAAAATTTGATTTCGACCTCGGCTGCTCGCGATTTCATCCGCAGGGCTGATTTTTTCACCCATGCTTGTTGTTTTATTGCGGACAAAATCCAAACTGATTCGTTATAATGTTAAAAATGCAAAGAATTCTTTTTATTTTATTTTCAAGCGAATTTTATTTTGCGTGCGACAAAAAATAAATAAAAGAGTAGAAATATTTGCGATGGTAGTCGATACGCTCGCACCGGAATTCATTCTCGCTTCTGGACTTGTTGGACCTTTGCCAAAGATTCCACCCCCATTCGAATTCTTTCGCAAACGGAAATTCCTACAAATGTGACTGCGACTCTGTAGTCGTTTGGCACTCGATCGGACTCCAAAAGTCGGCAAGTTTTTCACTAGCTCAAGGACAACCGAAAACACACCCCTAATATTATTTTTACTATTTTTAAATACAAAAAAATTCAAATTTTAATTATTACTAGCTTTTGCCCGCAACTTTGTACCGGTAGTGTTAAATAAAAATGTAATTCGTTTTTACTCTCTTGTTCTAGACATAGTATGTGTCTATTCTATTAATAAGATTTGCAATTTTATTTTAAAGAAATTAATTATATAAAGAATTGCTAATAATGCACTTCAGCGCGCCATCTCGGATTCAACTATTTAACTATAACTATGATTGAATCTCAATACCAATTTTTATCTTATAGAAAATTGCTGTTTTTAGTGTTTTCCTGGCAATTATTCGAATTTTTCTCGCCGTAAAAACCATCCTTGGACTTTAACAAACATTTTAATAAAAGAATTGGCCAACTTGGTCAATGCGTTGTTGAGTTATACGCTTACCAACACATTTTGCGATTCATTTTATTTTATATTATAGATTTCCTATTGCCATATGGATTTTGTAGTAATAAAAAAACCTAACAAAAGGCGGATGTTTAATTAAAACTTCGTTTTCTTTCATCTCCATCTTTGTTTTTTGTGTGTTTCTTATTTTTTCATCGTGGCGTTTGCTTCGATCCTTTAATGCGTTGCTTTTTTCTTATTTCGCAAGCTTTGTGCGTCCGGGTAGCGAAAACGAATGGGTTAATTGAATCCATCGCCCCGGCGTCGACGGAACATAAATACATAAGAGGCCAACAAAAACAACCCATTCACCGATGTACGATGGTCGCGCGCGAATGAAAAGATCAGAAAGGATCAATTAAATTAATAACTCTCCGGAGAACTCAAGGAAAACTAGTTGAAAGGCGTTTCATTGATGTCGGCAGTACTTACTACATCACTTAACCTAATATGATATTAATTTGTAGGTTATGTGAGTGTAACCTTACATTTATTGCCTTTTTTCTTTGGTTAGGTGGGCGTATTGATCATGCGCATCACTACAACAACGCCTATCGAGCATTGGATGAAACACTCGCGATGGAAACAGCTGTTTTGGCCGCTTTGGCAATGGTTAACCCAACGGAAACACTAATTGTACTCACATCGGATCATTCGCATGTGATCACACTTGGCGGTCAGGCCACACCACGTGGACATCCAATTTTAGGTAAAAATTACAGATTTCTTTTTTTTTGTGTTTCTATTCTGTATGCAATCATTTGATTGTGTCCTTTCTCCTTCATTATATGATGTTTATTATAGGCCCGGATAGTAAAGTCTCCGACGTCGACGGCCAGCCCTACACGACGATTCTGTATGGCAATGGACCCGGGTATAGCACTCCACGCGTCATCCCCATCAATTCGACGACCGCCTCGGAGGACCGGAATCAAGTGCACGGCTCAGCGGTTCCGAGACAATGGGCCACGCATGGAGGTAAACAGATTTCTTCGGTACACACTCGTCGCTCGCAATAAAATTGACATAGCCAAGCGAACAATTTAATCAAAGTATTGCATTGTTCTTATTGGATGAGTATAAACACACGCAACAACACACGCACTCAGTAAATTAAAGAATTCTAACATTTGCACACAAAAAAAGAGGGGAAATAAGTGAGGTTATGTGTGATGTTAGGTTGCGGCGAGCACGTCCTTGGAATTTTTACAACCGCGCCTTTCACCGGTGGGGAGTTTAGCAACTAATGCACGTCCTGCCTGTGGCGCACGTTGCAACACGCTTACGTGCTGCCATCTTAACGTGTTTGCAAGTCATTAAAGTGCACGCTTCGCATCCAGGAGTGCAACATTAAAATTTTATACATTTTGGTTAATGTATCTGTATACAGATTTCTACAGTGTGTTTATTTTTAATTTCGCAGGGGAAGACGTGCCCGTGTACGCCCTGGGGCCGTTAGCGACGACGCTCTTCACCGGCACGTTCGATCAGAGTTACATCCCGCACGCCATCGCGTACAGCGCCTGCATCGGCGAACACCGTCTGCGATGTCACGGCAACGATAATAACACCGCGCTGCAAAACTCCATCGCTAGCGTTGGCTTAGGCAGTGCGTCTTGTTCACCGGCGGAGAATGGCGGTGCCTCCGGCAGTGTACCGGTTGTCATCGCCAGTAGCGTCATGGCCGACGACGGCACACGTAGCAAATCACGCGCGGGTAGAGGGCGCCACGTATATGATTCAACAGTACGCGCGGCGCTCACCATCGCGGCCATCTTAGCAAGCGTCACGTAATAAACACAATAATGCGCGTTTTAAAACAGTGAAGCACATGATAAAAGTGATGATAAAACTCGAAGCGAACGTGCGGGCTGTCAGGGTATAAAACAAAACACTAAACACAGTTAAGCGGACAATATAAACCACATAAAACACACGAATAATTTACTTAAGATGATAAAACTATAGAATATATCTACTATATACACATATAAATATATATAAATAATTTCATTCATTTGAATAGTTTGTTTCGACTAATTAATATCAATTTAAAGTGTAAATATTGAATGCAAGCACGCACAGGGACGAGATTTCATATTTGACCAAGGTGTGATGTGTAAATAAGTAATTAACGTTAACCGCGCGACGTAAACACGAAGAACACATTTATTTGCCCTGAGACAATATTGTGCGGTAAAATGATTGTGTGCAGTGATAAAATTACGTGAACTTATGCACTAATTATGAGTAAATATTAAGTCGTAACTACTTAATGTAAACTAATCAAAAACTAATCAAAACACACGCAACCAGTCACACATGAATTTAAATACGTTGATTATAAAAATTGTGTATAAAATACAACGATTTGTTTGACATGGCAACACTGCCTAATTCATAACCTCAAATCATTGAGCAGTGTTGCCATTTTATACAAATACTTATTTATTACATATAGATGTTTTATTATCTATTGAATGGAATCATTTCTTCTGTATAAGCATCAAAACATCCCGACCTGTTCTTTTTGATGTCTACACAAATTTAAAAAACGAATTAAAATATGAACCCTTAGATGTACCACCTACCACTTTGAATTATAAAACTAAAAACAAACGAAGATTGCATACATGTGAAAACTTATCAAGAAAACGATGTAAACAAGAAGATATTACGTAAGTTACTGAAACCTAACGAGACTTAAATGTTGATTTTGTTATTTGTACATAAATATATTCAAAATTTAAGCGGATAAGCTTTTTATCACCTAATTCTACGTTTGCAGTGTCATCTTTATGATAACATCAAACGGTTTTATTTGGATGCCGGAGTCTCGAACAAAACACACTGGCATTATTGCAGTTGTTGGCTGCATCTCTATGAACCCCCATCAGTTTTATTTGCGCGTCATATCATTCATTTGCACATAGCTTAGAGTGACATATTCCCGCGGCGCGCAGACGTTTTATGGTCGCGTGTGCCACGTCATTATCTTTACGCCGGTTTAATGCGCGAATGCGTCGTTATTCGTTTCGCTCGGCATCCTGCAGCGGTGCAATAATGTTGCTCTGGATGTCTTTCAGCTCGTATCATATGCGCAAGATAAACAAACATGCCGGACGCGGCTGACCGGAAGTTATCCAGCGAGAAATTTCCAACTTAGAAAATACAAATTTCGAACATTTTCAATAAACTTTCAGCATCGATAAATTTGTGGCATTCCAGGATTTCAGTTATAGAAATAACCGTGCCTCGGAAGGTTTAAGCCGGTGAGATGCCACTCGTGTACTCGGGAGGCGGCTGCACTCGTGGACGGGGCACTTCGGAATACGGCAAACTCTCTACGAACAATCGAAACACGCCGATTGTTGACTTTGTGTACTAAGTACACAGACGAAACTGTTTGTTCTGACGCCGCCGCCGCCTGCGCCACCCGCGCGCACATGCGAGTAACAATCCGTTGATTCTCTCGCAAGGCGAAACGTGTTCCATCTGCAGAAGGAAAACATGTCCGAGGCGTGCGAGGAGTGTCGCTTTATTAACTCAACTTATTTTATTATCGAGTAGACTGGATGTAAGTAGGTGCTTATGTTGCTTACAGGGCTAGATCCAATATAGAGTAGACGAGAGTGACAGATGGAAGGAATTAAATTCTTGTATTTACAACATTATCGGAAATTTTGCGCGTGATTTTGTTCTGGTAGGGTTTAATAAAAATGTAATTCGTTTTTATTCTCTTGTTCTAGACATAGTATGTGTCAATTCTATCAATAAGATTCGCAATTTTATTTTAAAGAAATTATTTATATAAAGAATTGCTTATAATGCACTTCAGAGCGCCATCTCGGATTCAACTATTTAACTATAACTATGATTGAATCTTAATGCCAACTTTTATCCTATAGAAAAGGGCTGTTTTAAGGGTTTTCCCGGCAATTATTCGAATTTTTCTTGCCGTAAAAACCATCCTTGGACTTTTACAAACATTTAAAACAAAGAATTGGATAAATTGGTCTAGGCGTTGTTGAGTTATGCGCTTACAAACAGATTTTGCTATTCATTTTTGACGTGATAACGTCTTTAAAATCGTTTTAGTCGGGTGACATGTTCAGAAACTTGTGTCGCGAGGCCTCACGAGGCCGATCGCAGGTATACCCCCCTCTCGTTATAACCAGTGAGAGACGGACCGATCTCCCGTCTCATCTCGAGCGCTGCCAGTCATTCCGTGAAACTTGTCACGCGGAATCCACACGAGCGGAGGCAGGCATAGCGTTCGAGTGAGTTGACCGATCTTCCGTCTCTCTCACTCTAGCGGCATACAAACGAATGGAGATTTTCTCGTGCGGTTAAGTTTTCGTTGAATGTTTAACAGTGAAACAAAATGTGAAGTGCCAGTGAAGTGTTACAACAATTGCAACAAACAAAACCAATAAGACGTTATCACGTAAACATCTCGATCGTAAACCTACTTTACAAACAACCATTTTTATATTATAGATATTATTATAAAGCGTCAGTTATTATAAAACAATCATTTTTAATAAATAAAAATATTTTTCTACTACCATCTTTAGAGAGCCCGTTTTTCCACGGTTTGGAGACACAAAAAGTGCTACTTTCAGCACGGATGACCAAGGCCGCGACTAAAGTACTTTATAATCTTTATAAAGTATTTCAAACTCATTATTAGTCATGTGAATATTGATTATTTGCTAAAAATGTTTTTTACGCGTTTGAAATTTGTGCCGAATAAAAAAATAAATAAACGACCAACTGAATATGTCGCCACAAGAGTATTTCTTATCATCGACAGCCGAAAATACAAAAAGCTTAAACCAGCGCCAGCAACCAGCGCCGGCGTCACGCACGTTTTATTGCTTTTAGATGTCTCTTTAGTATTTCGCAGCTTGATGTATTATGTATTATATTTATAGCTTCGATATATTTCCCTCTTTTTGCGTCTTTTCAATTGCTTGTTATTGCACGTAGAATGTAGCCGAAAACCTTCTATGTGCCATGAAAGAAAAATAATTAAAAACCACGATTCAGTTTCCTTTTATTTGATATTTGCGTGGAAATATATCGTATTTATTCTAGGTTATAACAGTATTTCCGCTTGTAAAATTTTTAGCGTTGCGTGTATAAAAAAAATGTAGTGCTGGAAAAAATCCATCGCGGAATTTATAGCATTTTTGTGCTGATGATGTAAATTGATTTATGGCCACAGCGAAGCCGCGGCGGCTGCATGATCTTCCAGCGTCGTTGGAATTTTCGCCGACTCGTGTATTCTGTAATCACATTAAATAGAGCCGGAGCGAAGTTGCAAATTTTCACCAATCTATGCAAATCTATTTTCGGAATTCTCCACGCCGAGGAAATCAAATAAACACAACAAAAATGTGATGAATGGCGGAATAAAGATGACCGAAATGGCCTCTAAATGCTCCTCAATCATAAAAACGCCCTCTACCGATAACACCAATAACTACATACTCACATATATTCTATAGAGCTGATCAAAGTGAGGTTAGAATTGAATTCGCTGCAGAAATAATTGCGTGTACTCATTGCTCAGTGGGCAAGAGTTGTTGAACAGTAGTTGAAACTTAATCCGAGCATTGAAGACTCCGAGCGGCTAATCTCCAAGCTTAATCCAAGAAACACGAGCGCTTCTTGGACGACTTGAAGGCAGCTCGTGCTTACTTACTTACATTTGCAATTTGCACTACAGAGTTTCGCGTCTCTTCCATCAGGGGGCATTGCATTCCGTGCATTCCGTCCGCTTTTCTCGCTTCAAAAGCGTCCGAATTTGTTTTCGGTAAGTACACACGCGCATAATGAGATTCGAGTTTACGGATTTGCGATTGCATTCCCCGAGTGGGGTTGTTTCAAGAGGGCAATGGAAGTCCTCGTCGTTTACACGCAAATTGCTGTTGACTAATTTCATTTAATTCAAATGGTCAATTATCTACACTACAGACTATTAATAAACTAATATTGGGTGCATATTTAATTTTAAACTGTTTTTTGTTCGCTTGCTTTCAGCGCAGTAAAGAAAGAGTAAGATCCACGACAAATCTGAAAATTTCACATTATACAAACAAATAATCCGCAAACAAAGAGAAGTTTACCGAAACAAATGTGGAAAGAGTCAAAGTTGAAAACTTGCCAACAGTGAAATGAACCGGTCTGGTCATGCGCGTCATCGTCAGCAACATATTACGCTTAAAAGGCATGCTAGTCGACAACCAATCGCCTTCAAACAACGCATCGGGGATTGTTTCAGCCTGCATCAGAAAAGAAGTTAGTTTTTGGTGTTATGTTGGTTGCCTATCATACTTTTAAAGTGACACGATGCCCAAAGTAACAATACAACATCAATTCATTAAGAACAGCGATAAGATAAATTATTTCAGCGGCCAGACGCGTACCAAATGGAATCTGTAACAAAATAATTACATATTACAATATATGCACGATAATAATCCGATAATTTAAACTTACAGATGAAACAAGATATAAATTAGTACAGAAAACGCCCAGGGATGTTCCAACCTGTAGAAAAGTCATTCCTGTGAACATATCTTCCAAAGAATCGGTAGTTCTTTAAAAATAATAAAAATCAACAAAATTGATTTAAAAAATCAACCAAAAACAAACATAAATATCTGTTGTAAATGTTGAGCGCATTTTTTAAACTCCGCCAACATGGCGTGTTGCATTTCCGGTCCATCATTCAACAAAGAAGGATTTTCTATTAGTTTAAATTGTTTCATGCATCGTCCACGGATGGTTTTGAATGCTCCTTGGACGATTTTAATATGAGCACAGACAAAACTCATCATATAAGAGAATAAAGTATCTAGCGCTAAAAATATATTTATAGGTTAACTTCAGAAAAAAAAATAACAAGAACTTACCGATTACATTCCATGCATAATAACTCAACGCATAAAACTGATATAAAATCGCGCAGAAAAATGCTGGACGTCCAGAATTATAATTAAAAGGAATTTTGCTTGAATAAGGTAATAGTTGATCATATTGCTGTATAGTTACATTGTGTTCATCAACAATAAAATAATAATTTTCTTTATAGTCGAAGAGCAGTGTGTATACACTGACTAAAGCCGCTGAACACGATACACCGAAAACAAAAAAGAAGAACGACTTTAATGCAAAGTCAGAGATTTTTTTCTCTTCAGCTAAAATTTTCTTTGGAAGAAAATCTTCTTGATACACTTCCGGACTTATTTGGGGATCAACTAGATATTCTCCATGGATGAATGTTAAGTCATCGAGTTTATTGAGCATTTCAAAGAGTTTGCGGTGGTTAAACGCCCAGAAAATTAATTTGCAAAGGTCCAGGAGATGCGTTGCCAACATCGAGACATTTTTAACGAAAGCGTCCAAGTCATAGTAGGTTATTGGTAAAGTTGCAGCTTCAAAGTACACCATTATTCCAGCGGTGAGGAATAGGAAAGAGTTGTATGCGTAATGTGAAAATTTGACGGGAATTCGACTTTTGGGTGCGGCATCCAACTTCCCGCGGTTTTAAAAATCAACATATTCAGAGTAAAATACTCTGGGATTTCTTTGTAACGGATTATTTTTAGTCTTTGCCACCATTCTGATAAGAACAACATTTTCTCTTGGTTGATATACAAATTAGACGTTAACTTGAAAGACAATAAATCTCAGGGTTTATATATGGATTGATTTGTAATAATTTATGCAAATTTCTAGTTTTGATTCAGACATATTTCTTGCATAATTATATATTTTGGTTTTATTCGAATATTTATTGAATTATTATGCTGTCAATCACAATATGATATGGTGGTAACCATCAGGTGTTAAAAAGTGAGGTTATGTGTGTTAAGTGGTGTTGATATTGCATGCATCTGTCAAACTCAAGTGGCTGTCAATCGATTTTAAGATATTCATAAATATAACCTTAAAATAATATTTCTCACCTCACTTAAACACATAAAAAAGTGAATGGCTGTCAGACCTTCATATTTCAACCTAAAAGTCTTACCTTTCAAGAACACATGGCAAAAAATACGATTTTTTTCTATTGATATCTTTTATAACCTTAAAATGAATCGCAAAATCTGTTTGTAAGCGCATAACTCAGCAACGCTTTGACCAATTTGGGCAATTCTTTTTTTGAAATGTTTGTTAAAGTCCAAGGATGGTTTTTACGGCGAGAAAAATTTGAATAATTGCCGGGAAAACCCTAAAGACAGCCTTTTTCTATATGATAAACGCTGGTATTGAGATTCAATCATAGTTATAGTTAAATAGTTGAATCCGAGATGGCGCGCTGAAGTGCATTATTAGCAATTCTTTATATAATTAATTTCTTTAAAATAAAATTGTGAATCTTATTTATTGAATTGACACATACTATGTCTAGAACAAAAGAGTAAAAACGAATTATATTTTAAAAAGCTCGGAAAAGTCGCGGAAAAAGCTATTTTTTAATATTTTTCGATCAAAAAGTAGCCTATATTTTATTCTGGAATATAACCTATATCAGTGTCAAATTTCATTAATATTGCTACCACAGTTTTTGCATGAAACAGTGACAAACATCCATCTATCCATCCATCCATCCATTTTATAAACCGTATAGATATCCAACTGTTTTACGTTATTTTCATGAATAGATACCATTTGCACGAAATAAACCCTCTGCACAGTCCGTTATTTTTTGTTTGTTTGATGGAAAAAGCAAAAAAACGTAGACATACGAAGAAAAGTATGCGCTATACACAAAGTTGTAAAATGTGGCAGTCTGCGTCGCAGGAATGTCCGCCGGGATCAAGTTGAAGATCTAAGACGAGCGGAGCTCTACCTCCTCCTTCTACGAATCGACCTCGTTTGCTGGAACATCTACGACTAGGAAAGTGCAAGGTCCATGAAATCCTTACGTCGTATAGAGAAAAGGTCAAGTAGTCACTCAACGCATTTCACATCAGTGCTAGTTTTCAGCTAAAAGACAAACAACCCAGATCACGTAACACATAACCTCAAATATTGATTGCAACTGTTAGTTATGTAATCAGGTTAAATGAATAACATAACCTGAATTCAATACTTTATATGAATTGCATGTAACTCTTATGACACAACGGAATAAAGAGAAAATTTGTTTTTTGTTAAATTTTTGTTTTTTGTTATTTTCTGCATGAAAACGAGTAACAAATTGATACATATTTAGTAATATGTTGAAATAATAATTACTTTTTGTTTTAAAGATATGAAAATGGGTAATATTGCACTTTAGCGCCATCTCAACTTCAATTATTTAGTTAAAACTCATTTTTTCAGTTTTAAATCCAAAAAGTTTATTATTTTAAAATTTATTCTTTTATTTCAATTCCAGACAAATCTAAAAAATCATAGATCATCAAAATCTGTCCAGCGGTTTTTGAGTTATAACTGATGTAACTAACCTAACTTTATATATTTGATTAATTCTGATTATGTGGCGTAATGTATCGAAAATAGTGAAATATGTATGAATATTAATAAGCATTTCGGCAACTAATATCACACCTGCCAATGTCCTGATGATCCTATCAATATTTAAATTCAAATTCGGACTTGGATATTCAGCATTTCACATTTCGCATTTTGCAACCCATCGACGCGCGCACGCTCACTGATCAGTGTAATAGGTGTGCGGACGCAGTGAAAACCCGCCAAACACACATCACGTCAACCCACCGAACGCAAACACATCTACACACGCATAGGTGGCGGTGTCACATTTTTGGTTAGTTAAGCGCACGTGATGAAAACACGGAAATGGAACCGCTAATTGTGTGATCAGTTTGTTCACGCTGTCATTACACACTCATCACTTCATCACTCGTGTCACCTGCGGTTTAATATCATCACAATTCCGAAATTCAAGCATTTCGGTGGCCAGTACAAAAATGTTTATTGGTTGGGATTTATTTGCAAGATTTATAACCGTAGATTTGCGTACGTTGGTATTATATGCGCCCGCTTGGGGAATAGAATTTGCATCGGACGTAATCTGCACACAGGCACGCGTCGCATCCATCCTTCCAAGATCTACTACCTACAATTTCTTTGCTTTGCGGCGCGCAGCGGTCGACTAAACAACTTGGAGAACTCCGAGAGACGCCAGACGGAAATATACTTACTTATCCTGTCACAAGCAAACATCCATTCGGCGGAAATGCATGGAAATTTATCTGGTATCGTTCCGTTGAGTATTAATATTGTAAATACAGTCTGCATCCTAACCTAGAAATAAAAATAAAACACACAACAAGATTCGATTCTCGTGCATTCGAGTCAAGTCAAGATAAAATGCTCATCCAAATCGCATTTAGAAATTAGAAGCACGCTGTACGCTTTGGGCGATATCTAGCAAATAGACTTTGTCTTCTTCATTGAAGGAGCACCTTGAAAATGCTCGCAGCGACTTGCGATCCAGATCCGCGTTTGAAACGCGAAACGATGCCGCAACCGAGCGAATCCTTACAATTTCCTTGCGCATAAACTAGCACGCAGAAGTTATCTACATAAATTAAGTTTCGATTTTGCTGGGTAACCGATTCGCATCAAATGTCCGCCGGCTTGTGTGTCCTTTGCTGAGCATTCCCGGCAGGTTAGCCAACCTCCGTCTACGTTTATTGACGTTATTTATCATTTGACGTTTCGGTTGCGTTCGGATTTAATTGATTCCAGGACGATAAATAATCCTTTGCTTCGGGGTCGAAATTCAACCTTAGGAGTCAAGATTAATAGTAAATGTTAATATATTATGTTTATATAATAAAAAATACTTACTTTTTTGTTGTATTTTGAGGTTATTTATGTAAAAATGCAGTTGTTGGGTTTGTATTCTAAAAAAACTGTATGCAACCCAACATACATGAATTGTAAGCAAAGTAAAAATCAACAAAACGCAAAAATAACAAAACCAACAAACAAACCGAAAATAAATTGAAATATTTGAGTTAAATTAGTTTTATTGAACTATTTAGCTGCGTAATTTATTGGACATTTTGACTGTTTGACGATTCGATCTTTCGTATCATTAAATTCACATTAAACTCGTCGCCATACAAGAGCGTTATTAACTTTAATCGCATGTTTTTACTGCGTTGATGGCTTCCGAGACTCGAGGCACGCCCAACAAACACTTCATCGACACAGCGAATTCACGAATCAATCGCGATTCGGTCCATTCGCGTTCGCGATTGCGTGAATTGACTGCCGATTATTGTGGCGCTGCTTTACGACGCTTTCTAATACGTTTTTCCCCAACGCAGAGTCGCGCGAAGCTTGCGATTAGCGCACAAAGCAGCGACGCATCCATAAAATATACACCAAACGCGCCCGCCACCGCTGCCGTCGAAAGAAACAGCACTCGCCGAATTATAATGGAATACTAAAGCGCGCGCCGGCTTCCTTATCGCTTCCGGTTTTCGCATAATCGCGCCCGCCACGAATCGTTAAATCCGCAAATATGTTTATTAGCTCCAACAGCTCAACAGCTGAGCAGCCGCAAAGACATAAACCAACGGAAACAGCTCCAAACAGCTTAAAACAAAACATTAACTAACCATAAACCAAAAATTAAGTCAAATTTAATCCAAACAACGTTTTTAAAAATCCTGCGGAGTATTGTGTGTTGCCTATACTTATACATGCACATTGTGTGTATCATATTATAACCTCTAAAGTATATGTTTAATCCACGTTGTGCTGGCGTGTTACGTTGCTGAAACAAGGTAATATCGTTGTACATAATAGTGTAGATTGTTTTGACTTGAGTTTGAGGAAGCATATAACATGTGCTCCTACTTCAGCTAATATTTCCCACCTCGTTATAGCGCGTTTTGAGGCATGATCAGGTGATCAGCCGAGTTACCGCCGCGCCGCTTATGTAAACACACGCGCAGCATATAGAATGTTTTGTTTGCAAATTGAAATATGTGGGTAGGTATGTGTTGTGATGAAATAATGGTGATTAATGGAACCGTCAGCAGCACCCTCATCGTTACAAGCACCAGCAAAACTCAATATCTACGTTTTGAGGTTAGTAAAATATTAAATTATAAAATATTCGCGTGTAAACATTTCACAAACCATTTTAGGTGTATTATCTTGTAGTTTCAAAAGCATGTAAAATGAATTATCATAAAAAAATATGAAATTTTTAAACTTAAAAAAAAATTGTTTTTGAAAAATTGTTTAAACACCCTGTATAATTTTTTGACATGACTAAAATAAGAAAGATTAGAAATTAAAATTGTGAAACAAGACTAAAGATGTGAAATACCGGTTTTTGAAAATACCGGTTATCAAAATACCGGTTTTAAAAATACCGGTATTAATACCGGTATACCGGTATTTTTAAAAATAATTTAGTGCTTAATTAAAATTTTGCTATTTTTATAAGAAAAATAATTATTTTTTAATAATACTGTCACGTTGTGAATTGTTCTTTGACGTTCTTTGACATTGTTTTTCAAATATAATTAAAACTACAGATTGGCATTTACCTGCATCTAAAATGCAGCTTGTTAAAAAGTACAAACACAAAGTATCTATAAGTCAGTTTTTAACAAGGATTCTTTCTTCAAACTTCATTTATCTATCATTGCACTGTTGCAATCCGTCGCAGTGTTGCAAAGTTTCGAAGCGGCACGCGTTGTGTATTGTGCGTTTCGTCGCCGTATTGATTGATCGTTATTTCTATTTCGTAAAGTCTTCGGCGCGTGAAAGTCTTTCTTTCTGCGAGTTGTTTGTCATCTGGCACTCTCACGACGCCGCGTCTGCCAGTAGTCGCATTAAGCGGCCACGCAGCGCCGACGATGATTGATGAATGCGCAATACGCGAATTCCAAAAAAAGCACATCCACAAGCACCCCAACACAATCAACATCCGGTGGAATCAGTCCCAATGGCGCAAGTCCAAAATCCCGCTGAAGTTATTTGAGTTGGTCCTCTTTTGCGTTATTTGCTATTTACTTGACACAAAGCGCCCTCTCCACCATCATGAAACATAATGAAATAGAAACACGCGAAGAAGGAGACCTGAACCGGAAAGTTGTCAACAACTTTTCTGTCTTCACAGCCTTCCAAAGGCAGTTCATTAACTCCACGAAGAAGTGCGAGGAGTGAGAACGATCAATTGACGGAAATAAAACGAAGATTTCAATAAACAATGATTTACGACTCCGGGCGTTTATTATAATATTCGAATTTCGGCTGTAAATCTCGACAAAACCGTAATTTGTAGATGTGTGTGCAATTGGAGTCATGCGGTCATACGTGCACCAAGCGGATCGATGCAAAACTTTACTCAACTGTGCATGTAACTGAATTGCATCCTAGGATTTCAGCTCGGGCACCACATAGTTATGATTACATTCAATTTGAGCGCGCGGCCCCGTCGAAACAAAAACATAATTTATTAGCGTCATATGATCTTTGGCACATGCAAACCCACATACGTTACGTAACTTTAAACTAAGTTTTTGAGGTTATGCAACACATCTAACCTCAAACACTAATATATTTAGTCTGCGACTTCGTCCCGGTAGTGTTTAATAAAATGTAATTCGGTTTTACTCTCTTGTTCTAGACATAGTATGTGTCAATTCTATCAATAAGATTCGAAATTTTATTTTAAAGAAATTAATTATATAAAGAATTGCTAATAATGCACTTCAGCGCGCCATCTAGGATTCAACTATTTAACTACAACTATGATTGAATCTCAATGCCAACTTTTATTCTATTGAAAAAGGCTGTTTTTAGGGTTTTCCCGGAAATTATTCAAATTTTTCTCGCCGTAAAAACCATCTTTGGTCTTTAACGAACATTTAAAAAAAAAGAATTGGCCACATTGGTCAAAGCGTTGTTGAGTTATGCGTTTACCAACACATTTTGCGATTTTTATAGATTTTATAGATTTTTGAGTTTAAAGGTTTCTTCATTGCTAAAATATTTTGTTACACTTAAAACTAATTATACTAAAACTGAGCAAGAATTTCTGATTCTGTTGTATTGTGGTAAAGTGAAAACATTCATTTGAATGCTTTGGAAAATTATTCCGTCCGTATTTATTTATGTATAACGTAGGTGCTTACGCAAGGGTCGCGCACGCCCTCACAATTTGCGATTTCAACCGACTGGGACGCTCGAAGAAACAAATACATTCACCACCCTGAAGCTGGAGCATAGTGAGCAGTGAGCGCACATCATTCCCGGTGCTAATTATACAATGAGCGCCTCGAACACGGAGAAAGAGAGTGAAAGAAATAATGCGGGAGAGTCGAGGTTAAACGTCTCATTAATTAAAAAGGCTTTAATAGGGCCATCTCTGCGAACCCCAGAGAAGAACAAGTTTCTAACAAGTTTAAAAAACATTCTATGAATTTGAAGAAATTCATTAAATTCAGGCAGATTATAGGAAAGTTTTGTTTATAACAAGATGGCCGTTATGCGCGTATTATGAACGGAGGTTTTGTATAGGAACCTTACATCATTTGAACATTTTCACACTTTTTTAACCACAGCGAGTTTTTAAGCGCTTTCCAACTTCTTTTTGTGTGTGTTTTTTTTTTATGCGTTTTGAGTTCGACCCGGAACTATCCTCCACGATACTTTATTTCCCCTATTCATTTTCGCATTCACACACGCTCGTTCATTTCGCTCATTTGTTCGTTTATTTCCGGTTGCATTCACACACTTTTTAAGATTTGTGCATTTAAAGCGTTTAAAACATTCCACCAAACGCAGGGATATATTTCGAGGTTATTTTTGTACGAAAAGTTGCATATTGTATAAATATTCTAGGCATATAATATAAAAATGAATTGCAAAATGTGTTGGTAAGCGCATAACTCAACAACGCTTAGACCAATTTGCCTAATTCTTTTTTTAAAATGTTCGTTAATGTCCAAGGATGGTTTTTACGGCGAGAAAATTCGAATAATTGCCGGGAAAACCCTAAAAACAGCCCTTTTCTATAGGATAAAAGTTGGCATTGAGATTCAATCATAGTTACAGTTAAATAGTTGAATCCGAGATGGTGCGCTGAAGTGCAATATTAGCTATTCTTTATATAATTAATTTCTTTAAAATAAAATAGCGAATCTTATTGATAGAATTGACACCTACTATGTCTAGAACAAGAGAGTAAAAACGAATTACATTTTTATTAAACACTACCGGGACGAAATCGCGGGCAAAAGCTAGCTATGCAACCAAGGTTATATATACGTGTTTATTGAGTTGCATATAGTATAAATACTGTATATCAAGAATAAATACTATATGCAATCCAATATACATACATACATACATATATAACCCTCGACGTTTAAAAAGTTAATAAAACTATAATCCATCACATTTTTTTTCCGCTCCGAACACTTTGGTACTTAAAATATTCATAATCGATTAGAGCCGATTTCCATCAAGTCATCAACTTGCTACCACCACTTGAACATGCACATTCTACACAATTCCCATCGCAATGTATCTTCCCATATATATCCTATATGAATACGATTCCAGCATGCACTTATTGCTTGTAGGCTGCATAGTTCACATAGTCCACAATCAAATTGCACTCCACACTCATTTATCGCCATCGAAGCCTGCGCGCCGCGTTCATCTCGTAATCCCTTATCCATTACGCAACTGCGCTTGAAATCGATAATCAATCAACCGAGTTGAGTTCGATTAAAAATCAATTTATTTGCCGGCACACTTCATATCAATTACTTTATATCAAACCGGCACATTAATACAACTCATAGTCGAAACAACATTAAATAATTTTCTTATCAAATGATTCAATGTGTCGATTAATACAAATTTCGTAACTGTAGCCGTGTTGCGGTGGCGTACATACTTCTATTTCTATCGATGGGTAACTACGTCCTCCGGATTTGATTACCGCGGTGCTTCCTTGCGTAATTTGTTTATCTTCGATGAGAATATCTTTGATTTTATGAAATATATTGATATCACGCAATAATTGAGGACATCGGATTGTTTCACACTGGATTTTTGTTTCTGAGAAATCCGGTAGGCGTAATACTCGAAAGTTACACATTGAAATACCTGAAAACACACATTTAACCTAAAAAAAATTAAATTTTAGGTTAGATTATACCTGGGGTTTTACTTTGGATCATATATGTTGTTGCATGAATGCTTGCAACAATTGTTGCAATCCATAAATAAAAATAGATTGCAACACGTGTATTTAAGGACAAATTAATTATGAACATGTTCTCAGCTGGAAGTTGGCAACTCAATTGACTTAAATTTTATTCACGCTTTGTGTTTGAGGCACGTTTTTGTTGATAACTCTATCAAGTAAATGGCGTTCGTGCATGACAATAACATTTGCTATAAATTAGTTTATTTCGTAATTATTTCTTGGTAATTTTGGATAAATTGCCTGCCTAACATACACTAGGCTAACTTTTGCTGTATTGTGGGTTGCGAACATTTCGCATATTTAATTAAAGCGATTAAAGAGCGAAAGATGTTTAGTCGCGCGCCTGACCCCAACCACTCGGAGGGGTGCTTCGTGCCTTGGCGCTCAAATCTCATTTCAATTTCTAATTAATACAAGAACAGCGAAACCCGCGACGCAAGGAAACCGGAAAAACCGCCGATCTGCATCTAGTTACGGATTTTAATAGCGAAACGGTCAGGCCCTACGTAAACGCTTCAGCGAAATTAAATAACATTAATTAGAAGATTTCCTTTCGTCGTGTTTCGTCGTTTTTTTTTTATTTGATCAAAACTGAAAGATGAAACATGAAAGCATTTTTTCTTAGATTAGAAGAACTAGTAAATAATAAATATTAAGTAATAAGTAATATTTTTACTTTTTTTATGTTTTTAAGAAAAATTGATTGAAATTAATTTTCATTTACTGAGAGTTGATGTTTTTTTATTAACGGATCAATGTCATCTTGAAGGAGTGTATAAAAAAGTATTAAAAGTCTGCCGCCATTACCACCACACTAATACCCTCACAATTTGTTTTGCTTAAATTGGCTTTAAAGCAAACATTATTCACGTTTTTTTTTTATCATGTTATCAACCCACTCATTGTGTTCACATCGACATCAACTGAAAGCTCAGACAGGCACCAGACTGATTAACTAGTTCAAAGAACGCAAAAAATGTATAGAAAAAAGTTGAATTTATTTCATGTGGAAAAATCAAATTGGCAGAAAATTCTTTTGTGGATTTTATAATGAGTAATTGCCTTGGGTTTTAATTAATTTATATTATCATATTTATTATCAACTAGGTTTTGCCCGCGACTTCGATTCGGTAATGTTTAATAAAAATGTAATTCGTTTTTACTTTCTTGTTTAAGACATAGTATGTGTTAATTATATCAATAAGATTCGCAATTTTATTTTAAAGAAATTAATTATATAAAGAATTACTTATAATGCACTTCAGCGCGCCATCTCGCATTCAACTATTTAACTATAACTATGGTCGAATCTCAATGCCAACTTTTATCCTATAGAAAAAAGCTGTATTTAGGGTTTTCCCGGCAATTATTCTAATTTTTCTCTCCGTAAAAACCATCCTTGGACTTTACCGAACATTTAATAAAAGAATTAGCCAAATTGGTCTACGGGTTGTTGAGATATGCGCTTACCAACATATTTTGCAATTCATTTTTATACTATAGATATTTGTATTGATAGTTATCAATAAATTCATCTAACTATCAGTTTTCATCATCATTCACCATAGATATGATATATTCAATGCGAGCTTCGATTGTGCGCTGAGTAATTATTGCCGTAATTGTAATTAGTGTGTTAGAGACTTAATTAAAAGCGCACCGTCGAGCGCACACACGCTATCATCATATTTTGCTATCAAAGTCGGAATGCAGCGGGCAATTCATCGCTGCAAATTGGAGCGCGTCATCTTTGTTAATAGAGAATGCACATTCATACACATACTGAGATCAAGTATTAACATTCAACAATACCCGACGGAAACAATACTAGTAGAATAATAATGATATTCAATAGTATCATATGAGTATATTTTGCAAAATGACTCACGTTATTGATTTTTTTAGGTATAATTTCGTTATTAGCTTAATTTTTACCGGGTTCACGAAAAATTTCTCTAAAGTACAACAAGGGCACCCAAACTGCTAAAACAATTTACGTGAAATATTATTTTAAGTATTAAATGAGTAAATGGGAGATTTTGTCATTTCATATAGTCTTGTGCTAAATCGCAGGCAAATGCGCAGGCGCAAACTCCACCTCGTGTCTAAAGTCCGTGACTAAAGTTCTTTAGTCACCGTATTTGTCTAATTTTTTTCTGACAAATTTTGTTTGGCTGGAAAATGCAAAAAACTTATTTTATACAACTTTGACCTTGAATACTTCTCCCTTTTTTTCGAAAATAGTTGAATTTATATTTATAGCATCTCAACAAATTTTTAATTTTCTGAGAATTGCTGTAAATAAAGCTATTTTGCTAAATAATTGCTAAAATTAATAGTCTACATACTTGAAATTGGATTTTATCGATTGAATTGCTGATATCACACGCTTATCACTTCCAACACATTTGGAGATTCGCCCAAACATGTAAAACAAACGTAGCGCATAAAATTCGTACGAGGTGATAAGGATTAAACGAACAAAGATAACCTTGTTTTACGCGTACTTTACACGCATAAAATTCAAGTCTACAAACGTTTTTGTTTAAACAATACAATCTAAAACAATGCTATGACTAGTATAATTCAATTTAAGTTAATGCATATGGATGATACTATTCCCTCTAATTTATGCATAATTAAACAGTTAAAAACAACTGTTTTCGCTAATGATAAGCAAAATTTAATCAAACACTCTGTATATTACAATATCAAGGTGCAAAGATAACAAAAATGTGACCGTCATGTTGGAACCCGACCGGCTGGCATTAGTATCACATTGACGCCCATGTGTAAACCCAACATATTTGTGTCTGTTTTGCAAAATTGTTCAAATACTTGAAATATTTAAATAATCCAATGGTGGTGTTAGTCTACAGTTGCCCATCGTTGGCAAATTGCAGTTGGCAAGGTCGACGCGATGAAATCGTTGATCATTTTCGCACTAAACACGTTGAGCTGTTGCTGACTGAGAATGAATTCAGACTAGCCGTGCCCAGTTTTGACATCAACGAACTTAATCGCCCTTGTACAGTTACCTTCGAGTACGCCATCAATTATTTACTGTGTGATCAGGATGAAGTGTACTTGCTGCAAGTTAACGTCGTCAATGGCTTGGCGACGATTCAAATACGGTATTCCGGAAGTGCGCTTGAAGCCAGCAAGAAAAAGTATTCAATTGAGGTGAGGTCAAGGGAAATGGTCCAGTTTAGTAATGGTCAATCAAGTACATTCTACTCAGCTGTCAAGAATCAACCTGGAATGATTAACATTGATGCAAAATTTTTGAGAAAAGCTTGGAAGGTGAATGATTTTTTGCTATGCAGGATATTCTTCGAAGAAGCGCCATCTGAATCAAAACAGGAAGTGGTACCACCAAAGAGACCCATTTTGTATATGTCTAAGTCATTGGAGGATGTTAGTTTATTGAAGGAGGTTTTCCAAGATAATAAACCAAATGACCAGCAGGAGGAAATCGTAGTAAAGCGGAAAAAAGATGGCGCTAGTTTAATAAGATCCGCCAGTGAACAAACCCATTCCCGCCCAGACCGGAAGTCTATTTTCAGATCAAGTAAAATCTTCAAACGCAAATCCATTTATAAATCAGATACAAGTCTTTTCTACACCAATGAAGACTTTTTAGATGGGTCTGAAGATGTGGACGAATTGATAGACCTAGCTGAAGATAGAATATCTTTACTCAAAGATTACAGGTGTAATAGATGTGAGATATACATTGTGGGACCTATCTACCGATGTGATAACAACCATAGTGTATGTCATCCTTGTATGGAAGAAAATGGAACTTGTTCTGACAGTTGTTTAGCTGCATTAAGTACTGATCAACGAAGTCTCCTATTGGAAAAGACCAGAGACTTCACTAAACTTCCATGTAGATTTGAGGGTTGTTCAGTATCTGCACTGGGAGCAGAACTACAACAACACCAAGTCCAATGCAATCATTGTGTTTACATGTGTCCTGAATGTTCCTCATGTATTGGGAAGTATGGTGATGTGGAGAAGCACTTCCGGATTGTCCACCCGTCTGTAAAACGCTTGACTATTTTGGAGTTTCCCATTCCGGCAAAGTCTTCTTTTCTGGTAATACACCCACAAGGGGTTTTCTACTGCAGTAGCTCCGAGAAAGATGATAATGTTGTTGATTGGAAGGTTGAACACTGCGGACATGTCAACATTTACTTTGAATGCCTGATTAGTTTGAAGAAAACTAGTTTTCCTCTGACTCCTGTCAAAAATGAGAAAAATATCCTCAAGGTTTCCCGATCTATGTCGATCAAAGAGAAGAAACAGAAGTCTGGAGCGTTTTTAAAAATTATTGTTTATCAGCCACATGTATAATTAAAAGATTAATTATATGATAAGATTATTTTTGTTTTTATCTTGTTATCCTTGAAGATATCCATTAAATTGGATTAAATTTTGGGTGCATTTGACTACAACTGCAAATTTGCACCCCAGCGGTTTTATAGCCTTCAACCATGTAAGGCTGGAAGGAAAAAGGGATAAAAAGGCCTTTCAAAACTGCGGGAGTTATTGATGGGCCATAAATACAAACCGGAAGGTCACGGCAGTCTCAGCTTGATTTAAAACCCACACGGAAAAAAGCATGTATGCGCTACTTTTAAAAGCAGTTGGCGGACATTTTAAAAATCGTAAATTTTTCTCAAAAGAAAAAATTATGTTACAGTATGTTCACTGCGTTGGGCATGATTTGTCTCGGTAAGTTATCTTGACTGGCCAACGACAGAAAGCCAATATCCTGTGTCAGTTTAAACTCGCGTCGATTTGCGCCCGAGTGTAATATTTCCGATCGCAAAAGGTTCGCTTTCCCATTCATATTACAGTGGAATTCGTTTCGGCGTCGCGCTGTGCCGCGCGTGGACGAAAAGGTAGCGATAGGAGAATGTGAACTATCTCAAGGCAAGCGCGCGCGTCTCCTATTCTATTGATGATTGCACATCGAGCGACTCTCGGGCAGTCGACGCCTCGTTGCGCGGACGTAAATTGTTGATCGCGCACATAAAATATATCGAATTGAAGGTGGCGTCTGCGATTTGCCATTCGGCGAACTTTACCGGCGAGATGCATAACTCACGTGCCGAAATAATAAAATATCTCGTTTGTTTTATCTGCGAGATTTTATTATATTTCAAAAATAAAAAAATTTAAAAATTTTTAGACGAAAAATTTTAATTTTTTTGATTTGATTAATTAATACCCTGTATATATACACGCATTTGATTTTAATTAAGCAAAGACAACTCGCCGTTTACTGCCATTCCGCCCTAGAACACAACTTTACATTATTCCACGATACTTAAAGCTCCCAAGGCCTGAGCAAAACTCATCGCTCACTCGTGCTTTAATTCTGAAAACTGCGCACGGCTACAAAACAAAACAACGCAGCGTGGCTTCATGTATGCGTGAGCTGGGTTGGCGAAGGTAGACGCATTCAACAAGACGTGAAGATGGAACGACTTAACGTGTACTTTGCTATTTCGCCTCCACCAATAGGCAACATGCGGCTTCTGGCGTCTAAAACCGTCCTGGAATCGTTGAAGAGTGCCGAGCGACGTTGTTTATTACCGTGACGGCAATACGGCAACAGCGCACGGCGCATCCCTCAACTACTTCGCATGAATTATGCGCTCAGCTTAATGATTCAAAAGATTTAAAACATTTTTCACTCGCGCCACCAAATGACATTTTTTAGTTTTTTTTTTTCTTTATGAAATTTTTCATTTTTAATAAGATTTAAAATTCCCAACTATTATGCAACCAAATTTGTTCAGCAACTTGGTTGAATTAGTTGGCAATTTGTTTCTCTGCCTTCATTCCACGCCCGTAATTGTTACTACCTGCGCGCTGCTCTTAATTAAAACAATAAAATAATAAACCGCATCTCCCTCTCTCCACCACGCCGGCGTCCTTTTCCCGCCGCTTTGGTAAATGTGCAGTCGTGCGCCGCGGCAAGGTAAAGTTCACATAGTTATCCGTGTTATTAGAAATTCATAACGGATTCGGAAGACCGCGCGCGCGCCAGCGCCAATTCCCCAAATTGAGTTACAACAAGAACAAACCCCGCGCCATTGCCATGCCACGCGCCGAGTATCTAATCACGTAATGAAATTGAAAATTATCTTCTGAAGAAGAACAGCAGCGTGGAACAACAATATGATACGTTAAGTTCGAATATACTCGGTTTAATTATAAGATAATACAAACACATCGGAAGATGAAAAACTTTTGCAGCGTTCCACGCTGTTTCTTATAACATTAATGTTTTTGTTTTAAAAATCATTTATTTTATAAATAGTAGTAGTGTATATAATAAAAATGTAATTTGTTTCTACTCTCTTGTTCTAGACATAGTATATGTCAATTCTATCAAGAAGATTCGCAATTTTATTTTAAACAAATTAATTATATAAAGAACTAGGTTTAACCCACGGCTTCGCTCGCGAATATCTAAAATAATGAAGTTGCTTCCGTACGCGTTTGTAGTCACAGAAGAAGTAACAATGAAGTAGAATGGCGGGAAGTTTAAAATGGCTAAAAGTATAGTCTATGGAAGTATTGTGTACAGTCTCCATAGTGTAGTCAATTGGATTTGATGTTGACATAGCTGTCGGTAATATAGTGTGATAATACAGTGTGATGGTACTATAGTACTTAGGTTTGAGCTTCATTGCTGGAATGCTAGATGGCGTTAAAGTAGTCAAATAGCCAGATGCAGAGGTATTATTGGCTAAACAATTTCTTTATTTTATTTTAAAAATATTTTTTTTATTAAAAAGTAGCCTTTAACCATTCGGGGACCACTAAGAATATGTGTACAAATTTTCATGATGATCGGTTAAGTAGTTTTTGCGAGAAAGTGTAACAAACATCAGGACTTTCGCATTTATAATATTAATAGGGATTACTAATAATGCACTTTAGCGCGCCATCTCGGATTCAACTATTTAACTATAACTATGATTGAATCTCAATGCCAACCTTTATCCTATAGAAAAGGGCTGTCTTTAGGGTTTTCCCGGCAATTAATCGAATTTTTCTCGCCGTAAAAACCATACTTGGACTTTAACGAACATTTTAAAACAAGAATTGCCCTAATAGGTCTGAGCGTTGTTGAGTTATGCGCTTACAAACACATTTTTATATTATAGATTCCACGATACGCAAGGTATAAGTGAAAGAATAAATAAAAGTTGAAAAAGTCAAACATCGACGCGCATAAAAGGTAAGTGCTGAAATCAATTTATTTACGACGTTGTAAAACTATAAAACAAAGAGAGTGGAGCGTTTGTCGGCGTTGGCGGCACGCGCTTTTCCAAAGAGGAGTGTTTACCAAATGGCTTGGTCTTTCCTGTACTGCGAGTTGCAAGTGTTTCCACACAGGAAAATAGCGAAGCGCAAGCAGTTCGAATGCCGATCGGATAAATCAAATCGCGCGCTTCACTTTAGACTCACTTATTCATCTTTTACGCCACGCGCGAACTTTTAAATTCACGTGCGTTTTTCTGTTTTGTTTTGTTTTGTATTTGCATGCAAATCTATACTGTAGATTTTAGCAGGATACGTTTACGCATTGGAAGACTTTACTTTTTATATTTATTTTTATTATTTACTCAATAATATAAAATATAAGGATGGCTACTGGTGCTGGGGAAGCTGGAGAAGAGGAAACATTGCGTTTGATGTTTTTTGTTCCGGGCTTTTATAATTTTATGCGAGTTTAACGTCTTCTTGAAACTCTCAACTGCGGGAGCTTTCGACGTAAATTGAATCAAGAGCAAATGCAAAACGAAACGTTTTATTTGCGTTTTTTGTTTTATGTGTTATATCTTCCAACTCATTTATTCACGAAAATAGTTGATTCAATTTCTTTTTCATATGTAAATCAATTTTATATCGCTCAAGGTAAAAAATATTTATTTAATTTATGAATAACACAAACACAAAGATTCTTCTAATCGTGACTCATAAACTCGAAACGAGATACCATTTAAAATTAAACAAAGATAAGCGCGTTGTGTTGTTATCAACGCTGCGTCGGTTAACGTGATTGCCAACATCGCTCATAACTCACATAACGCACAACACTCAAGTTGATAACTCGTGAAATTCACCAGAAACTTTGCAATTAAAATTATTCCACATATATTTACATACCATGTGATAGTTTTTATCATGTTTACCATTCCGTCGGAGGTGCTCGCGACATTCAAGTGCGACTATTGCAACAACCTACCAACTAGACCACCAATCTACCAACAGCGGAGGAGCTGCACCCGTCGTAATGAGGACAGCTCACTTACTACTGACAACAGTGATGATAATATGATAGTGTGTGCGGATTGCTCAGTGTTCATCTCGCCACAGCCACAACCAACACCAACATCACCCGTCCGCAGTGAACTCATCAGATCCAAACGATTGGAGAGTCTGATTCCGTATCTGCGTACAAATTCCACACCAGTATCACCGGTTAGTTTACTATCATCATCACCATTCGACAACTTCGAAGCAACTCCTACACACACCACTGGTGTCTATCAATCAGCTGGTAAGGATCTGCAAGTCGACATAACCTGTTCTCTTAAAGGGAATAAAACCACAAAGAAAGCAACTGTACTTCAATATTCAATGAGTATACAATGTTCTAATGATAAACAACTTTGTTTGATGAATGATCTGCAATCATTCCAACCAGTTGATATTATTATCGAAGGTGCGATTGCACTGACAAAGAAACCCGAACAAGTCTATGGACATGTTGAGTTGATCAAGAAAGATCCACCTATTTACGAATCTATTCCATCACTTCGACATATACAATATAAAATGTCGAATAATAACCTACCACCTATGAGGGAGCAGGTAACTACGTGTAAAAATGGTTGCCTATGGCGTGGATCCAGTGCAGATCTCGGGGAACATCTGAAAACCTGCGCGATGGTAAAAATGAGTTGTTTCTTTGATTCCTGTGATTGGCACGGATCAGAACAACTGATGAAAGGACATTTATTTAATAAACATCGAACTTATATTAAAGATCAAATAGAGGGAAAGTTTGGATGGCAGGATAAATTTATGGTGGTGATACAACACGGTATAATATTTATTTTTAAATATTATTCTTACGATGCATTGGATTATGTTGATATGATGGTACAGGGTGTTGTGAATCGCAATGAAATGGATTATAAATATTCTATACATGTTTATAGCATGGTAAATGGTAAAAAGGTGAAAATAATAACAAAAAGTGCTAAATGTATGGTGTTTAACAAGTGTGTTTTACAAAATGGCGTGAGGTTCACTGAACAAGAAATGAAAGAATTTAATAATTGTGTTTTTAATGTTGAAATCACGAAAATGTTATAATTTATTATTTTGAGTGTTTTTGTGTGTTTTGATATGAATTTTGAGGTTATATCATGTTACTGAATTCACCGTGGCTCCCGGTAATATAATAAAATCAGATTTTATTCCCTACGTGTCCTTGATATAAAAATAAAACTAAAACAATCAAATAAATATAAATGATTCAGGGCACGTTGAAAATTGAGCAATAATATCGTGCTGCTCTTGTGAAATTGTCACAGTGGCGTCGATTCTCTTTCTATTCATATACAAAAGACAAAATTTTCTCCATTGCTCTGGCACCATTTGGAAATACTTCAATGCGGCGCCCCTGAGGATGAGCACAAAGCACAGAATGTGTTTTATGTTATCGTTATCAAAACCTTCATGAAACTGGCTGTCCTGCGCTCGGGCATGTTAAGACCGTGACTAACAACTCTATTAGTTTGAAATATTCTTTTCCTAGTCTTCGGACGTTCAAGTTCCATATATATATATATACATTCACGTTTCGATTGTGATATTCGGCATTGCATATCGCATATCGCATATGCACGAAATGGCCGCCGCGACTGGGACGAAACTATGAATATGAATTTCGCGATTATAACACAGCGCAGCGTTCTCGGAATGGCTGAGATATAGAAGTGGAATTCGGCGGCGGCGGCGGCTGGAAGTAGGTCTCGATCGGTCTCCCGGTTTCAGTGCGTCTCTCTCGTCCATAAATTTCGAGTTTAATCGCTCTTATGACCCTTTCCTGCCCAGACGCAAGTATAGTTCTAGCCAAAAAGGATATTTTCCCGCCGTTGCCAGTGCTATGTATTTCGGTTTTCAATGTTTCCAGGCTATCTCAACGTGCAGATCTAAGTCGTGCGTTGAGCGACAAACTAGAATTTCGCATATGTTTCCAAACGTCATAAATGGAACTCGAAACAAAAGAAATGTAGGGAATTATGTAGAGATGATAGCGTTTTTACGACCGAGTTATGTATTTTTTAAGGTTATGTTTCTATACGCCTTTTCAACGTAGCGTAGTATAGAGGTTATGTCATGTATATTTGCGCCTTGACGACACGCCGAGGTGAATAAATGTGTTAATGTTAAGGGGGTTGGTGCGCGACATGCGCGCCGTAGTCTAATTAAAGTTTTAACAAGTTTCCTCGCTCGAGTAGGTTTTTCGCAACGTCATTAGCGCACGACGCAACACTGCTCCACTAGGTCATCAACCATAACAAACTATTACACAATCGTTGGCGTGGGATTTACTCTTTTTATTACAGAATAAAAAATATGACATTTTAATTTACAATCAGCGCCAGCTATATTCAAGTGTTTGAAGTTTTTTTTAACCTCAAAAATTTCATATGTGAATGCAACTGGCTTGAGTGGTTCAAGTTGTTTGTTCCAATGCACTTGCGGCAAGTATATTAATTTACTAGTGTTTTAATTAATAATCCAGCATTCCATTCGCGTCGCGTCTGGCACGAAACTCCTGCTCGTCGCTCATCACGTCACTCGTCGTTCATCAATTCGACGGGCGCCTGCGAACGTAATGTCATTCTTAAGTCGTCGCTAGTCGCTAGGCGGAACTGAGTTTGGGAACTCGAGTCTTAAATTTCTGATGCATTCGGATTAGACGCGCATAGACGAATGGGGAAGTCGCGAGATGAGAAATTACCTTCGAAGACGGCGTGCCATCAACTATAAACTAAACTAAACTCAACTAGTGATTGTGTATTGTAATTATTCTACGTACACATACGTGAAAATGAAAATGAAAATCAAAATGTGTTTTTTGTTTTATTTCTACTTCTACGTGATTACTTTGTTAAATTATCAAATTTTGAGTGTTTTGTGTGAATTCAACTTTAATACCTTAGAAGATGGATATTTTCTGGATGCGTTGAGTGAGCCCTTGACGAGTATGAGCCATGCGCAGTTCAGCGACGGGTTAGTATTCACTCCATTTTATTTTTAATCGATTTTTTCGCAAATTTACACAGCATTTGATTGATGATTGATGAAAAGTTAATTTCTTCGTTCGAGTCATTAAATTCCTTTCATGCGATGTGATGTTGTTAAGATGCACGCTGGTTAGGAGTTAGAAATTAAGCTTCGATAAAAAAAAAAACTTGGACGAGATGGATTGTTCCCCTTCGTCGTCTCGAGTTTTTACGTCGTCTTGATTTACGTATAAAAATCACCTTGGGGTGTTTTTATCATGATGAAGTAATTCCACCAAACGGGCGAAAAAAACGAAAAGAGTACGCTATCGAGGATCTAATTTACAAGCTGGAAATTAGTCACTACGCCAACAAAATGGCTTTATTTCGGCAAAAGCAGCTTTTAAACTACTCATTAGAATGATGTTTATGAGCACAATTTATTTAATTCTGCATTGAAACTTTGTCAAAAGCATTAAATAGACTTAGAATTTGAAACAAAACGTAAACTTTTAACATTTGCTAACAAGGTGTTTGCCGGTACTAACTGCCTGATGAAATTAAGCGCTCTCCGAATGCAGATGGCGCTCATGGCAATTAAAACTTTAACAGAAAACCTACTAGTCCAGTGAGAGTCGATGAAAGATCATCGGTTGACTGAACTGGTCGCCGATCAATTTAACCTGAGTAATTAAATTTCCTACGTTCCGCATGTTTTACAGCGTTAAACTAACTCTGCAACACGATAAAACAAACAAATTTTAAATCAGCGATTATTTCAATTAATTAATTTACAGATTTGGAAATTTTCACTCTCGACTTGCGACATTTTCACATTCTCCGCGTCGATTATGGCCGTCTAACGACGTCGTCATTCGCATCGCGTCGTTGGTTTTCGCAACGCCGTCTCAACCGCCGCCACATATTGGCGGTGGTAGCGGTGCGCATCGGTACACATCGCGCATAAACATAACATCCAATATAAGCGCGCTTTGACTCATTACAATTCCTAGGACTTACGAGTTTATAGCAAAACCAAAATCGACTATTAACCCAGCAACTGGTAATAAACACTAGGCCAGACTGGCGGAATGAAGCAATGAGGACATTTTAATTAGAAACGAAATGAAACTAAATTAACTCTGCGGTTGCAACACGCTTGGTGGTTGTGGAATTATTATAATTGCGGGAGTCTCACAGTCTACAAAATAGCAAAACTTGAATATAGATGGCGCTACTTATCGCATAAAAAGTTGCATACATTAAAATCGATTAGAATAACGTCCACAGGTGTAGTTATTCTCATCTCATCTCTACTCATCTCATACAGGTTCATTATATACTCGTTTGAATATAGTTTCACGATTATCCGCTGATGCGATCCACCAAAGTAGATCGATGACGCGTGATGATGGCGAAGCATCCACTCCATCTGCATGCAAAGTAGGCGAGCGCCTAATAGTGTGCAGCACTCAATCGCGATGCAATAATTGATCGAAACCGCCGAATTAGCATTTCATTAGCGTACCTTAATGATATTGCGCCATCCCAACCCTTACCTGCCTCACTTACCCGCCGCTGGATATAGTTGATATCATTTCCAAAGGCTTTCCATTCGTAATATCTCGCCGAAATCCACATTACGCCCATTGTAGTTCGGCTTTATTTCGTAATTATATCATGCGTATTCTGGGGGCTGGCTGAGCGAATCAATTAATACATTATGTGCTTTGTAATTTCAGCCCGGAGGTGCTCGAGTGTCCGTCGTCTAATGTGATTACGACGCGATACAAATGCAGCGTGAATGGCGAGTGGGTGGATTGCACGCGTAAGCACTGCTGTCAGGACTATACCTTCATCGCCGGCAGGTAAAGATGACGATGGAATTATATATATTGTCTTTGTTCTCCTGCGATTACTACTAACGCCCTCTAGCGGACAATAACTCAACTATGTTGATAAACTTAACCTAATTTTTTTATGTGTTTTGAAAGATGACGATTGGAATTATATAGATTATCTCCATTCTCCTGCGGTTGCTACTAACGCCCTCTAGCGGACAATAACCTAAACTACGACAATAAACATAACCTATTTTTTAAAATTTATTTTTAGATGTGTTTTGAAAGATGACGATGGAATTATATAGATTATAACTACTATCGCCCTCTAGCGGATAATAACCTAAACTGCGACAATGAACTTAACCTACATTTTTAGATGTTTTTTAAAATATGACGATTGGAATTATATAGATTATCTCAATTCTCCTGCGATTACTACTAACGCCCTCTAGCGGAAAATAACCTTAACTACGTCGATAAACAAACCTAAATTTTTAGAAGTGTTTTGAAAGATGACGAAGGAATTATATAGATTATCTCCATTCTATTGCAATTACTACTAACGCCCTCTAGTGGATAATAATCTTAATTATGTTGTTAAACTTAACCTAATTTTTCTGCTTTCTTTTTAGATGTGTTTTGAAAGATGATGACCCGTGCTCGATGAACTTGTGCGAACAACAATGTACGGTTTACCTGCAGAGAGTAATCTGCACCTGTTTCGATGGATACAAGTTCAGCGCGGAGAATCAGCGCAATGGCGTAAAGCCGTTCTGCGTAGGTGAGTCTCGTTTAGTAGGTACTACACACATCTCCTGGTTTGGCATTCACTTAATTTCACATTAATTACACATGGTTTAAACACGACCGCTTTGCGTTGAATTTAATTGAAACAATGTTTTCCGCCAAACAAACCAAATAATTCACTTTGATGTTGCTTACTAAAGTGCCCAGAGTGTAAATCAGCGGCGGGCATGTAGATAATCATGTATTTAGTTTACAACTATTGACACACGTCCTCTTTTGATGTGTGTGTTTTTTTTTCGTTCTTTTGTTTGTTTAGATGTGAATGAGTGTTTGGAAAATAACGCTGATTGTGAGCATGAATGCATCAACGAGATGGGCACACACCGATGCGGTTGCAAACAGGGATTTGTCCTCGGTGAGGACAACCGGACCTGCATCAAACAAGAGGCGCTCGATGTGGAAGTGGGGGCGGCTGGGAACGCCAGCGAGCTGCCAGCACGTCGAGATCGTTGTTACGCGAGCTGCGACAGTGTATCGCGATTGCACGACAAGCTCAAAGTTCTCACCGAAAAGGTAAGCGCGCCGTAAAGTATTTAACAAATTAATTAATTAAAAATCCCTCGACTGGGACACAGCACAAAGTAAAAAAGTCTTAATATCAATTATTTTCATCGTAGACGCTGAAAAAACACATAATAATAAAATGAACGTTTTTATTTTTATTTCAACGCCATCTATATATTGACAGAGTCATTTTGAGGTTATGATGTTTTAAGTATACGGGTAAACAAAGCGTAAAATATACACTTCAATAAATGCAGACGTGGTAAATTTATTTAGATATACCCATTGTTTTAATTATGATTTAAGGCCGAAATGTGTGCGCGGTTTAAACGCGAATAAATAATCCACAATGCCATAAAACAATTACGAATACGAAATTGCGAACGCAAGGCACAAATTTAGCGAATAACACAAAGAAGAACACAGATGAGCTAATGTAGGTTGTATTTTACATTCACATTATGCCTTTAGGACCTGCGGATTAGCTTATCTTGTTGGTTTTACATAAATTACCATCTGTACAATAAAACAATCAAATACATTTTTGTAGTGTAAAATATAAAAATAAAGCGCAAAATGTGTTGGTAAGCGCATAACTCAACAACGCTTAAGTCAATTTGGCCAATTTTTTTTATAAAATGTTTGTTATAGTCCAAAGATAGCTTTTACAGCGAGAAAAATTTGAATAACTGCCGGGAAAACCCGAAAGACAGTCTTTTCCTGTAAGATAAAAGTAGGCATTGAAATTCAATCATAGTTATAGTTAAATAGTTGAATCCGAGATGGCGCGCTGAAGTGCATTATTAGCAATTCTTTACACAATTAATTTCTTTAAAATAAAATTGCGAACCTTATTGATAGAATTGACACATACTATGTCTAGAACAAGAGAGTAGAAAGAAATTACATTTTTATTTTTATTATTAAACACTACCAGGACGAAGTCGTGGGCAAAAACTAGTGTAAAATAAAAGTAAGGTGATTGAATATAAAAATTCTTTAACATTTTCAATTGAAATAGTGCAGTTTTGAGCTTCGCAATGCTCAGTTATTGATCGATTTATAATTTCAGCACGAGTGCACATTCGATACAGACATAATGCACTTTTGAGCTTGCGTCGAAACGAACAAATAGCACTCCATTCAAGTGTCTAATACGAAACTGGCAACACTGGAAAAGAAGAATAATAACCTTACAGATTATTCATATTTGCTCACTCTGCTAGCAGAAAGTAAAAATTAAGTAGTTTGCATATTTCAACGTTTATTTCAGACTTGTTCGCTTGACTTATTAATAAAGACAACGGAGGAAGACAAGTCGCATTGCACGGATAACTTCTCTGCTGATAAGCCGCAAATTTTCATAAAATACGCTTGCTACGAAAGTAAAAATACTTCTCATGCAAATTATATTCCTGAAATTCTTCAAATATTTATATACATTTCAAGTGCAGCACGATGTCATCATGATCATGACTCCCAATCAAATATTTTAATCTTTTTCTCTATAATTATGTTGTCATTATGAAACTTTATTTTCATTATGTTTGACAGACTTGTACAATTAAAGTTTGCGAAGCTAAATTTTTTTTTAAATAACGCAATATCCAAACCAATTAAAATCCAAACTGTGGCGTTTGGGAGTACTCGTAGGTAAGCTAGCAAAAAATAAATTGAATACGCTTTGCTGTATTTATTTTTAAAAGTAAAATATATTTGCAACAAGCGTCAACACGCGCTTCGATGTCCAACGTTTCGGCTTGGTTTCGCGCCGCGTTGAACGTCAAAAAGTTAAATTAGTAAACTTTTTCGAAACTAAATCAACATTTCCGTCCGCTCTCGTTATCGGTCAGTGTTGTACAAGCATAATGTACACTTGTATACTCAGCGTCGACGAATCTCGGCATTTTTAAACATCCGAAAACGTATTTTATCAAATTTACTCAACATTTTTCTCTTTTTCTCGGTTTGGATACTCTGCTGGCTTTTACTTTGTAATTAGCTGTTGGGTTAGACAAATACTTGGATATAGAAATATACAGAGTGTTTTTGATAGTTTTTTTTTTTCAAAATTAAAAAAAAATGTTTTTTATTTTATCATCGAGAATGTTATTATCTTGTAATAATATATGGAACAAAAGATACCTCATACTCTTACAGCCTTTATCTCGTAATTGGAAATAATACTTTAAAACCAAACCGTGTTGTAAGCGGTTAATACGCTCGGCGTTGATGGGGTGGAGTATCCCGATATTCAACAAACATGCACACAAAGAAGCGAAGAACAGAGCCGCGAATATTGTATGTACGTTGGGATTACACATTTTCGGACTGTGAATGGTGTTTACGTTGTATGCTTCGGTCGGAAATGTTAAAATGTGAAAACGTGGAGCCACACCGCAAGGGTGCAAAGGACCAATGCAAATCAAAGCATTGTGCGAAGGCGCCGGGCCACTGTTAACATCTACATACACTTCATGCATAGGGATAATCATTGTGTATTAATTTAGTGAAAATCTATAATATAAAAATGTGTTTGAAAGCGCATAACTCAACAATGCCTTGATCAATTTGGCTATTTCTTATTTAAAAATGTTTGTTAAAGTCAAGGATGGTTTTTACAGTGAGAAAAATTCGAATAATTGCTAGGAAAACCCTAAAGACAGTCTTTTTCTATAAGATTAAAGTTGCCATTGAGATTCAATCATAGTTATAGTTAAATAGTTGAATCCGAGATGGCGCGCAGAAGTGCATCATTAGCAATTCTTTATATAATTAATTACATTAAAATAAAATTGCGAATCTTATTGATAGAATTAACACATAATATGTCTAGAACAAAAGAGTAAAAACAAATTACATTTTTATTAAACACTTCCGGGACTAATATAGGCATAAAACTAGCTAGATAAGAGAAAAAATCTAGTTGGGTATGAGTTTTTGAAATAGTGATAAACTTTACGTTGTAGTTTTAAAGTCTAGGATATTATTTTTCACAAAAAACAGAGGAAATAATGTATTGTCTGTAGTTAATGTCAGCCTTGGTGCGACACACAATAGACACATTGATAAAGTCCGACAAACAAATACATAAAATTGCGCCTGATTTATACGACGCTCACATTCCCCCACGGTACACACACGCGCTAAGCGGCAAGAAAATAACAAAGCTTTTTGTTGTGCCCGCACAATATATACATAAACAAATATAAATGCAAATGGTCAGTGCGCGCACAAAAAACGTTTTCCTCGCTGCCTTGTGAGGCGTTTTGTTCGGCCCGTGCCCTTCGCATGTGCCGGACAATACACACAATGATGGGGCGCGTTGGCGGCGGTGTCGCGCAGCATGGAAGACACATCGGACGCGCTTGCGGTTTCGCTCCTATTACAATGTACTTTGTGTTGTATTCCCGCAGGTCTCCGCGCTGAGCACCGCAATCAGATTGGCAAGCTTCGCCTCCGGACCGCCAGGACCCGCAGGCCCGCCTGGCCCGCCCGGCCATCCTGGCCCCAGGGGATTTCCGGGTAAGCGCACGCCGTTGCGAAGTTTCACACTGCGCTGCTCATTTGTCACGCTCATTTACGCACGCTAATTGTTTGCCAATCAAGTGTTAATAATTTTAATTAAAATTCGCGACATGCTAAACTTTACCATAACGACCAACCAACTACAAACAGCGGACAAAACACGGGAAATTTACGCAAACCTTAAATTTCAAAATGGCACAAAGGCTTTGAGCATAAAAGAATGCAAAAATTGCGCCGTCGATGTGTTATCTTCTCACGTGACACGTGTTGAAGTGCGAGTGGGAAAAATGGCAGCCACGGTTCGTTACCTGCTTTTGTAGCTTCGCTTTTTATGATTGCGCCTTGTGCAGTGGGCGAAAACACAAACGAAGCGCGATGAAAACTCACCACAAGTCGAATTAAATAACATTTTATTGTGTTTCACAATGGCACAGAGCTTTTTTTTACTCATGATTATTAAAAACCTGTAACATAACCTTACAATTTCAATATCTAACCTAGTTTGACAAGCTGTCAGTACAACACACGTGCCCACGCACCGTCCAATATAACTTTATAATACATGCACGCGCATCCTGCTTGCTGGCCTGATTGTAATATAAACTTTGGCGCGCATGATTTATGAGCCAAGACATCCGCTGATAGGGCTGATATGTAGTGGGCTCTCTCGGCAGGTCCAGAAGGCGGCGGTGGCGCCGTCGCGGATGCGGCCGACAACAACAGCAACAGCGGTGGTGGTGCTAATAGCCACAACCATGACGGCCGGGATTACACCTATTCAATATTGGACGCGTTCGTTCCACTGCCGGGCGACGAAACAACGCACTGCAGATGTAAGCGAGGACCGCAAGTAAGTGCACGCGAAGACAATACCCTCGGGTAGGATTTGATGCGTGCCAGGAAAGGGATAGTATACCCTTTTCCAACGCTGACGGAGCACAATACATTACATTATACTACATTAAATTACATTACATTACAATAAAACCCTTCTGATGCTTTTTGGAAAAATATGAAAAATACGAGTAACTCGGCTAATTTTAATATTTTTGGGCGTAAATTATATTTTTACTAATGGATTTATATGAGAAATTTTTGTACTAATGGGTGCTAAGTATCTACTTTAATTTTTTATGTTTATTTATGCCATATAAAACTTTTTTATATATTTTAAACCAAATCTTATTTATAAATAGCTTTAACCCGCGGCTTCGCTCGCAAATATCTAAAATAATGAAGTTGCTTCCGTACGCGTCTGTAGTCACCGAAGAAGTAACAATTAAGTAAAATGGCTGAAAGTATAGTCTATGGAAGTATAGTGTACAGTCTCCATAGTGTAGTCAATTGGATTTGATGTTGACGTAGCTGTCGGTAATACAGTGTGATAATACAGTGTGATGGTACTATAGTACTTAGGTTTGAGCTTCATTGCTGGAATGCTAGATGGCGTTAAAGTAGTCAAATAGCCAGATGCAGAGGTATTATTGGATAAAAAATTTCTTTATTTTATTTAAAAAATATTTATTTTTATTAAATAAAAAGTAGCCTATAACCATTCGGGGACCACTAAGAATATGTGTACAAATTTTCATGATGATCGGTTAAGTAGTTTTTGCGTGAAAGTGTAACAAACATCAAACACAAACTTTCGCATTTACAATATTAGTAGGGATAGGGATTTTTACTCGCGTCTTCGTCCCGGTAGTGTTTAATAAAAATGTAATTTGTTTTTACTCTCTTGTTCTAGACATAGTATGTGTTAATTCTATCAATAAGCTTCGCAATTTTATTTTAAAGAAATTAATTATATAAAGAATAGCTAATAATGCACTTCAACGCGCCATCTTGAATTCAACTATTTAACTATAACTATGATTGAATCTCAATGCCAACTTTTATCCTATAGAAAAGGGCTGTCTTTTGGGTTTTCCCGGCAATTATTTGAATTTTTCTCGCTGTAAAAACCATCCTTGGACTTTAACAAACGTTTTATAAAACAATTGGCCAAATTGACCTAGGCATTGTTGAGTTATGCGCATTTCAACAAAATTTGCGATTTGTATAATTTAGAAATTTATATTTTTATTATTTTCGCAGGGTCCTGTGGGAGCTCCAGGGTCAACAGGCGCACAAGGACTCCCCGGTGAGCGTGGCCCACGTGGTCCTAAAGGCGCTCAAGGTTCATTCGACTTTCTGCTGCTGGTCATGGCCGATCTGCGACATGATATACAACAAATTCAACACCGAATTTTTACTCCCAACGACAGGTACATCTAGCATGCGTTTTAAATTTAAGCCTTTTATAATACTTCAATCTTTACTTCTTCTTCTGTTTTAGTAGAAAGTTTTGCTTGCGCAAATTTCACCATCTTGCAGCAGTTTTTCTTTTCGTTGATTTCCAACGCGCAACTCGCAAACTCTTAACTCTCCCAACCTGGAGGAGTTCGCTCGTTGCACGTGCAGCTAATATATGAATTTGCGAGGATGGCCCGAGGGGCTTTGCAACTTTTCCACGGCGATAATAGTTCATTGTTCGCGGCCCGCGCTGCGTTGATGAAGCAGACAACCCGGACTTTGCTTGTGCATACAAAGTTTGCATCGAGAAAAAAAACAGACGCAAAACAAGGCGTACAACACACTAACAAAACAAGCGAACAAAAAAAGCACGTTGTGGCGAGCGGGGGTTGGAAAAACTTTGCTGCAAATGGAGTACACGTGTAGTCGGGGGCCGAAGTTTCGTGTACGTGGCGGGCATTCGCAAACTTGTTACGCTTCATTAATTTTATATTGTCGAGGCGCAAGTTTTGCATTCGAACAAATCGCCGAAAATTATGATCAAATCCTCTCGCAAACAATGCCAAGTAACCTCGTCAAAAGCAAAACATTAACTCACGAATCTTTAGTTTAGTTTAGCGTAAGTAATAAATTATTTGTGAAACAAGCGCACTTGCGGCTTTGGAAGTAATAAAATTTCAATTATATCCGAAAATTTGCGCGATTAAAGCGACGGCTGAAAGTTTCAATCTTCTGCACACTTGAGCCGGCGCAGTTAACTCAAACGAGCGTTAAACTATAAAAATACTCCCCCGCATTGCACCACAGCGCGTGTTATAATTAACGTGGAACTTACGCTTATGTGCATGTCCATGGCACACGCGCGCCATTTTGAATCGGGCGAATTTTCCAATTTCGAGCTGGGGTAAATTTACAGCCGGCCATTAAAACCTTCGCGCGCCAACCAACAAAACGATAATGATACTTTAAAACACTGCCGATGTTCTACTCCCACCTGTGCGTGCTTTTGATCAGAATGCAAACAAAAACAAGTTGGTATTGATACACGCTGAAACAAAACATTCGATGATAGCGCCAACAAATCGGAATGCACCGGTAACATATTGTAGATTGCACGAACAGCGCCGGCGAGTGGAGGGAATTATCCGGATTCTCGGCTAACTCTGATTACTTTGCCGATTTTCCTCGTTCCGCAAACGCGATCTGATCGATTGTCGCACGCTCCACGAAATTGGAAACTTCTTCGATTGCTATTGTTCGAGTGTCGGCTGAAAAACGACTGCTGCGATGGGAATGTGCGCGAAAACTACAAGATTAAAAGATTTCGCTGTCACGGAATATAATAAACATGGAATGCAATTTTCGGATAATGTCTGCCATGAATTCACTCTGAATTAAATTGACTTTCGGCGAAAAATGAATCCGGAAATTTCGAAATAATAATCGATTGTGTAGTTGGCAATAACATCAGCAACATGCCACATGTTCACTTCCCAGAAAGATTGTACAAATCCTCAAGAATAAATACGCAAACCGTTGGAATATTCGCCCCCTCTCGCGTATATTCAATCACATCTTCAACATCCGCTGTGGGATGCAAATCCATATTCGATTTTCGCGATATTTGTACGTGAAACTTTCCGTGCAAAACTCGTATTTTCGCCGCTTACCTCAAGCATGCACATCTACAAGCTCACACCTCCGCCCAACAACAAGTATCCATTTCGTGCGCCAACTCCCAGCAGCAATATTCGCCTCGTTTTGAGCACGCATTTCTGCACGAATTGCATGCATTATATAAATAGTTGTGCATCTTGGTTGTTGAGTACGTCCCAAGCGACAGATTTGAACGCTTCGATTCCCACTTGCAGGCCAACAAAGTTCGACGTGCACGCCGCGCTGGAGCAGCAGCGCGTGAAAGGCAAGCAGAAACTTCTGAAACAATACGAGGCGTTGGTCGGCGCGCCGGCCGTTATGGAAATGAATGTCGCCGCCAATGATAATGGCGGCGACGGCGACGGCGGGGACACGCTGCAACAGTTATCGAACCGTCAAATGGTCACTACCGGAGTCGCCAATTCGGCCGAGGGCGAAGACACTACGCAAACAAGCACTACCAGCACTTCAAGTCAGCCAAGTGTTGTGACAACTTTGGCTGTGGATACAAGCAAAGTTGATTTGCGTACGCCAAGTGCCGATCCAACTGATGATTACGAAGAAGAAAATGCGTCCTCTTTCAGTGGTGAAATGACCTATGAAGATTATTTATAGAAAGTATCACAATATTAACTTTAAACTTACCAAATCAGAGTTATAACCATGTAAAATATGTAATAAATGAATGCAACTATAGGCTACCCACAATACACCGTCAAAAACATCGCGTTGTAATTAAACCGTATTGAAATAAAACCAGAGTTTTTGCTGTAGTTGGGAATTTAAGCCGTCACATAAAACGAAAGGAGTTTTTATTGTTTATTTGTACGTTTTTTTTACGAAGAGATGAAGCCCGGCTTTGATGTTTAATTGCAGCACGACGCAATATAAGGTCGAGCGGAAGAAAACTCGACGCAACGTAGCACGATGTGGAAACCCAAGAAAACCTCGTTTATTGACGCTTTTCCGGTAACCTAGTCGAGTTCAGCTGCTATCTGCGGTAAGGAAACCCTTTGGAGCTTTCATCTGACAATAAAAAGCTTGTTATATCACTTGAATTTAATTTACATTGTTATTATAACTCGCAAGAGTTTAAGTATATAGTACAGTATAGCCATATTTGAATTGGTAAATAAATGGCTTTCTATGTAATTTGTTATAGTGGTACTGTGCTAAATTAAAACAAATCGTTGGTTTGTTGTGCATCAGATATCAGAGGTAGCGACAGCCATCTTGAAATAGCGCAGTTCGGGCTGCACGTTTGCACGTTAAGACACCCGCCATTATTATCAGTGTTGATTAATGCTCTCAGTGCATCTGCTCATTTATTTGCATTATGGCACGAACAGGCGCGGATGCATTCTTCTTAGCATGCTAATAAATTTGGATCAAAAACGTCTTGGGAAATATTGCGTTTAAATAAGTGTACGATTGACATGGTTTTTAGGTTAAAATTGTATTTTTTGGGTAAGAACTAGAAAAGAAAATAATTTAAATTTAAAAAAATCACTTATTGTTTTGATTGGGATGGTGAAGAGAATTAATTGATTCTTTACCAATTTTAACTAATAACAACAACTAAGTTAAACGCTTTTCTTTATTATTTTTCAACAAATGAGAACACATAACCTTATAATACACCTAAAACCATATGTTGAACTCTGTAAATATAAATATTTATCTACTATTAAAATATAAACAGTAGCACCACATATTCATCACCAATTTATAAAAATTCAAGAAACACTTTAAATCTTAAATATAAATTGTTTTATACTGATATAAAAATACATAACCTTAAAAAATCTCTGAAGTTACTAGCTAAATGAAGATCTTGCTTTATAAATTATTGCATGATTTGATCGTAAATGTATAATGAAGTAAAATACTTGTAACATTTAAATAGTATTAATCTCAGCCTTTGCTTCATATTATCTGATAATAGTTGTCTAATCAACAGGCATTTGAAGGTTAGTTGTCATGGCTGAAGAAGAAAATTCTTCATGATTCGCTTTTCCTTTACAACTTTTAACTACGTGCGATCTGAGGGCATGCCTTTGAGTGAAGCGTCGACCACAAAACTCACACTGTATCGGCTTAACTTTAGCATGAATGACTTGATGTTGTTTCAGATGCTTCCGTGTACCAAATCGTTTTGGGCATTCATCACACAGGAATGGCTTGTCGCCTGTATGCGTAACGTAATGCTCCTGGCGCTGAAATTTTCTGCGGAACGATTTGCCACAAATACTAAAATGAGAAAAGCAAAAACACTGCATAAAAGAGTAATAATAATTTATCTAGATGCTTACTCGCATATAAACTTGCCCTGCTCATGTATAATACTATGTGCAATTAAAAGCGCATTCAGTTTAAATCCTTTGCCACAAATCGGACACAAAAACGGACAATTGTCATTATGCCTCACTTTTATATGTTTATTGCACTCAAAAGAACATCTGCAAATAGAAATAGAAACCAATAATGGTTTGATACTGCTAAATAATCCATACTTAAATTTCTTTCCACAGATTTTGCATGTATATGGCGTTTCACCTGTGTGAATTCGTTTATGTACTGGGAGATAATCAGTTCGAAAGGTTTTATGACAAAATTCACATTCAGCTCGGCATTTTCTATTGTCTTGCAACTTTTCTTTCTTTGGACGCCTTGTATTACTTTGCCTAGAAATAAATACATTAACAAAATTGTAGCAATTTTAAACTTGTTTACTTTTTTCTTTTCTTTTTGCTAGATTCAAAATCACTATCCTCGAACTTAGTTCTTCACTCTCTGATGAAAACTCTGCTTCTAAATCTTCTGGGTCATCAATACCTACTGAATCTTCATCACCATCATCATCATTTTCAACATTGTTGGTGGATGAAATTTCATCAATCTTAACACTCAATAACTGGGCAGTGTCTTTTAAATCTTCAATTGCTTCATGGTTGTCTTGATTAACTGTAATAATTGTATCATCTGCAGAATACTCATGGATCAACTGTTTGTTATCCTCCAGATGTGACATGCAACTACTGAGGTATTCAACAGACTTGTTACACATTCTTTGAAAGCTGTGTGCTTGAACAGCTTTCCTAAAGCAGCTGCCACAAGCATGTAGTGGACACTGTTCATGATTCAATTGCACAAACTACAAAGTAAATCAAAAGTATATTAACTTTATACTCAGTGTATGATCTCCATTTACATTTGATAACAATTTGAGGGCCTCATACAACTTTATTGGTGGATCACTCTCAGGCAAAACTTCATGAATGGAGAAATTTTTACAATACCGCATCCTTTTATTACATATAATACAAATATCATCATTTTGAGGTGGTACAATTGTATTTCCTGCGGCAATCGTATCCGAAGTCATGATGGCGTTACAGGTACTTTGGTTTCACTTTAGATATCAGCATCCACAAAACATTTATGCAGGCAATCAAAAAGCTTGGTTATGAAACAAGGTAAAGCTGTTGATGTTGTAGGAAGGGTAAAAAGCACCTGGTTTAATTTTCAAAACACAAGTGATGTTAAATTTAACATTTGAGATTGTTCACCTTCTTTTTATCTTGAAACTTCTTATTCTACATGAATTATTAAATAAATTGTGTCTTAACTTAACAGATATCAAACTTAATCTATTTTAAAAGTTGTAGTTACTCCCAATCGGCTCTATTTGGACTCCATTGACTCCATTTTGGTGTTGTTTCAGATCTGTTTGTACTCGAAGTCGCTTTAGGCATTCATTTACATCATTCGGTATTTGATTGTTGGCAAAATGTGATGCACAATGTTGTTTTACTTGGAATTTTTTGATGAATAACTTGCCACAAATACTAAAATAAAATATAATATATAACAGGATAATAATAATTTAATTCTATTCTTACGGGCATGGAAGCTTTGCCTTGTGTGACTGTGTATGACGTTTTAGACGAGATTTAAATACAAACCTTTGGCCTTTATGTTTCTTGGTCATATGTGCATTACGCTTCTCAAGAGTGCTGAAATGAATAAACAGTTAAGAATGATACATAATTCAAAAATGATTCATATACCTGCATTTTTTGCCACATGTTTTGCATTGATAGGGTTTTTTTCCTGTATGGGATTCTTTATGCAACATGTAAGCATTATGATGAATACTTCTATTACAAAAAATACATATCACATATATTTTGCCTTTATGCAATATTGTTTCTTCTGGTTCATTTGCGGAAATCTCCCTAATAATAAAAAAAATTACAACATAATCAGAACTAAAATTTGAAAAATATAATATCAATAATTACATGTTGGATTCCTGTTTAATAGCTGCAAAACCAACATCATTTGAATCTTTATCATTAAAAACCTTATTTTCATCATCAGATGATAAAATTTCAATCTTCACATTTGCTAATTGGGCAGGAACACTCAAATCTTCAATTTTCACATTATGGCCTGAATAATTGTTACTTTTATCCTCCTGATGATTGTTTTCAGAAAGAGGAAACTTAGAGATTATGTGTTTGCTTTCATCCACATGTGGAATATAGTTTCTAATGAACTCAACAGACTTATTACACAATATTTGAAGGCTATATGCTCGATCAGCTTTTACAAAGCAAGTACTACAAGCTGATAAAGGACACTCATCCTGGTTCAAGTGAGCAAACTAGAAAAAAATCACAAACTTATTAATATTATAAGCAGTGCACTATGGTCATTTACATTTGATAACAATTTGAGGGCCTCAAACAAATTTATTGGCGGGTTACTTTCAGGCAAGACTTTGTTGAGGGGATATCTTTTACTACCCCGCCTCCTGGTACATATTACACAGAGTTTATGAAAAGAAGTCATGACTGTATTATTAATATGGAATCGTTTTCACTTTATTTATGCACCAGTGCGAATTTAGCGGCAAGTAAAAAGCGTGGTTATCTTGCTTTTAAACTTTAATCCGTTGCACCACTTCATGCGTTGCACAATGACTACATTTAAAAACGCTCAAAATGATTCCAAGATGGCGCTAAAATGTACTTATTTGCCTTAAATAATATGAAAATATGGACATTGTGATTATTCATTATAAGCTATAGATTGCTTATACAGTTTATAAACTTTTAAGTCGTTTTATCAATTCTCTTTAATTGTACAGTGTACGTGCTATAAATTAATTTTTCAATGTCAATCTGTCAATTTGTGTACAAAACCTACAAACAGAAAGCGCGTTATCTTAAAGACACATTTCTATGGCCAGAGTTAAATTTTTGTTTTAATAATACTTTTAACCGTGGTTTATAGTTGTACATTTTCTTATAATACCAAATTAATAATATATATTTGGAGAAAAGCAATTTAATGGCATTCCCTGCAGCCAATGCTCAAAGAGGTAACTTTTACAACTGATTCTCTATATTAACTCTCAATTTGTATTGTGTTATCACTCATATGTTTCTCTGCTTTCTCTCATCCAGAACTAACGAATCGTAAGATTTTAGAAGAGCTACAGTTAAAGAAGCAGCTTCTTCTAAAGCAAGGAGTTGCTTCTACCCTCAACTCTTCTGCACTGCCTTCACCAATTGGTGGAAACAACACTGATGCACATCCACTAAACTCTGCACAGAGAAGCACCCTGCAGACAGCGAATGCTCAATCAACTGGATTTTTCATCTCACAAGATTCCTCATTTGGTAATTTAATACTGCCAGTATTGCCAAGACTAGACAGCTGCAAATAATGTGGCCATGCATGAAGTTGAGACATCTCGAGGAGCTGCTGCAAGGTGTTGAGGAGTTCCACAAGCCTAAAGTTCAATTGGAGCAGTATATTACACCTTCACATTTGGGATCACATATGTTATATACCATTCAAGTACCTATTTTAAAAAACTATATGTGAATGAGTAATCAAATTTTAGTTTGTGCATGTTTCTAGAGTCAATATGGGGATTTTGCTGGGAAGGTAGTTGCTGATTTGGGTGCTGGATGTGGAGCATTGTCAATTGGTGCAGCTGCTTTGGATGCAGCACTTGTTGTAGGCTTTGAGGTGGATGCAGATGCTTTAGCGATCCTGGCAACTAATCTGGAAGAGCAAGAGATCACCAATTGTGATGTGGTTCACTGTGATGTTGTAAGGGATATTCCAGACAGGTAAAATCTATATTTTGTGCATTGTTTTGTCATTTTTTAGTGTATGTCGTTTGTTTTAAAGTTTTAATCGTAAATTTGATACGGTAATAATGAATCCTCCATTTGGCACCAAAACAACGCTGGGATTGACATGAAATTTCTCGAACGTGCTCTAAAACTCACTACTAATGTTGTTTACTCGTTACATAAAACATCTACAAGGTATATTTGTTTATCCGTTGATTATTGATGTAAACTGATTTTTTGTATGTATTTATATTTTATGTTTGTCCTAGAAATCATGTCTTGAAAGTGGCAAAAGCAGCCGGTGCTGATGGGGAAGTTCTTGCCGAATTACGATATGATTTACCTTCAACTTACAGGTTTCACAAAAAGACTTCAGTGGACATCCAGGTTGATTTTATAAAATTCACTTTGAAGCACGATGAAGTGTTGTGAAGGCCAGTTTACATTTGAATCTTTTATACCTAAAATTAAATTTTAAAACTTCAAGAAATTGATTGATTCTTAAAACACGTTCATCTGTTTTTACCAATTTATTTACAACAGATGGCATTTAATTATTTTTCTACTTCTACCTTTATAGCGCCAGTTTTTCCAGGGTTTTTAGACACAAAAAGTGGTACTTAATGGATAGCCAAGGCCGTGACTAAAGTATCCACATTACATTTGTTCAAACCATCAAAAGCTTGGTTATGAATCAAGGTAAAGCTGTTGTAGGAAGGGTAAAAAAGCAACAAGTTGAAATTTTCGAAATAAGTTCCGTTAAAGTTTACATGTCTCAGATTTGTCACTTTTATTAAAACTTAAAGAAAATCTCTGAAAATAAATGATGATCTTATTTGATCATTGAATATATTGTAACTATAGATTTTTACTGCATCGGCTCAGTTTTAATTGGCTTCCTTTTGAGTTGATGTTTGAGATCCGGTTGAACACCAAATCGGCTTGGCCTCGGCAAATATTTTTTGACAATATGCGTTGCACGATGCTGTTTTAGACTGGATTCTTGGATGAACGATTTTCCACAAATGCTAAAATATTAAAAATATCAATAAAAGCAGAATAATAATCTGATTCTATACTTACTTGCATGAGAACTTGCATGAATGCTTGTGAGCACGACGAGTATGTCCAATTAAATGAGCCTCCATTATAAACCTTTTACCACAAAGATGGCATACAAAAGGACGATGCATATGCATTTGTCCTACATGTTGCCTTCGCAACCTAGAAGATCTGCAAATGAATAAACAATTAATTAATTATGATCCATGGATTGATGACTCACATACTCGAAATTTTTGCCACAAATTTTACATGCGTATGGTCTTTTCTCTGTGTGTTTTTGTTTATGAAGCAGGTAATGTTCATATGGAATATTTTTATGGCAATATATGCATCCCACCATTTCTTTGCCACTTTGCAATGTTGTCTGCTTGGCTCTATTTGCAGTTGTTTGCCTAAAATCAAAAATATTAAAGTAATCAACTAAAATATCAAAAATTTAAGAATAGTTACATATTAGATTCCTGTTTAATTGATACAAATTCAATATCATTTGAATCTTTACCATTATCAACATTGTTTTCATCATCAGATGATAAAATTTCAATCTTTACACTTGCTAATTTAGTAGGAACATTCAAATCATCAATGTTTACATTATGCTCTGGATTATTGATTGTTTCAGCCTCCTGATGATTGTTTTCAGAAAGAGGAAACTTAGAGATTGTGTGATTGCTTTCATCCACATGTGGAATACAATTTCTGATGAACTCAACAGACTTATTACACAATCTTTGAAAGCTATATGCTTGAATAGCTTTCCCAACACAAGCACCACAAGCTGATAAAGGACACTCATCCTGATTCAAGTGTGCAAACTAGAAAATTAATCATAAGCATATTAATATTATAGTTATAAGCAGTGTATTATGCCAGTTTACATTTGATAACAATTTGAGGACCTCAAACAACTTTATTGGTGGATCACTTTTAGGCAAGACTTCATGGATGGAAGACTTTGCACAACTCCGCACCTTTTTATTACACACGATGCAAAGATCATGAAGTTGTGATTGTAAAATTGCGGCTCCTAAGTTATTAGTTTCCGACGTCATGGTAGTATTACTATTCGTATTATGCATTACTTTCGCTTATTTATGCACCAGCGCGGTTCTGGCGGCAAGTAAAATGCTTAGTTATCATATCATTATCAGAAGTTGCTTTAATAACGCTCAAATCGATTCCAAGATGGCGCTAAAATGTACTTATTTACATTAAGTATTATGAAGATATGTACATTATAAGTTATAAGTAATTTTAAACATTTAATGAATTTTTTCAACTCAGTTCAATTGTATAAGGTACTGGCTATAAATTGATATGTATTTAAAGGGAAAACACGTTATCTTAGAAGGCAACATTTCCTTTGGGATTTCCTTGAAGGAAAAAGCAGTTTCAGTCGACTTTACTTGCGAATATTGGAGATACACAATGTTATTATGCAGTGTTTATATTCAATCGACGAAACTCGGATCGGTTCGTATATTGCCAATGAAATCAGGTTTTACAAGTGCCACACTCAAGTACACATTATCGCTCATGGTGATACCAGATTTTCAAAACGCGGCATTTCGCAGTTGTGAAATATTAGATTATATCCAACATATACAAAATAACAAAATAACTTTGAGCAGTTTCCATTATTATTTAATAACAAAAGTAATATTGACAGACCTAGAACATAATTCGTCCTAAATGTTAGTTATCTTTTGAAATTTCTTTTAAAACACTGTAGAACTGGTTGCACATTTCAGCTACAACTGTCTGTACAACACATTGTGAAATAAGTGTTCATTCTATAACTCCTACCACAACTTATACTACTTAAATCATTATTTATAGATTACACAACATATTCCTATATAATACTCCGCTAGAGTTGCGTGCTATCATTCGCGCTTTGAGTTTTGTTGATCAAACTTCTGTTATCAAACATCGATAAATATTATTAGCATTTTGGTTCGGTTCGTATACTAAAATTAAACTTACAATGAGCGAAGAATTCCACGATATTGTCCAAGATGTCGCACGCAAAGAAGACATCAAAAACGCCAAACTGGCACTGCAGTCATCGAGCAACAAAGGCGATGGTTACCTTGGAATGGTCAAATTCGGACAAATCGTTGGCACCAACAAGACCTTGGACGTAGTTTTGAAGTGTTCGCATCGTAATCCGAAAAAATTCGAGGACTTCATACATAAGATCTACCTCAATGAAATCCACTTCTACGAGAGAATCGCACCAACTTTCCAAAAGTTCCAAGATGAGCATCAAGTTTCGCAACCATGGGACAACACTGCGAAATTCTACGGTGCCATCGATGAAGAGCACAAAGAAACGTTGGTGTTGGGAAACCTCAAAAGCAATGGCTACGACATGTGGGACCGGAAACAACTGATGAATGAAGCTCATCTAAAATGTGCGTTGAAAACATTTGCAAAGTTTCACGGCACATCTTATGCTATGCAAAAGTTAAGACCTGATTTATACAAAGAGATTACTGGGACGATGAGTCATGATTTGTTCTACGAAGTCATCGATATAATGAACTTTCTAACACAAGTCAAAACTATGATTACTGACATTGCAAAGGTCATTTTCGACCCTGAAGAAGAGAAGACTTACCTAGATGTAACAAATAAATTTGCCGCTACTGCTGATGAACACATCAAAGCTGTATTTAATTATCACGCCAATGATGTTATCCTCCAAGGTGATTGTTGGTGTTCCAATGCATTGTATCATTACGCAGATATGTCAAACCGAACAGAACCACAAAGTATGAAAATGTTGGACTTCCAGTTGGCGAAATTGGGTTCGCCAGCGATGGATTTATCCTACTTTTTCTACGCGGCTGCTTCAAAGGAGTGCTTTGATAGATTAGATTACTTCTTAAAGTTTTATCATGATTGTTTGTCGGACCATCTGGCGGAGTTTAATCTGAAAGCGGCGGACGTGTTGACATTTGATCAGTTGATGGAACACTGGAAGCAAGTATCCAAATTTGGGTTGATATTGACCTTCGGTGTGAGGAAGGTGATGTTTGTAGAAAGTCAGGATGCACCTGATTTTACTGAATCCCCGGAAGATTTCCTTGATAAGATGAAGATGTCTCCTGAATTGGAAAATTTGTATCATCAGCAAATTAAGGAGCTTATTGTTCATTTTATTGACCGCAAACTAATTTAATAATTGCAATGATTTGGCAACATTTCAAGTTATGTGTATGTAGTACTATGTAATTTGTTATCTTATCTATGCGATATATTTAGGCGGTTGTTTGATAAATTTGTGATTTGTTATAAAAATATTCCATTATATTTATGTAATAATGATAGTGATAATTAAATATTCTTTCTACTTCCATCTTTAACGCGCCAGTTTTCTACGGTTTTAAGACACAGAAAGTGGTACTTTAAGGCGAATGGCCAAGGCTGTGACTAAAGTTCTTTTGTCACATACTTTAGCCACGGGGTGGAGCTTGCGCCTGCGCATTTGCTTACGATGCAGCACAATCTACTTATATCCACTTAATAAACATATCAGTTAATCTGTGGGTATTCCCAAAGATTATACAGGAACAAATGACATTTTTGTACTCCGATGGCGTTTAGAATTTGATAGACTCTACGGAATCCGTACCTAATGTAAAAACAAATTAATATTAATAATTTAGTTATAATCGGCAACTTACTTAGTTTACCTAAGGTGCCTGCTTCATATAACGCCCTTTATGTTCTTCGATTTCTACAGGTTCAAGTGCACTTGGCGAATTTTCCAGAGACAATTGAAAATCCGAGCTTATCTGACGCAAGTGCACAAAAAACATAATTTTAAATCAAGTTACTTATATCCGAAAGACGACGAGGCTGATGCGTCTAATCATATTGATTTAAGTTGGTTTAATAATAATATTGCAAATGTCATATGATAGATTCATGCTAAAGGAACCAAAGAAGCGCCCAACAAAATATTCCATCGTGACGATAGATGAAAACAATCAAAATACTTGGCCAGCGTCAAGAAAAGATTAAGAGTTATTTTCGACAAAGTCGAATAGAAGCTCAAGTACAAAAGTTCAGTCATTTCTATGACAAGAAACGCTCACATTCGTTTGTATCTGCGTCTAAATCTTACCCGCGTTACAAATAAATGATTACTCAGTGAAATCCTGTAAATAATATTTAGGATATGAGTGTATGGAGCTATATTAAAAGGGAAGATAGTTCAATACAAAGCGTCAAATACACGAAACGATGCCAACACACTGAGAAAATTATAATTGTCTATAATTGCATTGTCTTCCTTCCGGATCACTTAGGGACCAAGAATTTTTATGAGTTTGGTAAGAACCGTCGCCAGCGTCAAAATACTAAGAATCGATTACATTAGAGCGGCGATATGTTCCACTACATTGTGAAATGATATGAGGCAGATAAGTTTTTAACTGACGTTTTGTTAAAGTCGCGGTAAATATTATAATAAGCCAACAACACAAAACAACGTCTTGATAACGACATGGCATCTAGAAACCTGTCCAGAGGTACAAAGATAATGATTGGCGAAGAACTAATATAAAATCACATTATATGTGAAATATCCAACCTCGTTTATTCATACAAATGAACAGAATAAAGTAGTCTTCAAGATTTTATTTTGTTGGAGAAACAAAGCTAAAACATGCGATCTTATAATTAATTTAAAATGCAAGTCCCCAGAAAAAAAAACGGCAAAAAGCAAAGAATAGAATCATTTATTGCTGCAAACAGGATATTTCGAGGAAGCCGCAGAATAAAATCTTATTATAAATTTGGCATCATTACCAAATTAAATGTATAAATGTTAAGATATCATTTTACCGAATTGTGCGTCGCCAGTAAAGAAGTTTGAAGAATTCATTCGAAGCATAAATATAAAACAATTGCAGGGAAGAAAATTACGCCCAAAAACGCCATCGGAGCACAAAAATATCATTTGTTGCTGTATAATTATTGGGACATTCACAGATTAACTGATATGTACTGTTTTTAATAAGCAGGAGCATGAATTGAGAATGAGAGCGTAAATCATGCATTACAAGTAGATACATGTTGATGTTTTAGAAAAGATAACATAACACCAGCCTTCGAAAGAGAAGGTAAGACTCTACGAACTCTACCATCTTGATAATAATGGTTACCAACAAAGTGCACTGGAAGAACACCAGTAGAACACTTTAATGTGAAATGTTAACACTTCAACATCTAACACATATGCTTACTTTCAATTAAGTTAGGCATATATATAAAAAAGAATGTCAAACTTATCAATGAACACTTCATGTGTTGTCGAACGAACCAAGAAACACAAAATCTTCCAAGTTCACCTGAAGTGAATGAGAGATGGGAAAATGCACGAGGCAGTGGAGGAATAGACATATTTTGTAAACAAACTGGCAGGACACTATGTAATTTCGTTTGAAAAACTTGAACTTGATTAATCACGCCATTTAAACGCCATTGTGTACAAAGGCTTGGGTATTAAATGTGAACCGATGCACGAATGCGAAGAACTACTTTATGCAAAGTTGAGACTTGTTTTGTAATAATTGACTTATATTTTTACCGAAGCTCCGAGTGGAGCACAATGTGTATATAATATTGATGTGTGAGTTTTGACAAACAAACTGAATTGCAATAATAAGTTTCCTATTAGGTTGATTCGTAAAACAAAAGTTTGTTTTATAAACATTTATTATAAAACACTGAATTGGTAGGCTTTGAAAAAACAAATGTTTACTGCACCTCCTACGATTCTTATTTTATTCTTAAATCGTGCTTCGTTTATATAGCTCTGAATAAAAGGTGCATGATAATGAACTCCTGTGAAGAGTGTAGATTGATTTGCATCGCATCCGTTATCACGTTTTTTAAGTGCTCCAATGCTCACAATACCCCTTACAAAATAACGCCCTCCTTTCTTGAAGAACAATCCTCCACCACTGTCACCTTGACAGGCACTATCACCCATTCTAGCAGCAGCACATATTTTATCCCTTGCATAAATATAATATTTCTTAAAATCATCATCTAAAACACATGTCTCTCGAGTCCTGAATGTAAGTTGTAACTCTTTGAGTACTTCAGATGGATTATCAGTGCTTGTGGTATGTCCCCATCCAACAACCACACCAGGAATTTCAATTAAGCAATACATACTTGGAAATGACAAATGGTGTCTCTAGTAATAGAATAGCAATGTCAAATGAATAGAATTCGATGTTGTAGTCATTGTGAAACTTAATTTCTTTCACCTGTAATTGTTTATGTTAATATTTAATTAAGTATAAAAATTAGTAGTTTCACATTTGAATACTACAGTTTTTCATGTGTACTTCACTGAAACTTTTTGCTGTTTTTTATTCATAAACGGTAGACAGTTAATCAATAATCAATTTATCTCATCTGAAAATGACTTAGCACTCAAATATATCTAATATTTCAAAAACTCTCCCCCATATATTTTCAATAACAAAAACCAACATCGCAGTAATAACACCAGTAATCCAGAGAATAAGCATACCCTTAACGTGTTCCAATTGTAATATTATAGGCCCAATCGACGGTTTTGTGTTGTCCAAGTACTCAAGTATAATTGCCATTGTGCTCTCTGCTCTAAACGCATCCCACTCCCATTTGGTCATCAAACCCGCACTTTGACATCTAAGCACATAGTCATTTAGAAGTGGCATATATAACATGTAATTATTATGATTCAATGAGAAGTAAGTGTTCAGGTGCAAAAATGTATAATCCATCGATTGAACAAACGGGAGATATTTATATTGATTATCCTTGATTACAATTGCAGTTGAAACTAGAAACAAAATGGTATAAATATTTCCTGTAATTTAATATATTTACACAAATAAATATAAATACGTTTGGTTATTGTGATATAATGTGCCATAGCTTTCTCTGTGTACGGTTTAGTTGAAGAAGCACCCACATATCGTGAAAATGCACGTTTTTCCATCTCCTTAAAAAATCATGAGTAGGGTTAACACGCGGTACCGAGAAACTTTTAAACGAATATTGTCTCGGTCTCGTCTCGGAAAAGCGAGACGATACCGAGATGAGACGTGTTTCAACAATTTCTCGGCGATACTGAGACACCAGTCCGAGTCTCGTTTTGGTCTCGTTATTGATAAAATTAATTTTTTTCTGAAGTTGTTATAGAAAAATGAGAAAAGGTCTAATATATGAAATCAATATACCTATGACCATCAAATATCATGGCCTTCTTGACTTTTTGAAAGTTTTATGAAATTTTTGTCTTTGTTTGCACATCCGGAAACATATTTTTGTGTTTTTCTGTACATCTTGAAGCAAAGATATTGTATACATCTGGGTAAGTTAGGAATTGTAGACGTGCGCCGCTTCCTTTCAACACAAATCAACACGATTATTGTACCCTAGTATACATTAACGTTTAAAAATTTGAAACATTAAAAATTCCGCAGTTTTCAATTATTTTGTTTGATTGTTTCATGCGTTCAAAGTGATTAATTATCTATCAAACTATGCATGTGACATAATTTTGTTTTAGTGGGTACACTAATATAATTTGTACAATAAAAGCCAAGCGCCCTAACAATGGTCTGTTCAGGAGAATTACTAAACTTTTAAAATGGAAGGAACAAAATCTGCCACATGAGGAACAAAATACTTGGGTCCGCTAGTTATGAATAAAACAGTAATACCGAGATAGTTAATATCGAGTTACACTGATGCATTGATAATTGTAAACGTGCAGTACAATACATATACCATAATGATAAAACTGTGTGAAAGAAGTATATGTGAGTGAAACAGGAGACCGACTTCAGCCTCATTCCTTCGAGCGGGATGAAAATTAAATTACCAAAATGGCTATAAAAATATAGAGATTGGTAATAAAAAGCAAATATTTAGAGTTGTATGTATTTTTAATGCCACATTATAAAAAAATAGAAATAAATTTTTTATCCAAAATTTTAAAAATTAAGGGTGAACAACACTTAGGAGTATGAAGAATAGATAGTAGCCGATTCTCAGACCTACTTGATACGCATATAAAATTTTCCTTCGAGCAAGATGAAAAATGATTAAATTACTAAAATGGCTATTAAAAAATAGGGTTGGTGATAAAAAAATCAAAATTTAGGGTTTATGTATTTTTAATGCCACATAAAAAATAAAATCACAAAAAATTCGAACAAAATTTAATAAATATTTAAGGGTGACAACCCTTATATTCGTAGAGAAATGAAGAATAGATAATATCCGATTCTCAGACCTATTGAATACGCATATAAAATTTTTCTTCGAGCGTCATGAAAAATGATTAAATTACTAAAATGGCTATAAAGAAATAGTATAAAAGTAAAAATTTAGGGATGTATGTATTTTTAATGCCACATTATAAAAATTGAAATCAAAAGAATTTGTCCAAAAATTTAAAAAGTTAAGGGTGAACAACCCTTATACTTAGGGTATGAAAAATAGATGTTAGCCGATTCTCAGACCTACTGATTGCATTGCGTGATATTATAGTAGAATTACTTACGGTAAGTTCTTGTTCATCAATCATATACAGGGGATGATTTACGTATTCAACGTACAGATCAGAATCGGCAAGATCTTCGATTGTTTTAATTTCATGCTCGTAGCTTATGGTCATCATCTTATCAATTACACCTGATGAGAAAACAGCGGAATATAATACAGCTATGATCAATAAAGTGGCGATAAGAGAACGAGCACGAATATATCGTGGAATATCACGATCATTCAACCCTTGCAGAAAGAATAATCCGGTAATTGCTGTGAAATTCGGATTATTCGTATTGGTGTAAATCTTGTTTTCAACCCAGAAAAAAATCGCAGTGAGCATATAGCAGGATATAATTAACATCCACAGTTGTAGGTCGAAAACATGTGCCAGTTTCAACCAATCAATATAGGATCTACAAATTAATATATCAAAATATGTGATTTTTAAGAGTATTTGTTGGGTTTACTTTGGTTTGGGTACCAAGAACTTCAGATCCATTTGGGATACCGGATAAGAAATGACAAATCTTTCTATATCCAACATTCCTAACGAAATTAAATTATATAAACGAAATTAGTTTCTTTTAATAGTATATTAAGTATCAAGTGGCTAAACGGGAGTTTTTGTAATGAGATTGATTAAAATCAAACGTAGTGAGCGTTTAATTAATCGAGTGTTTAACAACGTTTAGCCACGAGAAGCATACGCAATTTTTTCTACTTCCACGTTCTATTTGACTTTTGTATTTGAACTTGTGTATTTTAAATCTTCGAAATTCGCTCGTTAAATACTGGGAAATGTAAGCACATACACATGCGTAAGTTCCACCTCGTGACTAAAGCCCGTGACTAAAGTACTTTAGTCAATGCCTTGATTATCCGTGTTTAAAATATCACTTTTTGTGTTTCAATATCATGCAAAAACTGGTGCTTTAAAAGTGGAAGTAGAAAAACATAATAAATGTCTATATTTAAATCTACCAATATTAATCCTTGGTGCTTTATACCAATCAAAATAAATGCTAACATTCATATTCATAGACTTTGCAAATTCAATTAACAAGTTTAACTCCGAACCCATTTTCTTTGCTAAAATAAATAAACACATGTAACTATATAAGAAGAAAATATAATCATTAATTATCTTAAGTACTTCCAATTGCGAATGGACATAACATATTATTATTGAGACCAATATTCAAAATACCCCGATGACGCTTTTTCCTTTCATCCGAAAAGAATTCATCTATATTTTCATCCTCAAATCGTTTCTCATAAATCTCCCATCGATTCAAGACGGCATGTTCATTTGCTTGCCAGTGATTAAAAGCACTGATAACAATATAATCAGCTTCTCGTTTTAAAAACTGCATTACCAGCATATACAGGAATTTTATCGTAATATCTAGAAAACCTGTCGAATTTGTAATCTTCAATGGTGTCATTATCAAGAAAAATATGCCTTTAAAAGTGAATTCCTTATTCACCAAGAGACAATTCATTATGTACGAATCGCTCGTACTCAACGGATCATGTAGTATATAATGATTACAATTGGCGTAACACTTCTCAGGGTTAATAATTTGCAAAATGTGAGGTTGGAAGAAACTAAAGATATGTCACTGAATACATGTACTGTAGGTTGTACTGCAGTTTTATGGATAATACATTCAGCATTTTGAAAATGTTGACGTATGATGATATTCAGCATAAGCTGCAAAGAAGTTTCAATTATAATATTATCCGCTAACATGACTTAATTTCAACTGAATTTATTGTTCATAATATATTGCTGTGAAAGGTAAGTTAATACAATAACTAATAACTGTAAAAACGGTTCATAATGTATTACTGGAACCTTTTGAATACTCGTAAGTAACTTTTAATACAGCCAGAACTAATTTGCTTTGTGAATAAAATATTTATTGTTTATTATGTACATTATTCCAAACAGATAATACCAAATAGGTATTAATAATATATTATACAATTTAAAAATGTATAAATGTATAAATTACGTTGCAAGCAAAAGCTATTGGTTATCTATATATTTAAAAGAAAGTCGTGTTGGTTACCTTGATTATAACTAAAGAACGGCTAATCCAATTTAGCTAAAAATTGGTGGAGAGGTAGCTTAGGGCCAGGAGAAGGTAATGGGATACTTTTTGAAATGAAAACTTTTCTAAAAAGGCACTAAACGACACTAAAAAGAGACAAACATATTTGCGTATATGGGTTGCTCGGTTGATGTGTTTGTTTGGATAAGATTTAGTAAGTGTAGGATACTTTTTTTAATACTTTTGACGTGATAACGTCTTTAAAATCGTTTTAGTCGGGTGACATGTTCAGAAACTTGTGTCACGAGGCCGATCGCAGGTATAACGAGAGAGAGAGAGACGGACCGATCTCCCGTCTCATCTCGAGCGCTGCCAGTCATTCCGTGAAACTTGACACGCGGAATCCACACGAGCGGAGGCAGGCATAGCGTTCGAGTGAGTTGACCGATCTTCCGTCTCTCTCACTCTAGCGGCATACAAACGAATGGAGATTTTCTCGTGCGGTTAAGTTTTCGTTGAATATTTAACAGTGAAACAAAATGTGAAGTGCAAGTGAAGTGTTACAACAATTGCAACAAAAAAATCTTATATCACCAATAAGACGTTATCACGTAAACATCTCGATCGTAAACCTACTTTACAAACAACCATTTTTTTTGAAGTGAAAACTTCTTTGGAAGATACTAAACGAGTTTTCCCCGTCTCTTCTTTGTGCGATGCTTCGTAGCTTCCCATGCAGCGACCAAAACGATCAAATCTTATCCGACAAAACCGTAATGCAACTAGGATTCGAAGGATTGCGAATGAAAGGACTGAAGAAGAACAAAAAATTGCACGTGAAAAGCGCCGTGTTAGTATGACTCGACTACGTGCTTCTCAATCACAAGAGCAAAGCGAGGCGGAACAAAGTTTGCCGGGTCAGCTAGTTTTATAATAAAGAAGAATTTATGCGGTCAGGAAACTTTCATATATAGGTAATTGTAATGAAAATATAATTGATTTTTACTTTCTTGTTGAAAACAAGTGTGTGCGTTGATTTCATCAATAATATTTGCAATTTTATTTGAAAAACAATGAGAATTGAGAATTATGAAGCTGAAATTACGATTGAATCCACATACCAACTTTCATTTCCATTTTAACATCTTTTCAATTACAATTTTTGATATTTTAATAGTTATTCTCTTATTCGGAATATAAACAAATCTAATAAATCATAAATAATTAAAATCTACTAAACCGTTCTTAAGTTATAAACGTTGTAACTCACCCCGACTTTGTTTTAAATTTATAGATAAAAAGCTTTTTGTAATGTTACGTTTTCTCGAAGAAAATTAAGAAAATTAGAGTAATTAGTATAAAAGTTGAAAACTACAATTCTAATTTAAATAATCCAAACTCTATCAAAAGGTAACACCCAAAGTGTTTCACATACAAAAACGATCACTGAAATGACAATGCCAATAATCCAAATTGCAAACAATCCTCGAACATGTTCAAACACCAATTTAACCGGATCCACAGCCGGAGTGCGGTCATCTAAATACGCTAATAACGTCGACATATTATTTGCCGCTCTGTATACATCCCATTCCCACTTGCCCAACAAACCAGTACTGCGACATCTTTGAATATAGTCGTTTAAAAACGGAACCAGCAGTGTATACTCAATGCGCCACAATGTAATTTTACAATTTAACATCGAACTTACGTAGTTCATTCTTTTCAGGTGTCGAATATCAGGGTTGCTTTCGTGATTTGGTGATAATGAGGTGGAAACTGTTAATAATAACAATGTCAAAATATTTATAAATTTAAAACTCCGTCTTTTAAACGTACGTTTTGTTTCTGTGATATAATGTGCGGTGGCTTTCTCGGTGTAAGGTTTACCAGAGTTAACTCCTACCCTACGTGTAAACGCTCGTATTTCTGCTTTCTTAATGAATAATAAACAATCATTTATAGTTGATGATAATAAAGATTTATTTCTACTTCCACTTATTGAGTTTTTCTACGGTTTTTAGACACAAAAAGTGGTATTTTAAATACGGACGGCTAATATCGTGAGAAAAGTACTTTAGTCACGGGCATTGCATCTGCGCATTGGCATATGGAGCCGCACGATATGAATCGACGCGACATTTCCTCATGGTTTGCAAGCAAATTTCGAAAATTTAAAATAAAAAGTTCAAATACAAAAACTCAACGTGGAACTAAAGTGGAAGTAGAAAACATAGAGTAAGCATCACGTGGTTAAACGTTGTTAAACACTCAATTGATTAATCACTCGCTTTCAATCAATCTAGTGAATAAAACTCCCACTTGATACTTAATATACTATTACTTACAGTCAACGTCTCACGATCAAACATATTAAATGGATCGTTCACCCATTCAACATACAAATCAGACTCCGCAAGGTCTTCCATAGTTCTTACATCATTCATATAACTTTCAGTCATCATTTTATCAACAACACCAGACGAGAAAACCGCCGAATATAACACAGCCACAATCAATAACGTAGCAATTAGTAATCGAGCTCGAATGTACACAGGAATATCTCTATCGTTTAATCCTTGAAGAAAAAACAGACCTGTAATAGCGGTAAAACCAGGACAATTCAAAAACGGATAAATTTTGTTCTCCACCAAGAAAAACACCGCAATCAACAGATAACACAATATAATCAACATCCATAACTCCAGCTTAAAAACCTGCACCAATTTTAACCAATCGATATATAATCTTGGTTTAGGCACCAAGAAACTCAAGTACAGGGTGTACATCGGATAACTATTAATGTTTCCGTATACGTCATTGAATAACCCTAAATTAAATCTTGGATTAGAATCGTAATTATAACCAATGAGGATTTTACTGCTCATATTCATTGATTTTATAAATTCAAGCATAATATTTAAGTCAATACCCAATTTTTTTGCTAAAACATAAAATTATGCAACCAAATTTACAATTAAATGATTAAAAACATGAAATACATGCTATTGCGATGGGAATTGCAATGTCAGTACTGACTCCAATGTTTAACACACCACCGATACGTCTTTTTCTCTTATCTGAAAAGAATTCATCTATATTCTCATCCACAAACTGTTGTTTATAAATGTTCCATCGATTCAACACTACATATTCCTTTAGGAACCAATTAGTGAAAGCGCTGATTACAAATTCATCACCAATTCTCTGTATAAAAATAGCATTTCCTGCATATATAGGAATTTGTAAATTATGAGCACCGAATGCTTCTGGTTTGTAATCGTCAATTCTGCCATATTCAAGAAATATAATGCCTTTGAAGGTGTACTCTTTATTACGTTTGAAACACGTGAGTAAATCATATGATCTTGTGAGTAGTGGATCATCATCGATGTAATGATCACAATCACGGACACAACTCAAAGGATCTACGATTTGTGGGACTGTAATATTTAAAGAAGACAAAGATAAGTGATGATAAGGGGAATTTGGAAATGCCACCATACGGATAATACATCTAGCGTTTTTAAAGTGGTGATTTATGATGGTGTTTAACATGAGTTGCAGAGAAGCTTCAATTATTATATTGTCAAGCAACATGGCTGCTAGGGTTAGTATTTATGACTGAATATTTTATTTTATTCATTATTCAATTGTTTTTGTTATTGCGGGAAATGTTTTGTTATAGCATAATATTTACGTTATTTAACGGTAAAAAGTAAACAAACATTTATTATACATTGCTTTACTATTTTGTATAAATGTTTATTACTTTGAATAAAGCCACAACTCATTTGCTTTGTGATTATATTCTTTGTTATGGCATTGTTCATTAATCAATGCTGATAAATAAATTAATCATTAAGTGAACATTTAAAAATAAATAAATTGCATAATTACAATTAGAATTATTGTATGTTGTGGTTTTATTGCTAATAGTCACCCCGTGACTAAAGGCCGTGACTAAAGTATTTTATTCACGGTTTTGGCGGTCAGTGTATAAAGTACCACTTTTTGTGTCTCAAAAACTGTGAAAACCAGCGCTTTAAAGGTGGAAGTAAAAAATATTAAAAATAGGATGGATAGGAATAGAATGGTTTATTTTACAAAAACTCCCACGATTTGTCTTATTTTGGCATGAACTTACACACTTTATTCAACTCCTTTTATTCTTACCTCGTGCTTCGTTAATATAATTCTGAATAAATGGTGCATGATAATGAACTGCTGTGAAGAGTGTAGATTGATTTGCATCGCATCCGTTATCACGTTTGTTAAGTGCTCCAATACTCACAATACCCCTCACAAAATAACGCCCTCCTTTCTTGAAGAACAATCCTCCACCACTGTCACCTTGACAGGCACTATCACCCATTCTAGCCGCAGCACATATTTTATCCCTTGCATAAATATAATATTTCTTAAAATCATCATCCAAAACACATGTATCTCGAGTCCTGAATGTAAGTTGTAACTCTTTGAGTACTTCAGATGGATTATCAGTGCTTGTGGTATGTCCCCATCCAACAACAACACCAGGAGTTTCAATTAAGCTTGAATCATCAAATCTTTCGTTGTAATCCATGCACACAGGTAATACATACTTGGAAATGACAAATGGTGTCTCCAGTAATAAAATAGCAATGTCAAATGAATAGAATTCGCTGCTGTAGTCCTTGTGAATCTTAATCTCCTTCACCTGTAATTGTTTATGTTAATATGTTAATATTTATACAAATTAATAGTCTTACATTGGAATATTGTGCAATTTTATCACGAGTATCATTGTATGCTCGATAATATTTTCCAGCAGCAACGAAATATTTACTTGGATCGTTGACTTCGTTGATACAATGCGCTGCTGTGAGTGTAATCTCAGGAGTAATCATTGAACCTCCACAAATATGACTTTTGGCTTCGTTGTACAAGCCAATCATCCAGGGATATTCGCCTTTCTTTGTTGCTTTACCATTGATGATTAATGGTGTTGCATCGGTGCTTTTCAATCCACAAACTGAAAAATTAAAAACAAATAAAATAAAATATATAAATATTGTGTTTAAATAGAAATCACATACTTGGATCACATTGTGGCAAAGCAAAATCCCAGGATCCATCATCACAGAACCGATTGGGCTTAGACTCCAAAGATGGATTCTCGTACAAAGGTTTACATTGTATAAATGCTTGTGTTCCTTGATATGGCGTTTTGCAATCAACAGTAATACCGTTCAACGTGCAGACTGCTTCCATTCTATCACTGCTTATAATTGGAGCGCAAGTTTCTACACAAAAACAAAACAAGTCAAAAACTTTCAAAAATATAATTAATCAAAACTTACTGAGACATTCTGGATAAGTCGTTGTGCTACCACACAGAATAAGTTGATTGTTGGGATACAAAGCATATTGTGTATTACATTGGAAATTCAAGACAGTGTTCTTATCAACAGTATCTCCAGGTGAATATGATCCCGGTACACCAAAAACAGTCCATTTGCCGTTTCGAGGATGTGGTGGTAATTGACAACTGTCTCTATAAACATAAAATAAAAATATTTTATCATTTTTATCGAATTTTGTTAATATATCATAAAATTACGGGCTGGGTCCAGGTCGTGGTGTCACAACATCCGGATTCCTTGTCCATATTGTATCTGTTACTGGCGAAACAGTGCTTGGTTTAGAAGTGACAGGATTAGGCCTTCCAGGGCAATTTATTTCATCAGATGCATCATGACAATCGTTTTCGCCATTGCACCGTAAATCCGAATTGACACAAGCGCCATAATTGCATTTGAAAGTAAATCTTGGACATTTTAATGAAGCACAAGCTTTAACTGATTCGTCTGAGGCATCCTTACAGTTTGCTTTGCCATCGCAGAGATCAAAATCGTCGATGCATTGACCATCATCACAAGAAAATTTATTAACGCTAGAATTATAATTAAAAACATAAAATAATGAAAAATTTTGAAAAGTAAAAAATTTATTACCCGCATTTTGATGGTTTGTTAGTATTTCCAACACATTTTGCATTCGTTTCATCGGAATTATCTTTACAGTGTTTCGTCCCATCACAGACAAGATCAGCACTGATGCAAGCACCATACGCACATTTAAATAAATAAGAATGGCACCTAAAAATTCATAAAATTCAAAAAAATAATCATTTGCTAAAATGCTTTGATTAACATTACTTACGGAAACTTTGAGCAACTACTTTCATCTGTACCGTCTTTACAGTCTTCTGCACCATCACAAATCACGTCTTCGCTTACGCATTCCCCGCTCCCGCATTGATACTCGTCCGTTCTAACAAAACACAAGTTATTTAAGTGGTCAGGTAATAAATATTTTGAGGAAACTACCTGCATTGAGAACTTTGACGTTTAAACCTTGTTAAAGTGTGATTTCCATTGTTTAGACTTAAAAAATATCCATCGGATACCACAAAACCTACAATATTAATCAAATAAACAAGTGTATAATTCAATTGAATTATTCTGACTCATAATATGTACTTACAACTTGTTGTTAGGTATAAAAATAAAATCCATGCAGTTTTGCACATGTTAAAAACGAATCAAAACACGGAATTAAATATAAAACACAAAGAGACACTTGTTAATCATACATCGCGCACTAATTAATGTAATTAAAGTTTTTTTGTTTTGTTGTTGTCCAATCAGTTGGTGGTTAACTACTGGTGAACTTGTCTTCGCTGACGATTTACGGACAGTGGCCACTCGTGACTTTCAATACATTCGAAGAGTGTCCGTCAGTAAGCGATGGGTTTTTACGATGTTTTACGCGAAACTGGTTTTTCAGAAACTACCTCCGGGCATGCTATCGGAGAACTTGTTGCGCATTCAGCGCATTATCATGTTTTGAACTGCTTGACCTATCCACCCCGAGTTCCAATATTTGTTATTATATGCTCATTAAATAATTAAAAATTAAAGACATTAATGTGTGTGTGCTCTAGGCATATTTTAGATGATAATAATAATCAATCATTAAAAATAACTATCGGCAAGGACGTGTGCTTACATTAAACATCAATTAACGTATCAAATAGTTTAATTAGTTGTGTTAGCTTATAAGTACCTTTGTTTCTTATTTAATCTGAGAACATTTACAACATTTCAGGTTTTTATATAATTACTTAAGCTAAGTTATACAAATAATACTATTGATTGATGTATTGGTTGGTTTTGGTGTAAAATTAAGTTGAAAATCAGTTTAATTTGATTTAAATTTCTTTGAAATGCACTTCTGAGGAGCAGATTAAATGTCAAATCTATTGGATTGTATTTTGAAATATACTTCATTAATTCAACCCTAGGTGGCGGTAAGATGCACTTTTATGCCTTAAATAATTCTTTGTTTGCATAGTAGTGTGACTACATTAAATTAAACTGAGACAGTTGAGTCCGTGCATCAGATGTAGATGTTATTTGTTTACCATTATAATTTAGCATGCTTCTTAGAATTTGAAAGACAAACAAAAAACACTTGATTTATTAAATTGACAAGATTATATTCGAGACGACATGAAATTATTCCAATGAATACCCCAATAACTGTTTTGTAAAATATTATTTGAATTAAATAATCATTAGTAAACAGTTATCATGAAATATTAAATGACTGCATTAGAAAATATTGATATTATTAATGATTATTAAATTGCCTATATTAAAGCTCTGTCCGTGGGCTTTGAGGATTTCACCGTTTTGCCCTGGTTAAAGCTGTGAAATGCAGGTGGTAGTAGCGTCGGCAGAAACAAAACCGACATCTGTCAGCCGGCGCTGGCGCGCAATGCATGCTGGGAAAAATGAAAGCCGTGCGCCAGTGGTGTCCGGCCAGCGCCGCAAAGGTTTCTGGGACGAGCGCTCAGCGACTCGGCTCGGACGTGGTAGGAAAACTCCATATTTACCAGTCGCCGTACATTAACCGCTGGACGCTGTGCTGCCGCGCGGAGCGCCACGCAATGGATCGCGCTGAGTTGTAAACAACGCCGTCGTTTCTTCCCGCGGATTTCCCGTTCGCTCACCTTCGGCAGCGCGTTATTAAATCAAGTGCCACAAATTGAGTGCGCGATTGCGAAATTCGGGCGCGCATCGCATGCAACAAAATACCAATATCTACCACACAAAATAAAAAAAACGGATCGCGAAGAGTGCGCGCGAGTATACACAGTGATCGTGTGCCACTTTGTTAATGAATGTGTGCTATTACATCAACGATAAAGTAACGATTGTATTGTGAATGTGTGTCGTTACGTCGTCGTCGTCGCGTTCACCGATCGGTGCGATTTATCGAGAGATTTCGAGATTTGTCGGATTCGTATTCGACCTCTTAAATTGTATCCAATACGATTAGGAAAGTGTCGTGGACAGAGAGTCATTGCTCCTTTGTTTTTCACCAAACAAGTGCAGTGCGTTCGTTTGTTGATTTGTTGATTGGTCCAATTCGACAGCGAAACATCTGACAAACGCGTGTTTCCCTTTCGAACACGAACATAATTAATCTAAACCTGCGTGAACATTCTTGTGATGGTAATAATCACATGCGGAAAACGTTGTGAACAACATAACCAGACATGCAGGTTAGTAAACACGATCAACTTTAATATTTATCTACTGTAAAATCATTTTCTGATCAGAAATTCATAGACGAAATTTTTATTGCTTTATTGCCGTCGTAAATCTCACAGCTACTGCTTTGTAAGCATTATTATTTAGTCAATTGCATGCAAATCTTGTTTATTGATGATAATCGATGTGCTTGAAGTTGACCACAAATTATTCCCACACAGCTTTTGGTTTTGGCGTGTTACAAATCCTAATAAAACGATAATAGTTGTGAATTTTGCTGAATTTCGGCATTGTACAATGTTTGTTTGTTGATGACGGCGTGGATGATGAGCACAATGCGTTGCATTGTCCGAGACGGCGACCTTCAGCGATAAAATGTTATTTATGGCGCGCATTTACATCTTACACGCGTGTTTCGCACACGAAATGCCAATTATTACAGGAACACATCGCACGAATGTTCAATTTCGTATGTTGTGTTGTGTCCAATAAGTAAAATAAAATTCCAGTTGGATTGAAGCAGCTGTTCGGTTATTTTTTTTTTTTTGACTTAAACTATTTTTAAAGCTATTATACACTTTTATTCTTATTTTTAGACGTGTCTAATTCTGTCTGTGTGTTGTATTCTAGGTGTTTTGGAAATTAAAAACGGGCTCGATTGGTGAGCCGATGATATGCAGGCATTATGGCCGGGAAGCCTGAATTGTCGGCGGCCCCCGGTGTCCAGAATGTCGTCGTCTACGTCTCCAATGATAACTTCGCGCAAGCGTACACAGTGAACCATCACGGTAACCATGCGCCATCACCGCAACAACACCAACATCACGCGCCGGATAACCTACACGTGGGTTATGCGCCGCAAGCTCAGCCGAAGATCTACGCTGAAAAGTTGTTACAACAACAACAGCAGCAACAACTCCACCAACAGCAGCAGGCAGCTCAACAACTGCATCACCAACAGCAGCAATTGCAAGCGCAGATACAACAGCAGCAGTTGTTGGAGTCGCAGTTTAATCACCAAGCACCTACATCAGGCGGTTATTTTACCAATCAAGCTGTGATAACACATCAGAACGGGTATGCGCATCCCGTCTACGACGGCAACAAAGACAAAGACGTGAGTGTGATTAAAGATGAGTACTCGACACCGTCAACGGGTGGATATGTTGTGCTTGGCGGCGGTGCCACCGCTGGTAGTAGTAATGGTGATGCAGGTCTGCAAAGATCTTGCGATTCGGTGCGTTCGGACGCGGCTGAGTCAAGCTGTAGCAGTCTATCATCAGCAGAGGACGTGCTTATTATACCGAACAATCTCAGCGGCAGCGAGACCGCCAACGTGCTCGTATACGACGGGGTCGCGGGCGACGCGAGTGGTGTTAATGTGCGACACGGTGTTGTGGTCGCGGTTGGTGGTGGCGGCGGCGGCGGCGGCAGCAGCAGTGCAGTCGCGGTCAGTGGTGGTGCGCCGATAATCGCCCCCGCGCAACACCAGCAGGTGCCGGCGAGTATTCCAGTGCCACACGGGTGGAAACGCCTCATTACCAATGGCGTTGTCATCTATATAAGGTAAATTTTAGGCTTTTATTCTATTCAGAAGACTATTTTCAGCTTACAGATAAAAAACTGAGCATAAAGAGATGCAAAGATGCAAAACGGGTCACGTAGGCATCCGAAAAAAGCACAAAAGTCTTTTGCAACGGTAATAATCACTAGGGTTTTGTTACAATTGAACCTTTTTTCCGAAAGTCAAGTTTAAAGAATGCGGGTGATGTCGTAAAGCGGTGCGAAAAGTACGAAGGCGGAGGTCATAAATTGCGTTCGAATTTTGAAGGATTTATGAGGCGTACCACGTCGGTATGCGAGGAGACAAACACCAAACAGCTGCTTTCGAAACCCATCCGGGGTGCACTTTCTTCAAGGTTTCATTTCAAGTCGCTTTAAATATATAACAAGCATGTTCCACTTAGAAAAAAAAAAGTTTTAGTTAAAGAAGGAGACGAGGCGTAACTGGAAATTGAAGCATTTAGGGGTATTTTATCGTGGTAATTTAATAACTGAAGCAATTTCATCTTTATTATCATTATTTACGCGATAAAATCCTCAAATCTGCAGTTGCAGCAATACCTTTGCAATAACGCAACTGTAATGGTAGCCCAAACCCATTGTCGAGCCCCTCTTACTGGAATAAATCCCCTGGCACGGCGGCACTTAAATATAATGCGATTCAATCAGCAGAGGAAAATTCCACATCTCGCACTTTGCACACGCGAAAAATCTTTTATTTTTATCTCTTCGTGGATAAATCGCATTGCATCCGATTGCAACTTAATTACAAATCAAATTTTTTCTGTTCATACTTACGCAAACGTGTCTCTAATTAACGTAATCTCATTTAAGTCATATAAAGCAATCTATGACTATTTAGAATGTTACCTAAATGTTAAATCGAATCGGTAGTTGGTTGAAACAAATTAAGTCTAGTCTTCTCCTTGTTTTACCTGTGGATGTGTCGACATTTGTCTGACCACCAGCGATACTCTTTACCATGGTATCGGTGAAAGTTAAAATTTTCATTCGTTTTGAAGTCGTTAAATGTTAAACGTTGCGCGCACGCACACTGTGATCACAGATCGCTTCGTTTGGCTGGATTGTTTATGCGCCTAACTATCTGTTGATGTCGAGTAGTTCGTCACGCGGACACATGTTCAAGCCGAAGATGTGAAATTCAATTAGAAAGTGGTGTCCCGTCGAGACTTGTGAAATCTGCTGTCTGTATGGGTACAAGAGTGAACTTTTGTTTCGATTTATTTATTGAAATTAAAAGTCAAACGAGACGAATTTTAATTTTAACGTTGAAAGTTTTTTTTGATGCATTTAATTACAGTTTAAAGTTTAAATTATTATTATTTTTCTTTGAATTGATATTCGCTACAGTTTTATTTTTATTTTCATATGAAATTTATGTGAATCATTAATTTTATCTGCGGTTTTGAATTGAATAAAAATTAATCAATAAAAAACCGCAGTTATGATAAAGATTAAAGATTAAACATGACATATTGGTTGTGTTTGGTTTGGTTTGGTTTGGGAATTTCCGAGAAGATTACATCATTATAAAAATAACAATGTGTGTTATTCCAACGAATTTAATTTCCCAATTGGACGCAAAAAGGCATCGAAAAGTTTAAATTAAATTTACGTTCGCTGAAAACTTCGTGTAATTCGTTCAAATCGCTGAAAACGCGTTAAAACACATCGAAAACTTTTATTCCCATTCTCTTTTCTTGATTGCGTGTGGAAAATAGGCGTGGGCGTAATTAATCAACAACGCAACCATTTTGAGTCGGAATTAAGATAAAAAGCTATATTTTATATTTTATGTGTTGTAATACGTGCGGTGTTTTATGCATTTATTCACTCTTTGTCATTTGAGCCACCTTGTTGCTTTACTACAACTACAACTACGAGTATATCTATCAAGGAGTGCGCTTTATAAATATTGTCACGAGCATCAGATGCGCGTGAACTTCATAAAACTCTCTTTTTCTCGCCGTGTGTTTATGGAAATGTTGTTAATGAACATGAACATCAATGTTGCGGCGCCTTAACGATGTAATCAAACCGTGTGCGCACGTGAATGCAACGTTGCATTATGTTTTATGTTTTGTGTGTGCGGTTTATTACGGCGCGACATGCAAAGAGACAACGAGAGATAAAAATATCCCGATGGAGAATATTAATGAAAAAGTGTTTTTAAACTTTTACTCTGGGGAGTTATAATGTGTCCTAAAATTTTACGCCTTGAAATTAATTAATTAACACGAATTACAATTTGCATTAATTAAAATTCATTTGAAATGTTTTCCAAGACGCGGTGTAAATTCATTTCCAAGCTACACACATTGTGAGTTGTTGTTTTGTATGCGCCACAGGGAGAAAAATTCGAACGACACGAGACTAGATCGCGCGATGTGTCCTTTTAAGGAAATGCGAGCGAGCGTTTCAATTCAATCCGTTTCAATCCAATCGGATGCGACGCGCGGCGACGCGAAATAAACAACATATCAACAAGCAAGTGACTGACGCGCACACAAAGCCAAAGACGAACAAAGAACTGCGAACAAGACATCTGCAATCTGCACTTGTCTTCGATAATATAAAAATGAAGCCAAAAATGTGTTAGTAAGCGCATAACTCAACAACGCCTAGAACAATTTGGCCAATTCTTATTTTAAAATGTTCGTTTAAGTCCAAGGATGGTTTTTACAGCGAGAAAAATTCGAATAATTGACGGGAAAACCCTAAAGCAGTCCTTTTCTATAGGATAAAAGTTGACATTGAGATTCAATCGTAGTTATAGTTAAATAGTTGAATCCGAGATGGCGCGCTGAAGTGCATTATTAGCAATTCTTTAAATAATTAATTTCTTTAAAATAAAATTGCGAATCTTTTTGATAGAATTGACACATAGGTACTATGCCTAGAACAAGAGAGTATAAACAAATTACATTTTTTTATTAAGCACTACCGGGACGAATTCACAAGCAAAAGCAAGTTTTTTTAATAATAATAGCGTATTTATTAAAACATTAATTTTTTACATCACACACACACATACAAACACACTTTCTTTGTATATTTGCCTCTACATCATGCTCGAAATTCATTGACTTTTGGTGTACCACCACCGAAGAGTTTTTCCTTGATGAGACAATTCTCGTGTAGCAGTTCACAATTGCGCCGAAATCGGCGGCAGCTTTCACGCAGCGCGTCTTTGAAATTCTCAATATGCACCAGGCGGCTGACATGGACGACGGGATCATCGGCGGTGCCGGCGCGCTCACAGGCGCGCTCCACTTCGCGCGATCGCTCCACCAGCTTGCGAAGGTCTGAGATTATGTGCAGCACTTCTTCGGGTATGGGTTTGACGATTTGTATTATATAGTTGAGGAAGCGCTGGTCCACGGATTGCACCACTCGCGTGCTGAAATAGTTGAGAATGTCCCAGAGACATTCGATGATTTTGTGCACGTCCTCGACGAAGAGTGATGTGAAGTCTTTTTGCGTTTTCCACGCGTATGTTTTCTTGTTGCGTTTGCTCATTATTTTATCTGGCGTGTGTAAGGCTATGGTGGTATTTAGTACACTTTCATGGCTTGGTTTTTGCGTGTGTATGTGTGTGTATGTTGGTTAATTTTGGATTTTAAATTTTATCTTCTGGATTTTGGACTGTGAATTTTGACATGTTGTGTTTGACACATAGTGAAATTTGTTCAATTTTGACATTTTGGGTAAGACATTATTGATTTTTTATGTCGAAAATAATGAACAGTTTTTTTAGTTTTTGCAAAAAAAAAATTGGTAAATTCAAAATGTATTTTTGAATTTCATAAAAAAATATTTTGTTGTTAGTTTTTATGATATATATTAATTTTAGTTTCGTTTTTAGTTGATTTAACATTCAGTTTTCAGTTTTTTATCGAAATTTTTTCTTTTTCTGATTTTTAGAATTTTTCCAATGTTTCCACAGTTATTCTGTTATTCTGGGCGTAAAATCCAAGACATTATTTCTCATTATTGTTAAATTACTTGCTACCAAACTGAATGATCCAAAATTGAGTCATAACCATCCACTTTATTTGTCATTCCCAAAAAGTCTGACTCATATTTGTCGCCGGCAGACGCAATTTGCGACCGCAAAACATTTATTCGGATTCATTCGAACTTGGGCACTGTGCTGCGCGCTTCTTCGAAGACGGTGCAGCGCAGAATGTAAACAGATGTTATTTTCCTTGCGGTTTGCGCGCCGCGATGTGTTTGGACGTGCACCGCATAAATTCATCACCGCCGCCGTCGCGAATCCCATTGCAACTGGTCCTTCCAACTGGAATGTTAATAACCCATTTGAAATGTTAAACTCCTCCAATAAAGTGCAAGATAAATAAAACATTCGCGGATATCAAGCGAAGCGTCGCACGAAAATAAAGAAATAAAAAAAGAATTCAAGGCGTTTCTCTGACTTATTAGAGTTTTACGATGGTGTTTCCATCCACTTCACACTCGGCATTCATAATAAGTTATTAATAAGTTAAACTGTGCGAATACTTCTTGAAAACTGCATGAGAAAAAGAAAAAAGAAGAAAAAAATAAAAGAATTTTTGTGTGCACACAAAGTATTTGGTTCTCATAAATTATCTCTGAATGTTTGCATGTCAATATGTTGGTTTATGAAAAGGGGAAAAGGGTAAAAGCTGTCGAAAAGTTGAATACGTATCGCTTGGTAACACGTTGCGTGCACATGACTCAAGCACATTTTTTTCGCCTTCCGATTTTGCGCTACACTTTTGGTCAAGATAAAAAATGAAAAAGCTGGTGTAGAAGGCCTAGAATGCCTTTCAAATGCATGCGCTTGGGTTTCGTGTGTCCGAAAAGCACGAAACGTGTGGAATAAAAAACTTTGTCGAGGGTGAAATGTTAGAAAATCAGCCGAAAGCGATTGTTTAGTTGATATGAAAAAAAAAACTCTTGGGTATGGAAAACGGAAAAGTCACCCTTCTAAAATATAC